ACAGTCGAACGGCAATGACGTAATTGTTGAAAACAAAGCAAAAAGTTGTTGCAACGATTCTTCTTCCGCACAGACTCTAAACGTACCTTATTTACCGTTTTGATAATAATCAACCGTCTCTTATCCTCACAGCGTAAATACAATTTGATAGACAAAGACAAAAGAGTAGTTCAGTCAAAAGACTGTTATTAGATTAGTTTTTACGATTAACGTAGTTTTCTATGTTAAATTTTAAACCTGAATTATAATTATACGTTACCCACAAAACACACAGTGTTGGCATAGTGGTTAAGGGTGTAACATCAAACCACGAGGTCATGCATTTAGTTCCCGGATTAGCATAGTTTTCGCAAGGAAAACATCGCGAGGAAAGTGGCATGATTTAGACCCAATCCATGGCGTGTATAGAAAACTTAGTATCGGTCTACGAAAAAATGCTATTAGAGATCTGATCCTTAGGGATATGATCCCTTAGTTAAAGCTGGTTAATGAATTTTAAAGACACATGACATTCAAGATTTTATTAATACTCTTAATTGTTGCCTGCGCAAATTTTAGTTCTTATCTAATGCAAATTATGTTAATGCAACAAATTGAAATAAAAACCTACTGCTGGTATCGCTTAGTTCTTAAATGGCGTAGAAGACATAAATGCATTACTTAGTAGGTAACAGAATGTCTAGAATCAAACGTGCTGATGCTGCTATTCCTAGGATGTGTAAGGTAGCTAATAAATTTCCCCCTGAAATTCAGCCCTTCCGCCTCTCTTACTCGCTATAAGTTTGGCGGATCTTTTCCAAAATTTAGCAATAACTTATCATTTATAACTCATTTTTTAAACCACATGTTTTAATTTGTAAGAATATTGTTATTTAGTTATGAAGCATAAAGGAAGTTGTATTTTCCTGTTTAAAGATGTACAATCGTTTTTATTGTTATTTTCAGCTTTCACTGTAGTGTCTGTGGGCAAACCCTCTGTATACAAATCCTACCAAACAATGAATAATTGTATTGTTCTATTTACGTAATATAAAAATAACGTACAAATACAAAGTGTCGCAAGTGTTAATTCACGGGAAATAACGTCGTTACAAAATAATCAAATAGGAAATGTAAATATCGTGAACGTTTGATTAACGAGCAAAACCAATATTTATGCCTTGTACCCACGAATTAATTTGCGTTGGATTAGCCTGTAACACCTTATTTCTAATCGTCAACGCAAATATTTACTAATCAAATGTAAATTGGGTTGTTAAAAGATTTCTTACAAATACGGTTTAAAGTGTAGTTACCAGTGCCAGTTTGTCCTCCTTGTTTTGCAATTTACAAAAAACTTCTTTAGGCGCATGAGGGCAAAATTTTTACGGAACGTCACGCAGCGTTTCTGTCGAAGAAAAGGGAGAGCGATTGAGAGAGAGTGAGAAGGGTGAATTAGGGTCATAAACAGCCGTCTCGCCTTTCTTATTGTTAATTGCATTACCTCACACCTATGCCATTATTCTTAGATTTAATTGCCTGTAGGAAATTTTGGTCTCAGTTAGTAAACGCACCGTCACCTATCGTGTATACTTTGTACTTTGAAACTGTCAAGATGGCCAGTTAAAAAAAAACGTAATTAAAAAAATACATAATATTAAATGTGTTTAGAATTATTTATTATAATTAGAACCTATTGAGAGTAATAAAATAAGAAATTATTGTAATTGGTTAAATTTGTTTTTTTTTTCTTACCTCTGTTTAACGAAAACTCTCTATAATGAAATTAAATGCTCGGTCCCTTGAAATTCGTTATAAAGAGTTTACAATGTATTCCTAAATATATAAAATTCTCGTGTCACAGTTTTCGTTGCCATACTCCTCTAAAACGGCTCGACCGATTCTCATGAAATTTTGTGTGCATATTAGGTATGTCTGAGAATCGGACAACATCTATTTTTCATCCCCCTAAATATTGAGGGTAGTCCACCCCTAAATATTTTTTTTTATTTTTAGATAATTTTTTCTGTTTTTATTTTTTTATGATACAGCATAAAAAATACATACAACCCCTAATTTTCAACTCTCTACGATCAACCCCTATTTTTTAATTATAAATGATATACATGGCAAAACGACGTTTGCCCGGTCAGCTAGTTCCTAAATAAAAACGAATAATAGACTAAATTAAATGTAAAAATAAAATAAACATTTACTTTTAAAACAACTCAAGGAAACACGAAGGGCTATAAGGAAATGCATTGTCTGTAGAGTCCAAGAAATGAATTAAAGTAATAAAAATATATGATTTGCATGCTAAAAAAATTCTGTTAATTTTAGACAATGTTACGTTAAGAGTATATATAAAGGATTATTATGTATAAAGATAATTTAATATTTAAATTTTATTATTACTATATAGTAGTACTAATTCTACTATATTATTAAATTTAGGTTAAGAATTTCGGAAACTTTAGTAACATTAATATACATATATAATTTAATAAATATAATGTACCACCCTTTTATTATTTGAAAATTATCTATATATCTAAATTATGTCTGTTTATAATTTCGTATCTGTAAATTTTATCTATATTGTTTGGCCTTTAATTTAAAGTAAATTTTAAATTAAAAGTGTAGCATAAATGAGATTTTGTGTACTAATTAGTTAGGTTTTGTTTTATAATCTAATTTATTTATGTCCTCTCATAAGTATCTATACAATTATTTCAGAGAATAATATGAAGTCCGGGTTTCAAAATGCCACAGTTAACATTATAAGTCATAACTAGTTCTCATTTATTACAAGATAATATTGCGTCTATTATTATTTTAATGGTCATGATATTCAGATAAGGTTTTTTTTATTGTCGCTAAATGGATACCAGGAATAATATCGCTCTCAGTTAAAAACCAAGTTCAAGGATTCACAAGTGTTTTTAAATTGTCTAAGTGTAGAATATCTACCACTCACGAAAAACATCAACAACCTTTGGTCGTGGCTTCAGACTTCTGTATTTGTGATCATTTGTTTTTCTTGGTGATAAGTAGGTGATCAGTAGCATTAATGCGGAAATAGACAGAAAGAGCCATCGGTGCAAAGACATCACGAATGAGAGTCGCATACTGAAGCCACTAGGTCAGCACTGCTCTACGCCATGTATTATTATTAAAACAAAAATATTCATCGAGACCAATAAATAAAAAAAAATCGTGTGTGTTCGTGTTTTAAATTACAAATTATGTCTGACGTTTACAAACAAAACAAACGCAGGCTACCATGAGCTTTCTTAAAATAATCTAGTTGAGATGCTGATGAGTTTAGGTTCCTAAATTCAATAGCATTTTTTTATTCCATAAACTGAACATAAACTGAAACGTATTGAAATCGCAAGACCGAACGAATGAACCATAATTTTGATTGAGGTGTCTATTCTATGTAAGTTTTGAAATTTAACTGTCAAACTTCGACATACGGTTCTATTAAATAAAATCTAATAATTAATCAATCACAATTAGCTATTATGTTTTCAGTATATATAATTATTTAATAAAAAACTATTATTTTCATATATTTTAAACGTATAGTTGACTTACATTTTTAAATGTTTCGTCAGATTTTGATAGGAGCTATCATTGTTTTGGTGTTTACAAAATTTCAGTTTTATAATTATAGTTTTTCAAACTGTTTAACTTATAAATAATATGATGGGGTATGGTTCACAAATCGGTTTTTCATAAATAAATACCTAAATCGTAGTGAATTCTTGATAAAAAAACCCTTGCAAAAGATCAACTTAGATCTCGAAAATCATTAGTAACTTCTATATAAAATAAATTCATAGTTAATTAATTATCATATAATATAAATTATTATATGTTCTATACAGCTTAAACTTCACTAACTCGCTGAATTAAGAGACATGTTGGCGAAGAAGAGCTCCAATGAAATATAATATGAATATATGTTTATACCCAATTGAAAATTGCCTGAATTTCTATCTTGATGGCGCGTCATTCTAACTTAATACTGTTATTATAATATTTTCAAATAGCTGATTATTTACATGTTATAAATTTGAAAAATAACTTTTTATTTAAAGAAACAAAAAAGCAGAGGAGAATAATACAATTCATGAACATAATAACATAACTTTAATTATAATAAAAAAAAGTGATGTAGCATTCCTATTTTTTGTAAAATGAAGAACCAGGCGGCGATTATTTTTGTATTTTTGACCTTTAATACTTTAGGTTTAGGTATGTAATTAATTATGCTATATTTTAATACACTGAAGCTGGTTTAAAATAAAAATATATATATGATATTTAAGAATAATGTTTTATTGTTTTTGTTATACTAACTACATACCTAAAAAATTAAGTGAATATTATTACACAAAGTTTGTGCAATTGTGTCTAGGTACACTGAAATCTTCAACGAATTAAAGCCGTTGTTCTATAGCAAATTATAAACTCGACATCTTCGAAGTCGGTAGAATGGCATTGTCGTCTTTTTCGTATCTCCGTCGATTTTTAATATTTTATTAAATCAAATAAAATAAAATCAAATCAAAATACGTTGATTCAATTTAGATACGTCTTAGCGCATGCTTATGAATGTCAAAAACGTTTACAAAATTCGCGAAAGAGCAAGACTACGCCATCCGTTCGCAAAACTACCAGGAGGCCTTGTTCTGAGAAGAACGGGCAAGAAACTCAGCAAGTTTTACCCTCCCTCTACATTACAATTATTTAAAGGAAAATGTCATAAACCACAACGTCATTAAAGTTACATAAGTAAAAAAAAATATATAAAAATCTGTTCTGTGATTTACCACATTCACCATTACACACAAATCAAATTATAAGAATATAATTACAACTATTGCCAAGCGTTTTTATCTTCCAGGTAGTCATTGACTGTGTGTAACCTTTACACTTTATATTTTATATTTTTATTTCTAAGTATATTTAACTGATTATGACAAAATAAACAAATGACAAATAGAGAAACAATGCGCAGCAAATATTTATTTAATAAGCTATTAGGTATTCGACAATGAACAAGAACTATTTGATCGCAACGTGTGCAGAATACTATTAACCTGTATGATTGTATTCAGAATCATTCATAAAGCATTAACGGTCTTCTGATAAAAAGGTCTTTGGTTAATAATAATTGAAATATTTTATTTTAATAAAGCACCTCGGAACACTTCACAAACAGCTAACGTCCAGCGATACTCCATATTTACAGAGAAATAATAGTAACTAGATGTGTGGGCACAAGTGAATTTGTTATTGCATAAGTGACTGATATCTTAATATATATAAATCACGTGTCACGTTATTTGTCCGCGATGGACTCCTAAACTACTTAACCGATTTTAAATTATATTTGCACACCGTGTGCAGTTTGATCCAACTTAAAAGATAGGATAGCTTATATCTCAATTTATACCCGCAATATTATTTTATTGCAAAATATTTGTTTATTATTTGATAGTCACAATTCTAACACATGGCGCTGTGTTGAAAGTACCAACGTTTCACATAACAGCTGGTGTTCTCATACCGTTTCCCTTGAATAGTTTGATACTATGTAATATAACAAAAACCTTAGCCACAGCAACGCTTGGCCGAGTCTGCTAGTATTTATATATATCATACAGGACAACGTCTGTCGGGTCCGCTAGTTATATATTATATAATTTTCTTGTAACATTTTGCTGTTTCTCGCGGTTTCCCGTGGTTAAGACTAATAGTCTAGTCGACAAGTTGAAAATGGAACAAAATAGAGATACTGCTCTTAAAATTATGTGCGATAGCTCATTCGAACCGGAATGACGCCTAAAAAAATGTGCTAAAAGCGTGTATTAGCACATAAAAAATTGCAAAAGTTATAGACCATTAAAGATGAAAAAAAAATGGAATTTAGTTTTTGCCAATATTTAATAAACTATTAATATTTAAGAAATTTCAAATAAAGATTCTGAAAGAGGAGGAAATTTCCAATAAAAACTCTCAGCTCCCGGAACTCTATCTCCATTATTTATAACTTTAATTTAACGCTGAAAATAGGTCTGTGCGTGACATTTTTAGGATTCGCGCGTGGCGTCAAAAGCGACTACGGCACATTAATTAATTTATTTAAGGTATTGAATATTTTTTTTAAATTTGAAAAAATTATGGTGTGTTCTGAACACTATAATTAATTTATTCCCGTTGGAAATTTTACTTAAAGTTAATTTTTCAACAAGTTAAATAATTGTTAACTAACGAAATTTTCTCGAACGACCGTCTTAATTGTAAGTGAAAAAAATGTTTTAATAATGGTCGTAAAAATATTTCGCTTCGTAGAGCCTTTCTTACATACATACTTAACAAGATCGTGCCATAAAAGTTAAAGAAATATTTATACTTTGTTTATAACAATTTTTTTACTTAAACAAAAACTTAAAAATCCAAGTAATGTTGTTAAAAAATTTTTTTTTTTTCTAAATCATCATATTATCGTTTTTATATTAATACAAGATATTTATTGATTTGCAAAAAAAAAATTTCCCGCCATTTGTTGATAATTTTTTTTTAAACAAATTGATTAAATCAATTGTTTTAAAAAAAAAAATTTCACAACTTTATTACATTACAAATATTATGATTGTTTAAAAAAAAAATTTCCTTAATAACATATTTTAATTGTTTATAATCGTTTTTTTATATTTCTATTGTTTAAATAATTAGTTAAGAAATTTTTTTTCTAAAAATCATAATTGACAGTCCTCTATAAAGTAACAAAAATTTTTTTTTTTAATCAACAATTCTATTGTTTATTAACTTACCAATTTGTTATAAACAAATGTTCAACTTTTATATTTTTTTTCTAAAACTTCTAAAATTAACAAAAACAAACATATATAACAAAGTCTATAAAAAAAAGAAAAAATTTTTTTTAATAAAAGTAATATTCATGATAATCAAAAAATTTAAAAAAATGTTTTTCTATATTTTGTTATATATGGTTGTTTTTGTTAATTTTAGAAGTTTTAGAAAAAAATATAAAAAGTTGAACATTTGTTTATAACAAATTGGTAAGTTAATAAACAATAGAATTGTTGATTAAAAAAAAAAATTTTTTTGTTACTTTATAGAGGACTGTCAATTATGATTTTTAGAAAAAAAAAATTTCTTAACTAATTATTTAAACAATAGAAATATAAAAAAACGATTATAAACAATTAAAATATGTTATTAAGGAAATTTTTTTTTTAAACAATCATAATATTTGTAATGTAATAAAGTTGAGAAATTTTTTTTTAAAACAATTGATTTAATCAATTTGTTTAAAAAAAATTATCAACAAATGGCGGGAAATTTTTTTTTGCAAATCAATAAATATCTTGTATTAATATAAAAACGATAATATGATGATTTAGAAAAAAAAAATTTTTAACAACATTACTTGGATTTTTAAGTTTTTGTTTAAGTAAAAAATTGTTATAAACAAAGTATAAATATTTCTTTAACTTTTATGGCACGATCTTGTTAAGTATGTATGTAAGAAAGGCTCTACGAAGCGAAATATTTTTACGACCATTATTAAAACATTTTTTTCACTTACAATTAAGACGGTCGTTCGAGAAAATTTCGTTAGTTAACAATTATTTAACTTGTTGAAAAATTAACTTTAAGTAAAATTTCCAACGGGAATAAATTAATTATAGTGTTCAGAACACACCATAATTTTTTCAAATTTAAAAAAAAATATTCAATACCTTAAATAAATTAATTAATGTGCCGTAGTCGCTTTTGACGCCACGCGCGAATCCTAAAAATGTCACGCACAGACCTATTTTCAGCGTTAAATTAAAGTTATAAATAATGGAGATAGAGTTCCGGGAGCTGAGAGTTTTTATTGGAAATTTCCTCCTCTTTCAGAATCTTTATTTGAAATTTCTTAAATATTAATAGTTTATTAAATATTGGCAAAAAACTAAATTCCATTTTTTTTCATCTTTAATGGTCTATAACTTTTGCAATTTTTTATGTGCTAATACACGCTTTTAGCACATTTTTCTAGGCGTCATTCCGGTTCGAATGAGCTATCGCACATAATTTTAAGAGCAGTATCTCTATTTTGTTCCATTTTCAACTTGTCGACTAGACTATAAGACATTGCTGACAAAGATGTCAAGGAAAATATTGTTCAAATTTTATGAACAGCGTCTTTGATTGTTATTAATAAACAACGTGTGTATTCTTCTTTGGCGTAACAAGATAAAAAATCTTTTCAAACATTTTATCTTTCGCCTTATTCTACGTTTGTAGAAAAAACGACATTGACAATAGAATAAAAATACTCTCATCATTTTTCCCTAACGCGCCAAAAGAAGTATGACTTCAAAAAAACCAAAATGTTGACTATAGCTAACTTAAAGGTGTCGGTTTTTTGTGACGGTGTGCGCGCGCATCGTAAAAATTTACTCTCATCATTTTTCCCTGACGCGCCAAAAGAAGCATAACTCCAAAAACGTTAATTTAGACTTTTCACGTGAAGTATATTATATCCATTATCGATTTCGTATTAACATGCCATAAACAATCATAACAAACTCAAATGGTATTAACTTTGTAATTCTAAGCAGGTAATATAAACAGAACAAAGATGTTGTGACGTTTCTAAGATTTAAAATGACTTTTGAAATTTATATGCGATATTGGCATTCCATGCGGTTCTCAAACACTAATTTGCGGGACCTGGGTTACCTCTTGTATCTCACACTGACAAAAAAATTCCAGCTGCGATCATTTGATAAATATTTTTGAAGTGAAACTTCTTTATCGAGGTTGGAAAAAAATTTAGTGTAACATTTTTTCGTTACGCGTCACATTTTTCGGTTACGCGCCATGTTGCTTTTTGAAGTCAAACTTCTTTATCGGCGTTGGAATGAAACTTCTTTATCGACGTATGGGAGAAATTTTGTAGCAAATCGTCACGTTTTTCAATGATAGTAATAATTCTATTACAATTAATGAAATTCTATAATAATCTTCGTAGTAATAAGGTAAAATGAAATATTTGTATTCATGTCTATGATAATAAAAGCCTTTTGTTAAACTTTATCTAATTTAACGAATTTCTGTAAAGTTGCATATAGTAGATCATTTTTCGAAAAATAAGATCATAAAGAAGTTTCACTTCTTACGTGTGTACACCTAGTACACGCACAATTTTTATTTTTTATTTAACAGGCGGCTCACCTGATGTTAAGTGATACCGCCACCCATTGACACTCACATTGCCAGGAGCTCGCAAGTTCGTTGCCGGCCTATAATTTGTCAGACAAAAACAAAATAGTACTTTAGGGCTTTATTAGGGGGATTAGACTTATTTCGTTATAATGAATAGGGGATAATTTTTGTTTCGGGTTCATGCTAGCTATCCGCTGTATCACATGAAAATATTTAATAATTTGTTCCTGAAATATCGTGTTCAAAAATTAATTCGTATCAAACAAATAACTCATAAGCGATTATTACACAAGTATTAATCACAATATAAGTAGAAATTGTATCGAGAAAATTCACTGAATTGTTTCTATAATTATTAGATTATCTTGATATTTTAATTAAGTTACGCAATCAACATACTTTGCTTGCTGCGTTGGATTGATAGGTTATCATAGCAAGAAAATTGCCGTTTTATATTTATTTAGAACTAGGTTTTAAATCGCGCCAGCGCACTTTTAGCCTAGCTAAAAGCTCAAACATGGGGGTTCCAAGCTGTTCATGGATTTTTATTGTTCGGAAATGACACATAGTTTTGCCATTTATGATCTTTGTTAGAAAATGTTTAATAGTAATTTGTAAGTTTGCGGCGGAAGTTCCCCTGATATACAAATAAAACGAAGATATAATAGTTTTCAGCTGAGCAGTGTAGGTTATGAGATCGGCGTATATATACATACCGACTAATATATCATGGACAACTTATTTATTTATTTCGTATTCCTACATCTAACATAAATTATTTTAATAATAGTAACAAAAAATAAACTAAAGATCGAATGCATATATATATACATACATAATATTTACAAAAAGGAACAATGTTTTGTTCAGCTGTTATTCTTATTTTTCATGAATCTTATATAGATTTAAAACTATATAATTGTTTTTAATGGTCAAGGTCAAGGATATAAAATAAAATGATATGGGTGTCTTTTTGTAAAGTAATTTAAGAGAATAATCGAAAAAAATATTCTTTTAATTAATTATTCGTATTAATTTCAGATCCTCGAACGGAAAATTGGTGGATGATGTCAGGCCCTGGGCCGTTGATTACGTTACTGGCTTCATACCTATACTTCTGCACATCCATGGGTCCCCGGTACATGCGAGATCGGAAACCTTACTGCTTGAAGAACACCATCGTACTGTATAATGTATCACAGATTCTGATAAGCATTTATTTAGTATATGAAGTAAGTACAACTCCATTTCCATTCTACAAGTACACACACATATGCATACAAACGAATGCACACACATATGTACTGTAGCTGATGTTGGCCATATTATAGCTGTTTTATGTAATTTAATTAATTGATTTAGTAGTAATAGTTATTCAGTTTATTAAGTAATCTTTGATTATGACTTCGCTTTATCGTGCGACTCTCATCACTGAGGTCGTAGGTTCGATCCCCGGCTGTGCACTAATGGACTTTCTTCTATGTGCGCATTTAACATTCGCCCGAACGGTGAAGAAAAACATCGTGAGGAAACCAGATTAGACCCAAAAAGTCGACGGCGTGTGTCAGGCACAGGAGGCTGATCCCCTACTTGCCTTTAAGATTAACAAATTACCATGTAGCAGATACAGATATCTCAGGCCCACCGATTCTGTAACTCACTTTTTGAACCCACACAGCAATTTTCACAGCGGTGGTCGCACTCAAATCAGTCGTGAAGCAGTCATTTTATGATTTGGCATTCTGATAAACAATAAACTACAAGCCATAGTGCCATAGTTTAGTTCGAAAAGTGAGTTGTAGCGCCACTGATTTATTTACATTTTTGTAAAGTCACAGTGACTCTTTTGATGCTTTTATCATTCAATAAGTATGTATGCTATGTATAAAATATGTTTTAAGGAATATAAGATACAGGCATCACTTATACTCATCGGCAAAGAAGACCGAGGGTGTAGGCCGAGAGAAAAAGCCGGTGTAAAAACCTTTCGGTACTCTTTAAAGGATCTGTCTTTTAAAGGAGTAAAAGTATTTCAAAGTATTTGGAGAAGTTGCCGTATATGATAATGTATACCTTTAAAGTTTCCAGAGTTCTATGCAACTAATCTAAAAACTCTCTATCTGGGTCGGTTACTTAACTGAGTATCGTGGGCTGCTGTATAGTGTGATCTGACGCAATTTTTCTCCAATTTCGGTCTCTCCTTTGCAACTGTGTATAGTTTTGATGACGACGAGTCTTTGACTTGATCAGTCCATCTCGTTGGGGAACACGCGATCTTTTGCCTTTGGTATTGCCGATCACGATAAGCTTCTCTATGTTCCCCTAGAGAATCTGATCCTAAAAACTATTAGATTATAAAACCATGTCAAGTCAAAATCCTTTATTCATTTAGGTAACACAATGTACACTTATACATTTACTGCCAGTTCTCAAAGGGTGTAGAACGGACCAGAAGACCTGGCAATAAACTCTCCGCCACTCTTTTTAATCGCCAAGTTTTTTTGTTTCACATGTATTGTTATATTAAGGCAAGTACAGTTATGAATTACACAGAAACATACGCGGTAAATTGTGCACATCCTTCGTATATATTCAAGTTTATGAAAAGTTGGTTTCAGAAAGACACGGAATAAATATTGTAAGATTGTTTAAAAGTAAATTTATTTTTTTGTCGTTGGATAATTGACGTTAGTATTAATTAATCAGCATTACGTTTTATTTTAACAGCGAACGAAAGATTAAAAATTACGAGGTAAAAACATTACAACATTACAACGGTAGATTATCGAAAAATTCCATTTGTCATACATACATTTATTTTTATTATTTTTTATTAGTTACTTGTTAATATATATTTCTCGATTTTGAAGCGTAGTTTATCTAAGCGTAAAGGGTATACACTATTCTATTAGATGCTAAATAAAAAAACCACAACACAATCCCTAAATATAATATTTCTATATCTGTTCTCTGCAACTTTTTTTTCTGAATCGGCAAGACGGTGACTGGCACACGTAACGTTTGTCTCAAAACGACTCAACATATGTATAGGTGTATTAAATTAACTTTTAATTTAACATTACACAAAATTAAAAGGCCGGCCACGCACACGCGAGCCCTCTGGCATTGAGAGTGTCCATGGGCGGCGGAATTACTTAATATTAGGTATTGCTCCTGTTCGTTTGCCCTGTTTTAGAAATAAAACTAAAATAACAATATTAAAATTAAACTTGTAATAAACCCTAGCACAAAAGACCTGCAAAAATCTTATTTTTAACAAGGTATACATTAAAAACATGAATATAAAAATGATATAAAAATCCGGTCTTAATTTATAATACTTGAAAACACGAAAAGTTTAACATACGTGCAAGTATTACATTCAATTATGCATTTTTTCGACATCGTAATGTCACATATTCACTAAAGAATAAATTAATAATAATTTTTTTAAAGAATATACTTTTAATAAGATATGATTCTAATTTATCAAACGAAGTATATACTTATATGATATTATTTATTTACACAGTACCGAAGGAGATTCAACGTGTTATTTATTTTAAGTTCAACCGTCCATTTGTGGTATAAATATTTTTATTGAATACTTTTGAGGACATTTTGAAGTTGGTTACAATTATTTTATTATTAATCAATACATGTTACTGTAGCGACCTTCAATTGATACAATATTTAACAAATAGTCTCAAAGTTCAAACATTGAACTTATATCCGTGTTGATAGAGCTGAAGTGCCAAAAATAACAGTATGTTATAGACAGAATAATATTTACATTTACTTTGGGTTTTCAGGGCCTTGTAGCTGGTTGGTGGAATGATTATAACTTTTCCTGTCAGCCTGTGGACTACTCGGATAGCCCAAAAGCTAACAGGGTAAGTACATACAGTTGTTACACTCTCTTCCAGATTTAGATGGTTTAATTGATCAGTTTTCCTTTCTCAGTTTTTTCCAAGTGGCCCATGGACGCATGCAAGTCTGGCTTTCAAGTGCGTGGCCGACCGAATGAGTTCCTAATGTGAAAATAAAGATTATCTGTTTGGAATTGTGGGTTTGGCTTACTCCAGCGCGTATAAAAGAGAAATGAAGTTTTATAATGAACATACACCATCATTTGTGTTGTACTACCTGTGCTAGTCTACTCACTAAAGCATAATATATTTAATAGTGCTGGACTCCAACATAGTGCCAATTTTATCATTGATACCGTCTTTCTTGTTTTACTACTTGGTAAATCTCCTGAGGTTTTAAACTGGTTTAATGAACAATATCTTTCTCTTTTTCAGATGGCAGCAACAGTATGGTGGTACTTCTTTGCGAAAATTGTAGAGCTCTTGGACACGGTGTTCTTTGTTCTGAGGAAAAAGAACAGACAAATATCGTTCCTCCATCTCTACCATCACACCATGATGCCTATCTGTGCTTGGATTGGTGTGAAATTCTTGCCAGGTAGTACATATTTCATGTTTATTTTAATGGTGGTAGTTATTTTATTAAAGCCTTTTTTTACATTTTACATAACTTGACATTTTGAGTGCTTAATACCAGTCTTGGTGAGCGAGATAGTTATTTTAAACCCCGTGAAGACCCAAAGGGGCAAGATACATTTCTGTATTGATAGGTTTTTCATGAAAGATTGTTATATATAATTATTCCATAAAAGTTCATGGTTATTATTTAATGCACTTTTGGAGCCTGGGTGGAACCAACTGCCAATCGAAGTATGTTTGAAACTATTCTACTAAGGGTTTCATAAGAGACCTGCAATGCATACGCAAGTCATCTTGCAGTGTGTATTTATAAGAATATAAACCAATAATCATATTTTAGGTGGCCATGGGACTCTACTCGGAGTGATCAACTCATTCATTCACATCATCATGTACACCTATTACCTGATCTCTGGACTTGGCCCGCAATACCAGAAGTTACTTTGGTGGAAGAGTCACGTTACAACGCTTCAATTGGTAAGATTTTATCTTTATCTCGCTATACATCTGATCTTTGCGTACGTTTAATCATACCGTACATGTGTATATCCGTCATCGGTAAATGGAAAGATATTAAAAAAAAATAGAACCTAGTAGTAGTTCCTCAACCGTTCTGACAAACAAACAAAGCTTGCTTTAGTAATGTACAGTGTAATCTTTAAATACACGGAAGAGCTTGAACAAAGGTTGTTTAAAGCGTTAACACAACCTTTGGTTTTGATAACATTATTGTATAATTTATTTGCTTTGAAGTTGGTATATATAAGGGATAGAAAGAAAATTCTTTGCATGACTTCAGTGGCAGTTGTTGGAGGGACGTTTAAATAAATGAAACACTTTGTTTGAAGCTACGGATCAACTGCAATCGTTTAAAACATGAGCTTAACTAGCATAAAATTAGGGGTAGTGCGGTTACGTCGCTGGATTAACAAAAAAAATGTAATTGACATTATTTTTAACATTTCGTTACGCTTTTATTATTAATTATAGAGTTTGTTATTTTACTGGAAAACAATCACTTTTATCCTCGTTGTTAAATAATCCAAAATTTTCTAAAAAAAAACTTTGAATTAAAATTTAAATGACAGGCCAATACTATATTCCGCAGACTAACAAACAAATTAAATAAACAACAGTTAACACATGATAGATAATTAATAATCTATAAGAAATACAATTATTTATTTATATATATGTTGTATAATCTATATGTATGCAACTTAACTAACTATTTTGTTTTTTCCAGATCCAATTCTGCATCATATTCTACCATAACTTTACTGTTATGTTTTGTGACTGCAACTACCCAAAGTTTATCAACTTCCTACTATCCCTCAACTCTGGAGCATTCTTATATATGTTCGGTAACTTTTATTACAAAAATTACATTGTTGATAAGAGGCAACCAGCTGTATCCAGCAGCACGGTGTACAAAGAAGGCAAAGAATGTTAGTCTTACGATACTCAAATAGTATTAGAACTCGTTTTAGTGTGATCTAGCTTTAAGTAATGCTTCGTTGTAAAACTCTTTGAATGAGATAAAGAATATTATGAATTTTATTATTGGCACTGACTTGTAGAGGTTTCGTCCAATAGTTCGACTTTTGAAAATGGAATTAACAGTAATTGCATATTTCATAGTATTTGAATTCATTATTCGTTAACTTGTAACAATTAACAGTTTAAGGGTCTGTTCCACAATGTACGGATAAGTTCTACATAAGTTCCAAATTAGCTATTTATTACTTATTGGTAGGATAAACCCTATTGTTGCGTTTCACGACTGTCAGATAGCGCTATTCGTCACATAAAGTCCATCATAAGTTATGAGTCCGATGAATGTCAAATAGCACAATTTATCTTTCTAATAATTTATGTGTTGCATAGCTATTTGGTACTTTATCCATACATTGTGAAACATACCCTTAACATTAAAAATATTAATTTAAATCTCAATCAATAAGAGTATTTGAATAATATATTTATCACTTTAGAATTATGATAGTCAAAGTTTTATAACGAAGCATTTACGATATTTTATAAGGATAGCTTAAAGGTGTGTAGATATTATAATTAAATACCCTTTTACGGGCTAAGATGTAATTTTAAATATATGTAATGTGCCTTAATATCCTCGATGTTTGTTTCGTAGGTGAACTAAATGATTGTCGGACATAGTTCTGCGCTTCATTGACGTAATTTATATTAAAAAAAAGTGGACAAAACAGATCTCTGCTTCTTATGATTGCACATAACTAGTATGAGTCTGTACGTTCATTAACTCGAAAACTCTGGTTCAATGAACTTTGAAGTGTAATATTTTCGCTTAATTTCAAATAATATTCATCAAATGTCATGTAAATTTTTATATTTTATCTAAATATAATTAATATAAATGCGTAGAAATGTTATGAGCAAGAGCTTGGACTTAAGAGTCTTTCATTAAAACAGTTAATAAATTACATTTAGTAGAACAAATTCGTTCACAGATCAATAGATCAGGGCCCGTACTCTGTAACTTCCAAAAGCGATTCCGTGTAGCGAACTGCGTGTAAATTTGTCTTAAAAGGTAGAATTTTACATAGAAGTTATAATTACAAAATTTAAATCAAAATCAAAATACGTTTATTCAATTTAGATGCTTCTTAGAGCATGCTTATGAATGTCAACAACGTTTACAAAATTCACGAAAGAGCAAGACTACGCCATCCGTTCGCAAAACTACCAGGAGGCCTTGTTCTGAGAAGAACGGGCAAGAAACTCAGCAAGTTTGCCCTCCCTTTACATTACAATTATTCAAAGGAAAATGTCATAAACCACAACGTCATTAAAATTACATAAGTAAAAAAAAAAAAAATATCTGTTCTGTGATTTACCACATTCACCATTACACACATATTCATAACACTTCAAAGATAACAAATCAAATTATAAGAATATAATTAGAACTATTGCCAAGCGTTTTTATCTTCCAGGTAGTCATTGACTGTGTAGTAACCTTTACACATTAAGGTTTTACATTATTAGTCATATCATCATCGTCAATTCTTATATTAACTATATCGAATTTGAATACTAAAACGCTGTCACTATTAGAGGTTATAGAGTAAGGGCGCTGATCCGTCAAAAAATTCCACATTATTTTGAACTAAACCATTAATATCATAACGAATGACTCTGAGTGCGTTGATAGCTGCGAAATGAGGTGTGAGGTAAGGAAAAAGTGTTTCTGTTTTGAAAATCACTTGCCTTAAGACTGAGCAAGCACTTAGTTCGACAAGTAAATTTTTTATGAGCTCCTTTGCAAATAAGTCATTTTGTACTTGTATTAAAATTCACCAACAATGGACCAATCATTGTAACTTATAGAGCCTATGCATTAATCTGCCATATATTTTTTTAATCTTATACAAGACAGTCATAAATGTTTTATACATTATAGGTACGGTTCTTTTGTGTTGCTTAATAATTATGATATTCACTCTATATTTACCACACGTACAGCAAAAAATAGGACTCATTAATGAAACGGTATTAATGCTAAATGAATGTTATCAAATACTGCCTGGCTATACCATCGAGGCGTTACTGCGACGATTATGGTAATCGCCAGGTTTATAAAACTAAGAAGGCATAAGTAAGCGAATGGTACAGGTAGACGCAACATGTGCAAAGGCTGTTTCAGCGCAGAGGAATCAGTCACCCACGTAGTCCTGAAATGCAAGGCTGTGTCTAAAAAGCGTACAGAACGCACAACGGACTTAGTGAGAAACTAAGTGCGGAAATACATACACTACATATACTATGTCAAACTCTATACAAGTTTAGATTATGTGTGTATGCCGACTTAATGCTTAATCTATATATGGAAATTAATAGTGTTTGTCTCGCTAAAACTCGATAATGGCTGGACCGATTTGGCTCATTATGATCTTCAAATCTGTGGAAGTTCAGGGAAGGTTTAAACGGTGGGAAACATAAATAATAAGTAAAGAAAAATACTAAAAACGATAATTGAATTTTCCATAAAAACTGTTTGTAGATGTGAAATATTTGATGTCTTTTGTCTATTTAGAAATAATAAATGGTCCCATGGTTGTCATATATTTATAGCCTTCAGAATTTTGGGTTTCATTGCTGTATTATGAGGTCCGATCTCTTTGGTCTGTTTAAAATATTGTATTAAGTTTGACACAGATATATGTAGATGATAGGTTCCTCGGGTCATCTAGTAATGAAATATTTTTTTCTATTTAACACATACAATCATTTAAATACAATGTGTTTAACATCCACGTTTTACGAGGCCGTATAGATTTTCCTTTCTATCTGTTCTTGTCTGAAGAAATTGCTCGCAGTAAGTGACGAAATGTTGCATTTTTTAAATATATGTTTGTGATGTAATAAGATTGAATGCATTTGTTAAAATGGTATTTTATCGTAGAGAAAGTTAATTGGGGCACTGTATTTTTAAGTGAAGGTGAAATAGTCAGTATATTTATAAATATACATAAGTAAAAATATACTTTTAGCGAAAGAAATGGTAATCACTTTTCAATGAAGATTACAATACTATTTTAGCGTGGTAATTAATAAATCATTTTAACCGGTAAAAGTCTATTTTTAATGTGTGATGTGATAGTATGAAGTACATGAACATTTTAAAACTAAGTTTTTTAATCTCTTATATGACAATAAATAATATTTGGTTTATTTTGTTTTATTGCATTTTTGTATATTTATTCGTGACAAAGGGAAATGCAAACAGGCATTTTAAATCCCCTCCATAAATGTGCATATTTCAAAACTAAACCGATTTAGATAAAACTTGGACTGTTCCTTAAGTTAGGAATTTGATTCAAACATTTGCCTTAATAGATGGAATACTCAAATATGGTCCAATTCTGACAATATCACATACTTGTCGAACAGGAAATATAAACAAGATATAAAATAAAATAAAAAAGTGCTACAGGATTCAACGTGTATAATTATGTCCATTAAATTAATAAAATCTTATTTAATTTTATGTCGAAAAACATTAAGTTACGTATTTTTTGTCGCTTCCTCAATTTTGACAGTATAGTTATCTTCAATTCCTTCATTTTTATTATTTTTTTTCATGAATGGTAATTTACATAACTCGATAATTGGCCCCTCGAAGCACACCCAAAAAGGAAAGACAATAAGAACACTGCGATTGCAACTCCAAATGCAGCCAGGGCCTGAAAAATTACATTGGCAAACGTATTTTTTTTTTAATGTAATAGGAGGCAAACGGGCAGGAGGCTCACCTGATGTTAAGTGATACCGCTGCCCATGGACACTTACAATGCCAGAAGGCTCGCAAATGCGTTGACGGCCTTTCAAGAATTGGTATGCTCTTTTCTTGAAGGACCCTAAGTCGAATTGGTTCGGAAATACTTCTGTGGGCAGCTGGTTCCACATAGTGGTGGTGCGCGGCAAAAACTGCCTTAGAAAATGCTCAGTTGTGGAACGACGGACGTCGAGGTGATACGGATGGTATTTTGTATTTTGCCTTGACGTCCGATGATGAAACTCAGCTGCAGGTATTAGACCGAACAACTCCTCTGAACACTCTCCTCGTTTAAACAGTCACTCAATTCTTAGGCGTTCAATTATTTCAAATATTAGAACATAAATTACCTTGTTTAATAAAGAGTTGGTGTACACCATAGTGTTGTGTCCCAGTATAAAACGTGTGACAGTCAAGTGTATAAGATATACCACATATGTGAGTTTCGATGGTACTTGCCACATATTCCATTCCAGTATTGGTCTCCAAGTATCTAAAAACATCAAAGTATCCATAACACGCCAAACCTTAATTTTTATGTATGTGCTCTTGTGTACCAATGAACTTTCTTTCTATGTGCGCATTTAACATTCGCTCGAACGGTGAAGGAAAACATGGTGAGGAAACCGGCTTGTCTTGGACCCAAAAAGTCGCCAGCGTGTGTCAGGCACAGGAGGGTGATCACCTACTTGCATATTAGATTGTAACAGATACAGAAATCTGAGGCCCAGATCTAAAAACCTGAATTTATTTACTGAATTAATGCATACCAATGAAGAAGAAAATAATCTTCTCGAAGACATAGGTAATAGGAAAGCGTGAGTAAATCCCAGTGAAGGTAATCCCATAAGAAGTTGGCGTTTAATACCTAATATATTTATTTATTTCATAATCCAACAGCTAACATAAATTATATATAACGAAAAACAATTGTACTAAAGATATAGCCAAAGATGGAATACATAATATATACAAAAATGTTCAAAGGTTTACAAAAGGAAAAAAATCAATAACAATTAAAAATAGATTTGACTAAGTAATAAATCATTCAGCTGTGTTGTGTGATGGTGTGAAAGTGAGGGTATGTACGTGAGGGTGTATATGGCATGTGCTGATGATGCAGATGATTTAGCGCTATGGATTTTGTTAATTTTTTTTTATAGAACGGGGGCCAAACGGGCAGGAGGCTCACCTGATGTTAAGTGATACCATGGACACACTCAATGCCAGAGGGCTCGCGAGTGCGTTGCCGGCCTTTTAAGAATTGGTACGCTCTTTTCTTGAAGGACCCTAAGTCGAATTGGTTCGGAAATACTTCAGTGGGCAGCTGGTTCCACATAGTGGTGGTGCGCGGCAAAAACTGCCTTGTAAAACGCTCAGTTGTGGAACGGCGGACGTCGAGGTGATACGGGTGGAATTTCGCATTCTGCCTCGACGTCCGATGATGAAACTCAGCTGCAGGTATTAATCCGAACAACTCCTCTGAACTCTGAACTAATACTCCCTTTAAGCAATAATGCTTAAAATAATCGCGGATAACCGCAATAGCTTAAACAAGTCAAGCCTTAAATAGGGGTCGTTGCACGTTAAGCATAGACTCCTATCACGTCACATGCCCTCGAAGAAAGAATGTAATAGAATAGATAAATGAATAAATTTAATACTCACTTTCAAGTTTGAAAATCGATCCAAATATCATCATACATAAGAAAACACCGTATATTGGTTTATGTAAGCCAGCATATAAAGCTCGCACATACACAGATGTACCGTTTATAAATGGAAATCCGATTATTAATAGCCCAATTATCATTGGTAGCGGTAATGTAAATAAAAATTTATATTTCTGAAAAAAAACCCAAGTTAAAAAATTTGTAGTACCTAAACAAAGTATTTTCATCAATTTCGATATGGTTATGGTTTATACAAGAATCACTAATGTATAATAATTAATTTATTTAAAATTATCTAATATATTTAATTTAATTATCTGGTTATAAAATATTTCTTTGAATCTATACTTCTTTTGGCGCGTTAGGGAAACATTATGAGAGAAATTTTTTACGATGCGCGCGCACACCGTCACAAAAAACAGACACCCTGAAGTTAGCTAGTCAACATTTTAGTTTCTTCTATTGTTAGTGTCGTTTTTTCTACAAACGTAGAATTAAACTTTTGAAAAGATTTTTATCTTGTTACACCAAAGAGCTTCTAACGCGTGTACAAACACGTTTTTTTATATTATCAAGATTATATGCATACTATATTCCAGCTCCTAAGAAATCTGAAATAACCAGCAGTGACAGGCAGGACAGAACAGGCTGTTACGCTAGATGGCCCCTGCCCACACGGGGGCATTGGACTTTAAAGTCATATTAAGTAATTTTAAAAGTAACCAATTGATATATTATAATAATATTTTATGTATAGCTGACCTGAAATTTGACTAAATCAACTTTTTCCTTTTGCACATAGTGCGTATAGTATCCCAATGCGATACCCATCACAAAATCTGGTATATTATTGTGTGCTCGAGTATACACATATACATAGGTCGGATTCACAAAATATGTTGATGCCAATCTGTAATAGGGGTTAGTTATTTTAATGTGTACACTGAAATAGGGGACTAAAAAGTAATATTATAAATTAATATAACTACACCGACTTTGAATACGGCTGTTTTTTTATTTTTTATATATAATAGGAGACAAACGAGCCTGCGGGACGCCCAAAAAGGGTTGTAATCGCATCTCATGGATACCCATACCCAACGGGTGCGTTGCCGGCCTTTGAAGGAGGAGCTAAATTTGAATAGTTGGAGGTCGTATCATACAGGAAGGATCTCACCGGGAGTCGATTCCATAGTTCGCTACTTCGCAAAAGAAAATGTAAAACGGACTGTGGAAGATTCCAGCCATCAAGGTGATGAATTTTTGCATTTATACGGCTGGTACGGTGTTGAAACGAGGCAGAAGGGATAGGCTACCAAGTTCTAAACCGATATTGATGAAACTTAGATTGGATCCCAAGCTTGAAGATATACCTAATTACTATTTATAATTTAAATTGAAATGAATTATCTCGATAAAACTTTTGATTCCGATTTGTGACCACACATTTACACTTACAAAGTTAACACGTGTTTAAAATCCTCAAAAAAACATCATGTTGAAAAGTTATCCAATTTCAAAAATATCATATACTGGTCAACTTAATCTCCTTGTATTTGAAGTCGGTTAACTATTTCGTAAGCTGGCAGTGAAAGCAGTATCGTGAAGATTGTTGTGCAAATTTTTATTAGGAAGTTAACTTGTTTTTTAATTAAAATTGCCTTTAATGAGTAATTTGTAGATCTTATTATATAGGAGTAATTAAAGCAATTAAGGCTTTTAATAATTTCTTAAGCCTGAATTATTATGGCCAAAATGACGTGTGGCTTTAGTTTTTTCGCAGGCGCAATGTAGTATTTCTTATGTAGAAACCGAACTGATCAGAAACTACGGTTGATAAAACTACATAGAAATTTAGACGATTGGTACTTCCTTGCAAAACCTTTTATTGAAATTTATCCTTCGATTAAAATAAAACTGTTGTTTTAACAGACAGGTCAACTTTGTGCGGATCATAAAACAGCATTGCGCATTACTTCTACTAAGGCGCTTAATAATTATTAAGTAAAATGAATATTTAATCTAGTTAAAGGGAATGATGGACTAGGGGTTTCAGCGTGCTCTTATCACAAGGGTCATATGTTTTAATCCCGGCTGAACCAATGGACGTTCTGTCTATGGGCCCATTTACCACTCAGGTTGAAGGAAATTAATCAAGAGTAAACCGGTATGTTTTAGAGATAGAAAATCGTCTATGTTCGGCAGAAGGCAAGACTAGTTTATTTTTAATATTAAAACTTACTCAGGAGCAACAAACAATACAGCGTCTAAGTCCTGGTAGAATGTATGAGCAGCTGGTATAATTGAGCCAACAACAATTAGAATGGCTATAGTCCATTTCTTTGCTGATGTTCCTCTTGCCAATACACAAACAAAGTAGCCAAGTATCATTAATTGGACATTGGCGGCCACGTACCTAAAATAATTGGACACATTTAAAGAAAAACTTTTTAACCGGCTTTAAATTTATCCGACGTTTCGCGTGGTTTACAGCGTACAATAAATTTAAAATTATGTTAAATAATTGTAAATTTATAATAATACATAACTTTAATCCGGTTAAAAAGATTTTTCTTTAAATGTGTAAAGGTTATGTTAATCAAAGACAATACTAATTGGACACATATTTTATGGTTCTCTGTATTCTGCAGTTAGTTATTGGCCGGTTTAACTATAACTGACGTTTTGCCAATGTAATTGGATATTTTAACAGTCATGACAGATTAAATATAAATTTGACAATTGACGAAGGAGTGCTTTAGTTAAAAGAATGCTGTTAGACTGAGTTGAAAGGAAGAGAAAAGTTCTTCTGAAAATGAGAAAAAGAGAGATAATTATTTAAAAACTTTACTATAGGTAAAATTGTAGGTGAATAAAGCGGTTTCTTGACAATGCAATTTAAATTAAAGTGTAAGTTTGACATAGATTAATTTGGACTCAGGATTATTTTTGACTCATAGATTATTTTTGAATCAGGGACTCTTTTCGATCCCCGGCTGTGCACCAATACCAATGGACTTTCTTTCATGCGCATTAAACTTTCGCTCGAACAGTGAAGGAAAATCGTCAGGAAACCGGTAGACTCAAAATGTCGACGGTGTGTGTCAGGCACAGGAGGCTGATTGCCTATGAGATTAAGAAATTATTTTGAAACAGATAGAGAAATCTGAGGCCCAGACCTTAAAAAAGTTGTAGCGCCACTGATTTTTGTTTTAAATATAAATTTAGTATTTTAATGGTAACAAATTTAGTTTCTATCCTGACTATCATTTATTATCATATCATTATTATACCCCATTAATTAAATTTAAAAAATTCAGCATACTTTGCACTTGGTAGCTCTATTATTTTTAGACTAATTAAAAATGTAAATATTATTATTTGTATCAATTATTATTATTAACTAGCGGACCCGACAGACGTTGTTCTGCATGATATTTCAAGTGATTAAGTATATGAAACAAAGTATTATATAGTATCGATTGCAGCGCCATCTGCCGGACTGATTTGTGAATCTAAAACATCCACGGCGCCACCTAAACGCATACAAATTTTTAAGCTATTCCGTAAGAAATTCCGTAACGAAAAAAACATTACGCGTGAGAGTGGGATAGAACGCATACTGCGCATTCCCATCTCTCTGGCGAGATCGGTGATGTAGTGTGAGCGGGGCCGGTGCAGCCGGTACGCGTTAGAGTGAGACAGACTATATAGGCGTTTTAGTCTGAGTCTGGTAGAGTGGTAGATTGAAATAATATCAAAGAAAAAACTTGAATTAATATCAAAGAAAAACAAATATGTACTGCATAAATAAATAATTATAACTGCATAGTTGATAAAAAATGCTATGCAATAGCTTTACCGCGGCAGTCCCCGAGTGCCACACGTTTTTTTTATTCAAATCGGTCCAGCCGTTTAAGAGGATTTCAGTGACATCAGCAGAATTATAAATGTATATAGATACTAATTACCAACATAATAGCTCATACAGATTCTTCTTGTCTCCCTTTCTAAAAGTTTTTTGATGTAGTGTACTGGGGCCTTAGTCAAGATGCCTTAACAGTAGTGTATGTAGAAAGTCGAAAACTAAATTTGTATGGAAATGACAGTTCGTGTCGAAAAGTTTTCATACAAAATTAATTTTTGACTTTCTACATACACTACTGTTAAGGCATCTTGACTAAGGCCCCTGATCTAGTTATAATTATAGTCTATTACATATTTTACCTTTTTTAAATCAATTTATTGATTATTATTTTATATGTATTTTATCAATATAATAACTCCGATAGAAGCAATTGTTTTAAACGATATTCCTTTTTTCTTACATCCCCTTTCAATGTTATATCAAACGCCATAAGGTTACTTCAAAAAAGTTTGAATTGTATGGTGGCTAAGTATTCTTAAATTTTCTAATTTTCCGCGAAATTTAATTCATTCATTCATTCATTCAAGGCAAGATTCATTTTTATATATATAGATTATAGTTAAATAAGAGCTCTGTGGCACTTACCATGAATGATACATACATCTATTGGGATTTACATAATTGTTTAGATAGAACAAATTATACAGCCAGCTTTCTCGACACCACTCCACCTCACTCAAAATGGCAACCTGCAAAAGCAATGTTCTTTATAAGTTAAAACAAAAAAAACAATTTTTTGAAATCTTAGACAGGTAAACATTGACAAGACAGCAGAAGATCGTAAATAATGCAGTCAGAATGAAATATTTAAGGAAAAGCTAAGGCGCACAAGTCATAAAGAACAATGATATGTTGCAACTTAGCAACATTCAATGCTATGCAGATGACAGCACTGGGGATACTCTTTACACTGGCCGGGCAGCTATTACTCGGGCAGTTGTCGATGAGTATCGGAACAATGTCTCTTAAGTGGAAACTCTTCTACGTGGAGTTTCGGACTGGGGTAGGGTAAGGAACACCCTTTGTCGCTTCCCGTCTCTTCGAAGACACTATTCTTAAAGCCACAGCCAGCATCGGAATACTTGGCGTTGACATATCGAACGACGTTCAGTTTTGCGGCCATTTGTAGGGAAAGGCTAAATTAGCTCTAAAAAGCTTGGTTTTCTCAGCAAGACAAGACGGTACTTCATTCCGGGCCACCGCTTGCAACTGTAACGCGCAAATTCGGCCCCACATGGACTACTGTTCTCACCTCTGGGTCGGAGCTTCTCAGTACCAGCTCCTTCCACTTGACCATATTATATATTATAAGAAGTTCTATAAATAAAAATCGTGCTGCTGGAGGGTATGGGTAAGGCATTTCCCCACGAAAAAAATTGCTAACAGTAACTCAGATCAAAATTACACATTATATACTAAATGAAAAAATATTTATAATTAATAGAATAGCTGTTGTAAAATAATATAAATTTGCTGTTACTAACTGTAAAGGAGCCTCAATTAAGGAACATTAGACATGGAACATTTATTACTAACAAAAACACACACATATAAACACACATAATAACAATAATCAAAGAAAAAAAAGAGAGATAACAAAACATTTTTTTCCCTTTTCCTTTCGGTTCGTTTCAAGTGTGTAATGCGTGTGTGTTGTGGCTGTAATTGGCCCTGGCTCAGCATTATGCTGAGGAGCAGACTGATCCACAGCGCTGATCATTCAGTGTTGATTCGATGTAAAAGTTTTGGAAGATAGAAGTAGAAAATGGTTGGTATTACATGTGGGGATGATGGATGGTTGGGATTACAACTCCAGAAGTTGTATTTAGTAGTTGTATTAGTATAGATCTTATTTTCAGAATAAAAGAATGTGATTATTCATTATAAACAATGGATTATAATGTGTTTTGGGAACCTTTTTAAGTAAAAACACCTGTGTCAGGGTTCTTAGTTCTTCCATTACAGACTTAATACTTATTTCCATAACAATTTTGTTTACAATTTTTTAAAATAAGAATGGAAAAATATGAAAATTTTAAGGAAAGGTTCCTTCTTATTTCTTACCTGCCAGTAGGGTCCTGAACCGAGATAACCAAGCCACGTTATTGTAAATATAAGAATTAAAGCATACGATGGAGTTAACCTAAAAATAAATATCGTAAAAAATATAATTTATTCTGTTTTATACAAATAAATTAAAACATAATAACTTCAGCATTCTGAAAATCCAAATTAATTTATTAGACATTATGCATGTTAAAATCGATTTATTATTCTACAAGAAATTCATTCCTGCGTCGCTTAGGGTAAGAATTATTCGTTAAAACTTCGTTACAATTCAAATAAATTGTAATATAAATTATTAAAAACGTTTTTGATTTTTCAAAGTTCGTTGCGGGTAGGCGCAAGTTGAATATCGAGTCCTCACAAAATAACCAATTAAAAATAGAAATAAGTGAGAATACACAATAAAAAGTAAATATCAAACTGAACCAGGAGAAGATATACCACAGGCAAACGTATCTGCCTCATTATTAGTGTAAAAAAATAGAACATTTTCACGTTTTAATTTGTGTTATTGCAACGGTGACTTTTCGTTTTGACTAAAACAATTAAAAGTGCGTGTACAAATCTAGTGCAAGTGACTTGGAACAAGGATCAGTCAATTTTTGTTGATATTACTACAAAAAGAAGAAAAAACTACGACTTTGTAACAGTGATGTTAAACGGGTATACGTGACTTGCAGCGACCTAATATTACATTAGTCACTCCTTGTAAACGTCACTCAAGAAAGAAACTGTTCAAGTAATTCGTCTTCTTCGTCATACAGTATCTCGGCGTCGCAGATAAGCTGTGTTCATGAATCGAACATTTGTATCGGCCCGAGTTCAAACCTAGACACGGAATATTGATACTTCAATTAATTTCGAATTTTTGTTTTTATAATTTTACTTGAAGATATCTAATCTATTTCTAACGGATAGAATATAAAAGGAAAAATAATTCTGTAATAAAAAAAAAAAAAATTAGAAACAACATTTCAAAGTATGGACAAAAAAGAAATGGAATACCTTATAGAATCGATACACCAAAAGCTGTGCGAAAAGTTGGAAGATCAGACGAGAATTATAACAGAAAGTGTAACAAAGTCCGTCGTAAGCAGCATAAATGTGAAGTTAGCAGAATTAACTGAAGAAAACAAGAAACTTAAATCGGAGATCGTCGTTCTAAAAGACAAAGTAAAATTCCTTGAAGATGGGAAAAGGAAAAATAATTTAGTATTTTTTGGCATACATGAAAACCAACAAGAAGAACCTAACCTGCTTACACACATACTGAAGTTGATAAATAATTCAACTGGTTTATCCTTGGACCCTAAGGAGCTAAGCTCAGCTTATAGACTGGGCAAAAAGAGTGAAAATCCTCGCCCAGTCCTCGTTAACTTCACTAGCCTTTGGAGAAAATACGAGGTACTGAAAAATGGAAACAAACTCCCATCTAACATGTATGTAAAAGAAGATTTTTCCAAAGAAGTATTAGAAAAAAGAAAACTATTACAAACCGAACTAAAAGCTGAACGTGCTAAAGGGAAAACTTGCCACATTAAAAAAGATAAGCTCGTTATATACGAGAATACGCGTGAGAAATCTGAAAAAAGAAAGAGAAACTACTCAGAATCTCCGAAACAATATCAACCCCAATCAACAAGTAAAAAAATAAACTTACTTGATTACTACGAAGCGCATGGCTCGAATTCAACGCCGAAACAGCAAAAAAACTAGTATGCGCCACTGACCGCTCGAACCAACATAATTCTTTCAAACACAACAACAAAAGACAAAACGCACTAACCACCCCAAGCCGGCTGGTCACCGTGGGGGCTGTCGACCACTCCCTTCCAGCTCAGAAACGAGATGAGAAGATTCACAAAAACATTACAAGTTCCATCACTCCAAGCCGAATCGAAAATAAGATACTTTATATCGCCACTCTGAACTGTCTGTCATTGAGAACACACGAAAAACTTACCGAGCTAGAGTTAGCTCTTTTAAAGAAAAATCTTTTAAACTGGGACATATTAGGATTAAGCGAAATAAGAAGAATAGGCGAAAGCATTGAAGATCATAAAGAGTATATCTTCTATTATAAAGGCGAAATAAAAGGATCCCATGGAGTAGGCTTTATGGTTAAAAAATACTTACAGCCAAATATAGAAGAATTTAAGGGCATATCAGATAGAATAGCCATTCTTAATATAAATTTTCCAGGTTTCAAGGACAAATGGTCAATTATACAAATTTATGCACCTACTGAAAATCATGAAGAACATATCAAAGATAAGTTTTACAACCAATTGACTACAGTCTTACAAAATACTTTCAAAAACATCATAGTTATGGGCGATTTCAATGGAATAATAGGACGCAGACGTCCTGGTGAAGAGAACATCATAGGCGACTTCGGCTTCGGCCCAAGGAGCAAAAATGGAGAACGAATGCTCAATCTCGCTCTCGAAAATAATTTAGCATTCATGAACAGTTTCTTCAAAAAAGTTACGGCGAAGAAGTGGACATGGATATCTCCGGACGGACGCCACAAAAATGAAATCGACTACATCGGAACCAACAATAGGAAACCCTTCCAGAACGTTAGTGTATTAAATCAACTCAACTTCAACACCAATCATCGATTAGTAAGAGCCACCATAAAATGTATCGAACCAAAGAAAAGTAGAAATAAATACAACACAAAAACAAAGCTAATGATAGTAAAACAAATCCCTGACAATGAAGTCAAAAACCAGATAGAAGGAAAATATATCAATGAAGTAAATGAAATACTTGGAACTCTAAGTCGCAATCCCCCAAAAACTAACAAGAAACAAATTGGAAAAGAAACTCAAAAGCTAATGGAAGAAAGAAAACAGCTCTTAAAACTGGGAAAAAACAAGCAAAATCTAAAATTGATATCAGAAGTAAGTAAGAAAATTAGTAACAATATTAAGAAAGAAAGAACCAAAAGAAGAATAGAAGCACTTAATTACCACATAACCAAGACAGGAGGAGTTAAAAAAGCTCTAAAAGAACTCGTAGAAACAAAACAATGGATACCGAACATTAAAAACTATGTAGGCAAACAACAGACAAAAAGAAAAGATATATTGAAAACTGCAACAGACTTCTATAGAAACCTCTACTCACTAGAGACTGATAATACCTCACAGAATTCAGTAAATCTTGAACAAGACGAAGAAGAGGTACCTAAATTTCTCCTTTCAGAAACGGAGCATGCTATCAAAAGCCTAAAAAATGGAAAAGCGCCTGGACCAGATCACATAACTAATGAGATGATCAAAGTATCATCAGCAGCACCAGGGAACCTAAGAAAACTTACTGAACTATTCAACACCATACTAAAAACGGAATACATACCTTCTCAATGGACGAAGAACATAATTACACTGCTCCACAAAAAGGGTGACAGGAACATCATAGAAAACTATAGACCTATAAGCCTTATGTCCAACATGTATAAAGTTTTCTCCAAAATGATCCTGCGAAGAATAACGAAGGTAATGGATGAACAACAACCCATGGAACAAGCTGGATTCAGATCCGGATTCTCAACTGTAGATCATATACATTATACATGTTATAAAACAGCTAATACAAAAGTGCAAAGAATACGGAAAAGCACTATACATCGCTTTTGTAGACTACAGTAAAGCATTCGACTCTATAAAGCACGATTCCCTCTGGAGAGCCTTAATACAACAAGGTATACCAAAAAAATACATACGTATAATTAGAAATATATATACGGCTTATATCAAACTAGAGACAACGGGTGAAGAATTTCCTATAGCCAGGGGTGTGAGACAGGGCGATCCTTTGTCCCCAAAACTCTTCTCAGCCATTTTGGAGAGTTTATTTAGAAATTTGGAATGGGATAAGGTCGGCATAAACATAAACGGCAGACAACTGAACCACCTAAGATTCGCAGACGATTTAGTGATCATTTCAGATAACGCAAAGACGCTTCAAACTATGCTGCAACAGCTGACAGAAGCAAGCAAGATAGTTGGGCTTTCTATGAACAAATCTAAAACGAAAATAATGACAAATAGAGAAACTATTATGATACAAATAGGAGGAGATGCTATCGAATATGTAGACCACTACGTATATTTAGGGCAAATAATATCATTTCATGACCAAATGGATCTTGAGATAGAAAGAAGAGTGTCTAGCGCCTGGAAGAGATTTTGGTCACTCAAGGAAGTACTTAAAAGTAAAGACTTCCCAATAGTAGCTAAGAAAAAGGTGTTCAATCTATGTATCCTACCATGTGTTACATACGGCTGCGAGACTTGGGCTTTATCTCAGAAACATCTTCTAAAGTTGAGAACATGCCAAAGAGGAATGGAAAGAAGCATGGTGGGTGTAACACTGAGACATCGAAAAAGAGCAGAAGAGATCAGATCAACGACCAAAGTAGAAGACATTATAAAGAAAATAAGGCAGTTGAAATGGCGCTGGACTGGGCACATGACGACAGATAGCAGGTTGAAATGGACAAAAATAATTACAGAATGGCAACCACGTGATGGAAAAAGGAAAAGAGGAAGACCGACCAAGAGATGGGCAGACGATATTAAGATAATAGGAGGCACAACTTGGACAAGAAGAGCTAATAACAGAAAAGAATGGAAACAGCTGGAAGAGGCCTACGTGTCACAGGACACGCTGATTACCAAAAACGGGTCATATGATGCATTAGATTAAGTTTTATTTTATTTATGTGTTAGAATTAAGTGTTTTTTTATGTAACTTAAATAATTGTATGGGTGTCAGCAATAAAGGCTAAATAAATTAAAACATAATAACTTCATGAATGTTTTTAAATATAATAACACTCTACAAACGGATAATTCATTTGCTTTGCTAATTTTATTTATTTATTTTATTGTAAGATAGGCCGGTTTCCTTGCGATGCTTTCAGTAAATGTCACTCGAAACATAAACCAATTGCAAAGCCGGGATTTGAACGCACGACCTTTGTAGAGAGTCACACGCTCAAGTCACTTAGCCATTGGTTTTTTAAAGAATAAAAATAAATAAATTATAAAGTAGGTTTACATACCTTAGCAGTGTAAACAAAATTCCTTTTGGTATCCAATGCCATGTAAGTTTTTGCTTTTCTGACAATTTTTCTAATTTATATGACAACAGGAATCCTGCCATTATAAAGAATGTTTGGACGAGTACAGTCCCGTTAAAAATTACATAATATATCACGTTATCATACATCTGAAATTATTAAGAAAATATATTGTATATAAATATATATATAAAAATGTTTAAAAAGCGAGCCTACTCCTCCCTCAAAGGCCGGCAACGCACCCACTAAAAATGGGTGTCTATGGGCTGCGTAGACTGCCCTTTTTGGTCGTCCGGCAAGCTCGTTTGCCCCCCTATTATATATAAAAAAAAAAACAAAGTTTTATGATGTTATGTAACCTCGATAAAAAGATTATTGAGTACAAAAAGATGTTTCGTAATTAGGGTCCAAAGGTCATATCCTAATCCCAGTATTTTGAATAGATGAGAAATTACATAATTGGATGAGGCATTGCTAGAGACGATGGTAGGTGGATGGGATGTCTTTGATTCCTTGGAGGGTGAGCCGAGCTTTGGCATGGGATGCTACTTGTGTGGTCACAGCCCCGTCAAGCACAAAAGCAGTGCAGACAGAAAATAATAAACGAATCAAATATATAGAAATAAGAGTCTTGTCTCCAAGTTTGATTTTGTTCCCTTTGAAGTGGACTCTTGGGCCGTGGGGTTCAAATGCACAGGCGCTAATTAAAGATTTAAGTTGGCGCCTGGTAGATAGTACCGGTGACCCCAGAGCTGGTGCTTTGCTCGCATACAGCGACGAAATGCTGCATTAATAGTACACTGCCACAGGGACCATACTTTTTAAATTTGTTTTAATTTTCTTAAGTATTTAATTTTTAATTAGTATTATTACTTAAGAATATTGTAAATACTGTACATTTGTTGTAATTAAATTATATTTGCAAATTTATTCATAGATTTTTTAATTGTATTTCCTTTTTAATTTATATAAAATTGATATTATACTTACTTTTTCCGTGAAACGTGGATTTTCCGGAAAAATGCGAGTGATCATCATCGAATGTATATAAATAACACATAATATCGTCAGCATTCTGAAAATCCAAATTAATTTATTAGACATTATGCATGTTAAAATCGATTTATTATACTACCAGAAATTCATTGCTGCGTCGCTTAGGGTAAGAATTATTCGTTAAAACTTCGTTACAATTCAAATAAATTGTAATATAAATTATTAGGGAGGCTTTATCGCTAACAAGCGATATCTTCCAGGCAACCCTAGTAAGAAAAAAAAGGTATATGTAGTAAGGTACGTTCTATTCTCAACGCTATGTATGACTCACATGCCAAAAACGTTTTTGATTTTTCAGTCCCGACTCGAAATACCATTTAAAACTTAACAGGTTGAAATGAGGCTTTTATAAAGAGATTTAAAAGCCTTCTATGCGAACTATATATGTAGTATAAAAATCCAAGTCTTTTTCCGTTGCGCTAAATCTTTCGTGGTTCCAGGCGAATGTTTATATGCAATTGCAGTTATAAATATAATATAATACATATAATTATTTAACTAATGTAAACAAAATATTGTAAACCTATTTTAAAAGAGTAAGTGTGGAGTTTCTTGCCCATTCTTCTCCACACGAAACTACCTTTTGGAAGGGGCAACTAGAATCTTCTTTGTATTTTGTTTGACGTTCAAAAGTGCCATTTTAGGTGGTCTAATTGAAATAAATGATTTGATTGATTGAAATGTAGTTCTTAAAAACCTTTTTATGTAGAAATAAACGTACTATACGCTTCAGTCTTCATAAAGCAATCGCTACACCTCTATTCGATAACACTCTCCTTAAAGCCAAAACCCGCATCAGAATTCTTTACTTGACATATCGAACGACGTTCAGTTAAGTGGTAATTTGGAGGGAAAGGCTAAATTAGCCTCCAAAATGCTTAGTGCTCAGCAAGACACGGTACTTCACTCCGGGCCATCGCTTGCAAGTGTATAAAGCGCTAATTCCCCAATACCAGCACTTGACCGAATTTCACGAAGAGCGGTTCGAATCGTCGACGACCAGTCAATTTTCGAGCGTCTAGTTCTCTTGGTGTTTGCGTAGAGATATGATATTTCCGGAGGGCTGAGGGCTCTGTTTTTATGGCTATCTTTTACGCTACATTTATCCATGTAGGTGCCTACGTAAATTTAGTTCTTATAAAACATTTCCTACTAGACTTTAGTGATGCCCAAAATCGGTCTTGGTCTTGTTCTTGCATTTTCGCAAGACCAAGACTGAAACATGCAAGACAATACTTAAGCCTGCAAGACCTCTTGCGTCTTGCAGTTAAGACAAACAGATTTGGGCGTTATTAACGCCCGAACCCAATAACCTATCTCAATCCATACTGCACCATCTGAGATAGTAATCTTAAACCAAATGTTGTAAAAGAGTGCCAATAACCAATCGACGGATAGCCATCTGTCGATACAAGCTATCCATGGGAGGTCAGATCGGTGTCTGTGGATAGACCTTTGTATGAAAATGACAGTTGACGAAAGCTCGATTTCAACAGTTAATTATTTTAACAGATTTTAACTTACACCAGTTTTTTAAATAATTAAAAAAACTGTTTGTTATGTTTTAAAGATACACATGAATATCTTATAATAATAGGCTAATAGGTATTTGCAATTCTTGCAAGACTCTTTCTGCAAGACCAAATCCAAGACCAGGCCTGTATTGACGCAAGACCAAGACTGACCAAAGTCTCGTCTTGGTCTTGCATTTGGGCAACACTACTAGACTTATATATCACAAAATGTATTTAATTTAAAACAACTGTATTCAAATACATACAAACTGTACCATACCTTAGTCCATGTAGGCATTTTAGCTGTTGTTCATCATCATCTAAGTTTGTGTATGAAGTTCGTAACTTGGATATATTTTGTTTCATGGAAAAACACATAAGAAATCGGTTACCTGTAATTTATAATAAAGAGTTCTATACATAATGTTTGTTATATATAATGTGATATCATATTTATAAGTTGCAGTTTACTTCAGGGTGACTTGTGTGTAAGTTTTTTAAAGTGCAGTAAATTATTATAGTACAGATTGTAGCGTTTGTATGTGACCACAGATTTAATAATAATAATAATAACCAATGGCGCTACAACCTTTTTAGGTCTGGGCCTCAGATTTCTGTATCTGTTCCATGATCATTTGGTAATCTAATAGGCAAGTAAGTCAGCTTTCTGTGCCTGACGCACGCCGTTGACTTTTTGGTTCTAAGGCAAGCCGGTTTCCTCACGATGTTTTCCTTCACCGTTCGAGCGATGTTGAATGCGCACCGAGAAAGAAAGTCCATTGGTGCATAGCCGGGGATCGAACCTACGACCTCAGGGGTGAGAGTCGCACGCTGAAGCCACTAGGCCAACACCACAGATTTACCTTTATGAATAAATTATAACTCTGTTGGCGAAATATTCTCTTCTTCAATTATTAGGAGCAACTAATATTATTATTTTATAAAGTTTATTTTGCAATAATTTGATAACACGATGTACACAACTAACCTACACTAAATTAATAATGTGTAAGTAATTCTTTGAGAAAATAAGTATCTTTAAGAATCAAATATATGACGAAATGTCCTTAGTAACCTAAATCTTCTTCGGGATTGAATTACCTTTGCTATTTATCATACATGAATGATACAGAGTCCCAACTAGATTCATGATAATAATGACGACAATTATTACTAAAACAATAATATTTCCAGCGGTAAAAAGAATCGGCTCATTAACATCAGTATTGCATTGCAACGGTTGAAGTACTCTTGTCTTTAACTTATACTTTTGCCAGTATGTATCATTTAGGCATGCTTCAAGGGACAACACTTGATCCTTTTTATTTGTATAACCACATTGTTCTGGTACGCATACACCATGACGTAATAGGCTATGATTGTAACGTGTGTTTTTGTTACTCGAATATGCCTGTAATTAATAATGTTACAATTATGGTATTTGCTTTATTCGTCGTTTATAATATTATTTCATAGCGAAGCGGTGCTATTCTATTCAGATTCAAACTCACAAATCACATAAAAATTACGCTAGCTGAATTGGATTTCGAATCTACAGAGGCGTACGTATCTTGGCATGACTCTGAGGTGCCAAAAACTATCACAGACACAGCGCACGCTTGTAACAACTCTTAGCTACACTCTCAATACATGCGCGCACACACCCATTCACACATTTACAAACTATAAAACTAGGAAAAGTGATTTCAAAGGGAGGAACTGTGAATACTCAAAACATACTCGTTAGTCAGAATGCTCAATTTGGACATCGGAGAGCTTTGCCCATTGAAGCCAAAAACCTCTATATTTCAATAAACAAATATAAACGCGAGATTTATACCTGATGTTAAGTGATAAACACCCATAGATACTCACATACAATATATAGTAAATAGTGGTAGCCTTCTTGCTTATATAAAAAAAAATGCGTTTCTTGGGCAGCTTTTGCTGCGCACCACCACTTTGTGGAACCAGCGTCCCACCGATGTATTTCCGAACCAATTCGACTTAGGGTCCATCAAGAAAAGAGCGTTCCAATTCTTAAAAGGCCGGCAACGCTCTTGCGACCCTTCTGGCAATATGAGTGTCTATGGGCAGCTATCACTTGACATCAGATGAGCCTCCCGCTCGTTTGCTTCCGGTTATTAAAAAAAACATACTCACGTTTATCATATCCAGAAGGTCACTTTGTGTGTCTGATACTAAGACGAATTGGACCAAGCAGTATGTTCCGTTTGGTTTTAATGTACAGTCCTCGTAGAGGTCCATTTGAAAGACTGGCGGCATCCGGGAATATTCTGTATCTGATTTGATTACGTAAGTTATTTTTTTTTCTTACAATAAAGTTCACATAAAAGAGTGCGACTTTACATGAATTACAATCTAGCCTATACAATAATTATGGCTAATTTTATTTTAACCTAATTTTCTACAATTCTAATGAATAGCTTAAACTAAGGTAATGTTCATTAACAGTCTTAGTGTTCTATAACATTTTGACACTTTCGTGTTTCCGAGATACCGCACTTGCACTTATATTCACTACACTAGATTTTTTAACTCCAGAGGTTTAGTTCTCTTTAGGCGTCTTCCGAATTACGTAAGTAAAAATAATATAAAAATTCTTGCAGATGATTTTTAAATGTATATTCGGTGGGTCTGGGGAAGGTAATATATTTTATTTAGGGTAAGTGACGTAAGTAAGGTGACAACCTTTACCACTACGGGTAAGTGGTCAAAGATGGGCCGGGCCACCTCAATATTTTCAAATTATCTATTAGTGCAGTGTTTTTCAACGTGGGGTCCACGCCCCACAGGAGAGCAATTTAATTGTAAGGGGGGCAATTCGAAAATGGACTCGACGTTTTTCATTCTATGTTTTGAGTTAACTTAATTTTTTTTAAGTTAAGTTAATTTAAGTGATATAATTTTAATGTTTGTTACATATAAGATATAATTTAAGAAAGACATGCCAAAAAAGGTTTAACAAACAATATGTATGTTTAAAAGAAAATCAGTACCCTACAACCTTTTTTGGGTCTGGGTCTTAGATTTCTGTATCTGTTTGATGATAATTTTTCAATCTTATTAGATCAGAGCTAATCACCTGTTTACCTATTGGTAAACAGGTGATTAGCCCCCTGCGCCTTACACACGCCGTCGACGTTTTGGATCTAAGACATGTCGGTTTCCTCGCGAAGTTTTCCTTCACTTTCAACCGAATGTTAAATGCGCACATAGAAAGAAAGTCCATTGGTGCACAGCCGGGGATCCGATCTCAGAACTGAGTCGCACGCTGAAGCTACTAGGTCAACACTGCTCTCAATGTTTAAAAAATACTAGAATAATATTAATCTATAAATCATACATATACTTATCAATTATTGATTTTGATTTAATAAATTATAGGTGAAATCAATTTCAAGAAGAAACTTGTTATCTACGAAAGACTCGTCTGTCTTGGGTTAGTACTGGCAGAAGTGTTTAAAAATTTTATACGTAGTATATTTGCTTTATTAATTGAATACATTTTACCATTTAAATAAAGTCCGTTACACAGTTCCAATAAAATCACAAACACCACAACCTTCATATTGACCAAGAAGCGTCAAACGTATCGAAGTCTATAAAACTTATAATAAACAATTGAATAAAACATTTATATTTAATACACCAAGAAATATATATTTTATTACTATATTATGTGGTAATCATTGTCCTAAAGAATTTATAAAAATGGTAATTATATTTATCACGCAATACTTTAATATGCAAATCGATATAATTTTATTGTGAGTACAAAATCTGTAATTTATAAATCGTATGCAAATGCATTTATTAATATTTTTTGTATGAACGATTATAAGTATAATAAAAGCTTTTTAAAAATAATATTTCTTATTTGTATTCTGTATGATTATTTTATACATATTCTTTACAAATTCTTACCTTAAATACACAGAATTTTCAATTTTCTTAACCTACATTGTAAATATAATAATAATAAAAAATTGTGATATAGAATATTAAAAAAAGAAATTAAAACGTTTGGTCCCTGTGGCAGTGTACCTTTAACGCTTGTCCCATTTTCTCTTAGTATTGCGATACTTATTCGTTGAGCGAGTAAAGCGCCAGCCCTGGGGACACCGGTACTATCTATCTATCTCATTTGTAGATTAAAATTTTTTTTTATTGATTGACATAGCTTTATTATAATATTTTCTGGGAATGAATCAAGTGTTAATTAGTTTATATTCTTAGAGATTATACAAGAGACAGTCACATTTTATCAAATACTGTCCAAAAATCCAAATGCAATACTGGTACAAATCGTTTGGCAAAAAAAAAATTGCTGATTTTATGGCGGTATGGCGGCCATTTGGAACCATCCGAAAAGTATTGCATGGTGATTTTCGTAAATGGCTGCACGATGATTTTAACCGTGCAAAAATTAGCCTGGTACAAATGGTTGAATTTTTTTTAAATCATCGCATTCGCGTCAGTATGGCGGGCTGTAAGTCACACCGGAGAAGTATGGCATGACACTGCCACCTCTTATTTTTTTATGGACTATCGGAAAATACTAGAATTTATGAGGAACAAATCGTTTAAAAGTCGTAAATAATCCGACGAGTTCGACTAACGCCCACGCGCTTGGGCCGCCGGTACCAGCGCTATGACCATCAAAATTCTTTTTTTATTTCGTAATAAGACTACTGTAGAACCGCCATACTGGTACAAATGACTAACTATTTTGTAGTAGTGTAGTAGTTTGCCTATGTGTTAGATATTATATCATTACTTTAAGACTTAGGGTCTGTTTCACAATGTACGGATAAGTTCCAAATTAGCTATTTATTACTTATTGATAGGATATACACAATTGTTGCGTTTCACGACTGTCAGATAGCGCTATTCGTCACACAAAATCCATCATAAGTTATGAGTCCGATGAATGTCAAATAGTACAATTTATCTTCCAAATAATTTATGTGTTGCATAGCTATTTGGTACTTTATCCATACATTGTGAAACAGACCCTAAGGGTATAGTATTGTATTTACTTTGGTAATTGGTATCCGAGTAAATTTTGTATGTAAATTAATCTTACCATAAACAAAAGATATAAAAACAAAAAATATATAAAATATTTTTTTTTAATCAAGAACGATTTCAACTTATGCGTTCGAATCTGGTTGTGCACAGTTTTTATATGGAAATCGGCGTCTTTCAAGTGACTGTGTTAATTATTATTTTTATTTACACTTCGTTGCAATAAAAATAAAAGAAACACAAATAACACAATACATAAAAACTATAAGGCATGCAACCGGCGGCCTTATCGCTAATAAGCGATTTCTTCCAGGCATCTCTAGTTAAAGAGAAAAACTAAAAAAAAAGAAACATGATGAGTGCGAGAAGTGCATGTGAACCAAATGTTATATAAAAAAAAATATAGAACCTTAATCTAAAGTAATACAAAAAAAATATATTAATAACAAACTAAAAACTTAAAAGCTAATCTTACAGATTCATGAACAGCGAATAGTGATGCAATGCAAAAGAAAAGGAAACACAAGAATTACACAAGTCACGATTGATCAGGATAGGATAAGGTTAAGAAATGTTTATACAGAAGAGTTTTAGAGGTGACTGAGAGGTAGCCAATCGTATGGACACGGGCAGCCTATTCCACAACTTAATGGCGGAGATCCTAAATAAATTGCCTAAGAAGGATGAACTGTGGGATGGAATTTCCAATAATTAATATCAATTAGAAGAGCGTAACATATAGTTAGAAGGACCTAAGAATTTGAAGTGATTTTTGAGATAAGAAGGGGTTTTCGGATTGAAAAGAATTGAGTATAGAAGTTAAAGAAGATGAGCGTCACGTCTGAATCGAATAGGTAGCCACCCCAGTTGCTTGCGGAATTTAGACACATGGTCATATTTTCTAAGACTAAATATGACACGTATGCAGAAATTCTGCAGGCGTTCGATCTTGTCAAGTAGCTCTTCGTTCAAATCAGAGGAGCGTGAGTCCGCATAATCGAGAATAAGCAGAAGAGACTGCGCTAACATAGTTTTAGTGCGGATAGGAAGGAAATTAGAAAGATGTCTCAGAGCACAAGAAGCGGCGTAAAGTTTACGGCCGATCTCCTTTACGTTCCTCCCCAAGAAAACGTTTGGTCGAAGATGACCCCAAGGTTTTTAACAGTCTTATTGAGGGCCAAGGCCACACCGTCAAGGTAAACACCAGGGAGCTGAGCCCATTTGACTCTTGAAATAAAGAAAGGGCTATCGATGATAATGACTTGACTCTTGACAGGATTAATTTGAAGACCAAAGTCTTTACTCCAGTTGGCTATGTTTACAACATCATCATTCATCGCCTGTATTGAAAGAGGAATTTATATTGGAATTGGGAGAGAAGCTAAGTCGTACAGACCACTCCAGTCAATTTTGGATGATCACTGAGCAGGCTACCATGGTCGATTCCACCAAAGCTGCGACGCATAACTACCGTGGGCTTCTGTTTGGGTGGCCTAGCTTTAAAGGAGAGGTAGAGAAGGTCATGGTGAGAGAAGGCGACAGCAGGAAGTTGCCCATGCTTAGTGACAAGGTGAGGAGAGGAAACAAAAAAAGATCTAAAAGTGACGGAGTAAAACCGGGGACTTTATGCGTGGCGTTAAGATGTAAGTTTTGTAGGTTGTAAGAGTGAGTTAAAGAAAGGAGCCGTCTGGAGCGAGAATCATTTTTCAGCAGGCATGTGTTAAAGTCACCCATGACTATTGTGTTTTTATATAAGTGAGAAAATTGGTCAATGGTGTCTTCAAAGGAATCAAAGTAGTCCACCGCTGATGAAGGGGAATAGAAGACTATCAGAAGAAGCTTAGAGTTGGAGAGAAGAACTTCGATAAGGAGATGCTCGGCTGTATTGCTAGGTGGAGGCTGTGGCGATGAGTTTATAATGGAGAAGGGGATGTGAGAACGCAAGTAAACTACCTCTTTTGGTCTAAGATCCCGCTGCAGGATTGGTGCGCTCATCGACTATTTGTTTAAAACCAAATTTTTATGTTTATTTATAATTAAGAGAATATATATTTACTAGGGTGCCTATCAAAATTTGGCCGCCATTATTTTTAATTAAATTATTTTTAATTGATTTTTGGTAAAAAATTTCGTTCATTTATTATTTAAATAAAATAACGTCTACATCACGGTAATTAATATGAAGATTCTAAAAAATCACGGGTGCCGTTGCGCACCTGGCCGCACCTCTTTGCAGCCAGGTGTAAACAGGTATGATTTCGATAAATTTATACGTTTATAACCTATTTTTATTAATTATATGTCAAATTGAAGCTAATTTTTTTCTATTAATTATCATATAAAGTTGCTTAATTAAATCTGGCCGCAAATAAGGGCTACTGGCTGTTAAAGATAATAAATATTTAAGGTAGAGTGAAAGAGAGTTAGCGCGTAACATCATTTGTCAGACGAGGACAGCGATTGTCGGCTGTGCGACACTTTTAAGCCATTGCGCATGCGTCGAATGTCAGTGTTCTCAAACTGAATAGATGCAACATTTTTATTCTAACATAAAAAACCACGCTGTTTTGGAGTTCGTAATAAACAACGTTTTATATTTACATTGTTATTTTATTTGTGCATCTAAAAATTATTATATTAATTAATGTAAAATAAAATTGATAAAGATGAAGTCGTTTTTTTTTGTGTAACGAAAAAAGCAATGTAGGTACTCGACTTTAATAATGTATCATTCCAAAAGTGCTCGCTAATGTTATTGTTTCGTCGTAAAAAAAAATATAAATATCATGACCTTTTATTTACAATTGACTCTACTAATGATTTTGGATATCATTCAGAGTGTCTAAAAAAAATTGTGGTTCTGAAGCAAAAAGATAAACAAGAATTTGAAGATTTTTACAAAACACAAACCGTAAGTAAAAGTTGAATTGAATTTAAGAATAATATAGATTATAGTTGCAATATAAATGACACAGTTCTAACTTTCAGGTTTTTTTGTTAAAAATTTTTTTTTTTAATTTATTATTTTTATAAAAATTAATTACTGCATTTATCAAAAAATTCACAATTTAACAAATATAATTTGATTAATGTCCTTTTTTTCAAAATGTAATTAGTAAATTTTTTTTTTGTTTATCATTAAAAAAATTTTTCTTTGTTATATTAATAACTTTAAAAAAAAGGATGCGTGTACTTACGTACGCGCGTAAGAAGTTATACTTCTTTGGCTTTCTTAATTTTTTAAAATATTTAATATTTAGTATATTATTCAATTATTAATTAATATTAATAATAATACTTATTATTATTTATTATTTTATTATAGTATTCATTCAATTTAATAACTAGGTATGTTTCATAAATCAATCGACAATCGCTGTCCTCGTCTGACAAATGATGTTACGCGCTAACTCTCTTTCACTCTACCTTAAATATTTATTATCTTTAACAGCCAGTAGCCCTTATTTGCGGCCAGATTTAATTAAGCAACTTTATATGATAATTAATAGAAAAAAATTAGCTTCAATTTGACATATAATTAATAAAAATAGGTTATAAACGTATAAATTTATCGAAATCATACCTGTTTACACCTGGCTGCAAAGAGGTGCGGCCAGGTGCGCAACGGCACCCGTGATTTTTAGAATCTTCATATTAATTACCGTGATGTAGACGTTATTTTATTTAAATAATAAATGAACGAAATTTTTTACCAAAAATCAATTAAAAATAATTTAATTAAAAATAATGGCGGCCAAATTTTGATAGGCACCCTAGTAAATATATATTCTCTTAATTATAAATAAACATAAAAATTTGGTTTTAAACAAATAGTCGATGAGCGCACCAATCCTGCAGCGGGATCTCGTACTCTTTCTATCGAAACGTATTTAATGTATAGTAGAGTCATGGGATTCCGACTCGATTTAATCATTAATGTCAAATGCACAAAGTTTTTTATGTAATAGTAAAAATTTTCAAGAAAAGAACAAAAATTAATATATATATTATCAGTTGACCTACCTAAATATGTTTTGCATTTAAAGTATAGGTACTTTAAATTATTTAAACGCTAACAATGTCTACACGAGTCGTAGATTTGTTAATATTTTTTTTTCTTCAATTAGTACGGCCTAGCTTATGTAGAAATCCGGTGTTATTCTTTTTCCCTTAGAAAAATACTTCCGTAAACCTTCGAGTTAATGGCATTACATAAACCATTGTAAGCAAATCTCAAGAATGTAAAAAAATATTAAATAAATTATTTTTAATAATTTGCGATGCTCTGTATACTAAATCCGAATCCGAATAATTCTTGTTTATTATGGATGTACTTTTAGTGTTCGACTATTAGAGATATCGGAAAGTCATTGTTTTAATGTACAACTGGTAATTGTCTTCTGCGTGCGTGTGTCAGGCTCAGAAGGTAGATTACTGCGCCTACTTCTGATTATGAAGTTAGATAGGTAAGGTGATAGTGGCATAGCCTTACTGCGAAGACCGAAATACGCCAAAAGGAAGAATTTTGCTAAGCAATCATTGAGGTTGATTGTAAATTGAGTTGCGATAAATCCTTAAAAAAACATATCGCCAACTGCAAAATGCGCTAAAAAGTATAAATAGCAATATAGTGTTAACTCTATACAACGACACTCAAGGGACTGTGTCTTTTTTGACGTTACAAAGAGTTGCTGTTAAATGGATAGAAAAATCTGTATTAGAAAAGGAAAGTTGATTTCAGACTAGTGTTAGACATAAAAGCAAGTCGTATTTGAACGCTATTACGTTGTCTGTTATTTTTGTACTGTACCAGTAGTTAGGTTGTAGTTTTTTTTCTTATTTAATTCATATCTTGTGATATTGAGACATCTTTGTGATAAAGCATATGCAAGCATGCGCAATTTGTAAAAAAAAGAACGGATTTCTTGGAAAGTTCGGTAGGTACGTATGATGAGTACCGATAATCGAGTTTATTTCTCGCTAGGACAAGCGACAAAACAACGTACACAGCTCCGCAGTTTTAACTTTCATCGGCAACTTAAAAAGTACTTTTTAGTATATAATTGTTGTCGTTATTGGAATTAATCAACAGAAGGGGTGTGGTTTTTCATCATGATAAACTAGACCTCACACATCTTTAGCCACTCGGCAAAAATTAAGAGAGCTTGGGTGGGAGGTGTTAATGCATCCGCCGTATAGTCCTGACCTTGCACCTTCAGATTTCCACCTGTTTCGGTCTCTTCAGAATTCTTTCGGCAGTGTCAGGTAAACATCATGAGAGGACTGCCAAAACCAATTGTCGCGGTATTTTAATCAGAAGCCCCAAAATTTCTATAGCAATGGGATCATGTCCCTACCTACACAATGGCAAAAAGTTATCGAACAAAACGGTACCTACATACTTTAGTTAAATGTAAATAAACTATATTAAAAAATGTTGTGAATTTTCTTAAAAAATGCGAAGAAACTTTTTCCCCAACCTATTATATTGATTGGTCTTGTATACATAGTTCTGTATACTATTTCACATTTAATCTATTAATTGTTAATTAATTTATTAATATACGGGGTATCAATTTTTTTAACAAATTTAAATTAAATGTGAAATACGAAGTATTTAACGAAATGTTGAATTGTATCAAGTGATTAAGTACTTCTAAGTAAAAAAATTACAATTCATTAAGATACTGGATGTATGCGTATGTTCCATAGGTCTGATAGTAGATTGGGTCCATCTTCACGATACATTAAGTTACATGTTGTATTAGTTAATACTAATTTTATTTGCTAAATTAAATAAATATAATAATTCTATGTAAGAACATTTTTGATAAAAAGAAAAGACAATGATTATGTTAAAATACTGTGGGAGTTCCGAAATCAAAAGTAATGAATAATAATTCATGTACGCGATTTATATTAATATGTAAATGTATGTATAGTACGTTTCAGCTACTATTGTACTATATTCTTTTGAGCGCATTGGGTGCAGACGGTGTGCTCGTCTAAATATCAGCACAAATATGGATACTATAATCAGTGCTTATAAATATATTGACGAGGAACTGGCAAGTGAGTAATAAATTAAAAAAATAATGGTCTAAGATCCCGCTATACAACGACCTTCACCGAGATGCTTATTTAATGAAACTTATTTTATATATAATTTAATATGTCAATAAATATAATCCATATGGGTTGCCTAGCAAATTTCAGTCCAGAGTATGTTTAATTAATTTAAAAAAAAATTATTTTTTTAAACATTTCACCGGTATGATTATTAGATAAATTCTATACCAATCGAACGTATGAAGCCCATAGAATATGCAAACGTTAGGTTGTTTTTAATCAATTAATTATTTATGTGTATATTTTTTATGTGACACAAAAGTATATATACATCTTTAGTATAAAAGAAGGTTATAGTGATACATATATAATACTACCCTGATTAAAAATATTGATTGAAAAAAGTTCAAAAAAATTACTACATGCAAATTATAAAAAAACATTTTTTTTTAATATTAATTAAACATACTCTGGACTGAAATTTGCTAGGCAACCCATATGGATTATATTTATTGACATATTAAATTAAATATAAAATAAGTTTCATTAAATAAGCATCTCGGTGAAGGTCGTTGTATAGCGGGATCTTATACTATAAATGAATATTCAAACACTAGTTTAACCGCCAAAATGCAATGCATTTTTGACGGGATCTTAAGTTACGTCACCTTTCTGAATACCCATAGTTTCCAGCTAAGTCTCATGTCTAAATCGTACACTTAGAGTCTATGAGGACACTTAGTGTTACATTTGAAAAAAAAAATTAAGTTCATAATTTGATAAAAGAAAGAAAATATCCTACACGTAATAAAATATTAAAGCAAATTTACGAATTATTATTAACTTAGTGCATACGTTAATTAAATAATAATTTGTAAAGTTATTAGTTTATTATTTATTTATACTACTGGCTCACACACAAAATCTCTATATATACATATATAAAATTCTCGTGTCACAATGTTCGTTCCCATACTCCTCCGAAACGGCTGGACCGATTCTTATTAAACCTCTTTCAAACCCCTAAGTGGTCCACCCCAATTTTTTTATTTTTATTATTTAGATTTTTTTTTGTTTTTATTTTTTATGATACAGCATACAAAAATACATACAACCCCTAATTTTCACCCCTCTACGATCAGCCCCTATTTTTTATTATTGTAGATAGTTATTTTTATTGAACTAAAAAAATGTTACCTAGAAATAATACACATGGCAAATCAAACCTTTGCTGTGTCAGCTAGTATCTCTACAAAGTTTTAAAATTTGACGTTGAAGGGGTTCACAAAACTTTCGATTGTCCTAAACCTATCATTAACAGCTATACATAGCGTATTTACTGTTTAAGCTTTAGCCTTCTTCAAAAATATGCCAAGGAATAGGTTTAAAATTCGACGTGTAATAAATAAAATAAGTTACATTACGCGGGGACTATTTAGCAGAATATCGTTGCGTCACAGAATAGATAATAGCTACATATGTGACAGTTGACATTAGACTTGACTTAATGAACAAAATGGCGGGATCTGTCGTATTTTTATTTAAAATTGTACAAGACCAGGCGATTATGGGTGTTTTACTTTAATTCCGAGACGGATAATTATAAAAAAAAGTTCAGAGGGCCGAGCATTTAACTTAACAGGAACAATCACATAGAGACCTTTACCTATAGTCCACCGCATTCTTAGTAGATTATTGAACCGAGGCATAAATACATACTAATATACTATTAAAATGTATAGTAATCAATATAAACTGGCATATTCAGACTATTATTATACAAGCGACCTGTGGCTTCGGACGGCAGGGAAATTATTTTTCAAAATATTTTGGAAATAAATATTGTCTAAATCTAAAGAGATAATGTGGCATTCTAATGATGACATATTGTGTAATCGATCTAGTAGTTTATTGTTTAATTTGTTCCGATTTTTTTTATTAGAATTACTCTTAAGATAATAATTAGTTATAACTAAATACTTGTGGAGTATTTAAATAAGAAGTAATAACATATTTTTAAAAATACATTATTTTATAGAAATAATTTAACTACCATGAAAAGAGATTTTTCCGATTTTGCAACATTTTTAATTGAGATATATAGGTATATAAACAAAAATTTTAACACTACATTTATCAACTAAGTTAATGGATTTTGACATACAGAAGTCATACTCAGATCCAAGTCTTGATACTGAACCACAGTATCGAAAAGATTGACCTATCCAAATCTCGGAACAGTAAAACAAAATTTTGGCCCTCACTGACAGTCCCTTCAATTTTTTTTTTTCGCTGAATAAGTTGAACACTTAGGGTCTGTTTCACAAGGTACGGATAAGTTCTACATAAGTTCCAAATTAGCTATTAATTACTTATTGGTAGGATAAACACTATTGTTGCGTTTCACGACCGTCAGATAGCGCTATTCGTCACGTAAAGTCCATCATAAGTTATGAGTCCGATGAATGTCAAATAGCACAATTTATCTTCCAAATAATTTATGTGTTGCATAGATATTTGGTACTTAATCTATACATTGTGAAACAGACCCTTAGCTTAATTCGTTACATAAACGATTTAAAATCACATTGTCATAGTGAACAAGAATGTATCAATCCTTAATATGTTAATATTATTATAATAAACTGCTCCGTAATTTAAACGGAACGTTCTTTAACCTCTGTTACAAAGTCCATACATATTTACTTTAATTTTCATTAAACAGATTATCGATTCAGTGCCGTTTTATTTTTGGCATAATTTATATTAGACGTAAATACTTAAATTGTAAATAATCCTACACTAAGAGTAACTAAAGTCAATTCTCCAAATTTAAAGGACAGGATGAGGATAAAGTAGGTACCTATCTGAAAAATAAAAAAAATAAAAAATCATTTATACATGAACATCAAAAAATAAATAAATTACTGATTAGACAATATAGCCAGTATTATTTAAAATTAAAATTTTAAATCAACTCGGGTCCAATTAAAATCTATGGTCTACTCAACTTAACTATGTTAGACATTTAAATGATAGGTTTAAAAAAATATATGTCCTATTTTCCACCAAGGGTCTATGTCCTAACGCTTTCCTTTGAATAAAGACGTTAATAATTGGTCATATATTATACAAAGATTTTGTGTTGGGCTTGGGTTTTAATAATAATTCGAAATAGTATCAAGTTATCTATCCAAAGCCTAGATGGTGTAAATTACATAAGAAAAATATCCCATAAAAATTTAAAATAATATTAAAAGTACATGAGTTATAATTAATTTTGTTCGAAATAGATTGCATTTTATTATATTATTATTACAGTAATTAGTAAATAACACTTAGTTTCTTACACAAGCGCCATCTATGATTCGCATTAGCTAACTTTACACATGTTGCGTCGTCCTTTCGTCTTTCTCGAAGTGTTTTCTTGTATAATATGAATATGTGTTAGCTGTAAGATTACTAATAAATAAATCGTTAACCTTATAGTGGGGTTATTTATCAAAGGTGCATTTATATGGTTTTGTTTCAGGTCCTATCACGAAGGATTGGTTCCTCGCATCCAGCATATGGCGAGTGTTAGGCATTATACTGGTTTACAACATTTTCGCGAGGAAACTCGGTCCCTATTTAATGCGAAACAGAGAACCATATGACTTGAAGAATATTATCCAACTTTACAATATATCTCAAGTAGTTGCTAGTGCATATTTAGTATACCAGGTAAGGCTTGAATTATGCATACCCTAACAGCCTCTGAGCCATTAAAATTAAATTTATAAAGTACGTTGAAATTCATTACGTAATTAACAACTGATAATAATAATGATTTGTTAACGATAAATTGTATTGATGAGCAGTGAAAGTGTGACTGATAATCTTTCCTAATGGAATTTATTTTTAAATATAATGAAAAGTGGTAAATCATTTACCGATCAATCATTAATCGGTTAAAATTTATAATAAAGTTTATAATTATTATAATACAGTGTCTTTATAACGAAATACTCTATAACGCAAAAATGCGTTATATTGTTTGGTTTAAGACAAAACATTGATGTTCTCTTTATAACGCAACAGCCCTCTCTATTACGAACAAATACTATCATATTTAGACATAAACAACATACTTAAGTGTAATTGTTTTTATAATCAGCTTCCAAAACTAACCTCTTGAGTTGCCGAAATATCTAAGAAAGACACCTGAGGTCATCAACAGCCGTCTCGCCTTAACACGTGTGCCATTATTCATAAACTGTCAAGATGGTCAGACAAAATACTCAAAAAATACAAAACAAATATTGGCATAGCAAAACACGACAGGCATAGTTAACAAAATATATGTGTCTAGAATAATTTACGTATTAATAGTAATAAAATTAGAAATTTTTGTAATTGATCAAATTTGTTTTTTTTTCTCTTCTCTCCGTATAAACAACATTCTCTATAACGAAAACAAGATCGCTCTTGAAATTCGTTATAAAGAGTTTACACTGTAATTATAATTTTAACTTATTATTTGAATTAAGTTCATTACAATAGGTCAGTATGATTATTTGGCTCACCTACATTCGGGCCTTGTCTTGCATAACCTTGCATTTTGCAATGCTGAGACAGTTCGCGTCGCGTCCCTTGTCTCTGAAGCTTAACAAAACGTGTGGTGAGAGTGTTATCGAAACGGACGTTGCGTTTGATTGTGATTGGATAACATAATGTAACGTGTTGACGCAGAGTAAACATAGTGTTGACTCATCACAATCAGGCGGAATGCAGTCATTTTGCATTCTCAACTCCCTTTGATTATTTTTTGAAAACTAAATTCTTATCACTCGGAGTAAAAATGAATAGCAGAAGCGTGAGTTTGATTGGTATCGGACAACAGAATCCGTCTTTCCAGTTTACACTCTCCTCGTGTGAACTTTATTAAAGAATCTTTGACGATTTTAATAATTCATCGTAATTGTCACACTTCCTATGGTGCGTTCCACTAAGCGTTCACAACGCTCACGCTCACGACCGCTGATTTCCCCATTCCACTTGATTGTGAATGCTACTGTCGTTAACTCAAGTGGAATGGATTATGGAGCGTTTCGGGCGTTCATGTAAATATTACAAATGGAAGCTGTTGAATATAAACTAAAATCAATTGTATTAAACTTATATTGCTTAATTTTATTTACCTTTTTCTGCACGAGCAGCTTCAGCTTCAGAAACGATAGCTTCTACTACAATTTCTCTTTCAGAATCATATAATGTTATTTTTCTTGTCGCCATCTTTAAGCTTTGAATATCATATTTCAAAAATTGCGCCGAATTATTCTCAACGTTCACTTTGACCCACCTCTTTAGAATGGTCGTTGTGAGCCTTGCGTGAGCATTAGTCATGACGTCATGAGTGACGTTTTCGCCGTGACCACAACGACCGCGGTCGGTATGTGAAATGGCTAAAGGAGAATTTTGATCGTCGTGAGCGCTTAGTGGAACGCACCACTAGCAGGGCTCCTATATTGAACAGGCAAAAGCGACGTCAATCGAAAAGTGACAAACTTTAAAATCATATTTGCCCGACTTCACATGTAGATTTTGTATTATTTTTGAAATAAATTACTTGTTAGTGAGCGTAAATTTTTGTAATATTGTATTTTACGAATTATATATATTAAATTAACATCACTGATTCAATACTAATATGAAATTGTAATTTAAAAAAGAACTACGTATTATCAGCTATTCTTACTATGGTTAATTAAATTCTCTCTTTTCAGGGTTATTTTTTCTTCTTTGTGAATGAATATAATTTATTATGCCAAGGAGTTGATGACTCTGATTCAGAAACGAGTGTGTGGGTATGTATACATTTGATTTCTTGTATCTTCTACCGAATTTATCATGGAGAGTGTTTGGATTAATACCTGCAGATGAGTTTCATCATCGGTCATTGAGGCAGAATGTATGCCTCAATGACCTACTATGTGAAACCAGCTGCGCAGTGTATTTCCGAAATTCTACTTCGGTTCCGCCAAGATAAGAAAGAGTAACAGTCTTGCGATTCTGTAACTCACGTTTCGAACTCAATAGAATAAGGAGGGAGCTTGTAGTTTATTGTTTATCAGAATGCCAAATCGTAAAATGACTGCTTTACGACTGATTTGAGCGCAACCGCTGCTTTGAAAACCGCTGGGAGAGTTCGAAAAGTGAGTTACAGAATCGCAAGGCTGGCCCAAAAAAGCCGGCAACTGCCAGCGAGCCTTCTGGCAGTATGAGTGTCCATGGTCACTTAACATTAGAGGAGCCTGCTGCCCGTTTGTCCCATGTACTATAAAAATAATCTTAAATTCAACTTTTAACTGTGATGTGTGTTGCCTTGTTTCATTAATTTAGATTTATTATAATAAATTCTTCTTTGAAAAATCATAAAAATACGTTCACTCTAAAATATACTATTTACAAATTGTAAATTTTTCTAAGTGTAAATAGTATATTTATCTATATTTAATATATATATATATATAAAACTATTGGGACAAAATATTTCAGTAATATTAATAAATTACGTTTCATTATTATTGTAAGAGCCAAGGCTGTACATTTTCTAACTAAATCATGGGAATTACGCCCCGAGAGTACAGCCAGACGTATGCACTCTCTTCGACTGTTACATTGTATTCATTCGTTACATAATAATAATAAAAACTTTATTAGAAGGGTTTGTGACAAAAATCATAAATCGCTAGTCCCTACAGTAGGGAGGCTCTGTGTTGTGGGTAACTAGAAAACAATTATGTAGTGGTACATGTTAAAATTTTGTTTATGAAACCTCAAAGTCATACCAATATATGTAGTAATGCCTCTGTAGATTCGAAATCCAATTTGGCTAGTGTAGTTTCTATGTGACTTGCTAATTTATATCTGGATAGTTTTACGATCTCAGAATCCATAGATTTGGAAATTTTGTTATAAAGGAAGGGGCCCCTAAATGCAAAGGAGAGTTGTCCAAACACAGTCCTTCGTTTTGGCGTTGGGAATGCAAAACGTCTGTTCTTAGATGTGTCCTGAATTGTGAGCCCACGGAATCTATGATATCTTGAACAGGTCGCCAAGATGTAAAGCTTCCTTACCGAGAGGGTTTTTGTTTCTAGGTGGAGTTTGACTGTGGGGTATGTACACGGCCTGCGATAGGCAACTTTAAGGATTGCTCTCTGTGCACGTTCCAACTTAATCAATAAAGATTCAGCCGTTCCTCCCCATGCCGATATACAGTATGTGAGAATGGACTGACAAAGTGCTAAATAAATTATTCTAATAACTTCGGCCTCCGCTACTCGTTTCAGTCGATTAAAGATTAACATAAGCTTTCTGATCCTAGAAAACTGTGCATCAATGTGCTTTTTCCAAGTGAGGTATCGATCTATTATTATTCCTAGATATTTTATACTTTCGGTGTATTCGAGAACAGGACACTGGCATGGATATTGGTTATAGCACGTGTGGGTCGTTGGGCGGGAGCGATCTGTTATGCTGAAACACATAAATTTGGTTTTGCTGAGATTTAGACTAAGCAGATTGTTTTGAAGCCAGTTGGAGACGCAATTTATACCTTTCTCTGCTAAGACAGAAACCTGTTCCCAAGTTTTAGCATGAAATATCATAGCTGTATCGTCGGCAAATTAATAAATATTTCCGTTGTCCAGTGGCAGACTGCACAGGTCGTTGATATATATTAAAAAGAGGGTCGGTGCAAGTGCACTGCCCTGTGGTACTCCAAATCTGACGTATTTCTTGTGACTTGTGTATCCCCTAAGGCTAACACGCTGTTGCCTATCCTTAAGGTAGGATGCAAACCATTGCAGAGCCACCCCTCTCACTCCTAACAGTTTCATTCTTCGCAGCAAAATGCAGCGTGAGACCGTGTCGAAGGCTTTTGCGAGGTCTAAGAAGACACCTATACATACCTGCCCCATATCCAATTTCTCGCTTATATGCTCAGTAAGATTACTGACAGCGTCTGCAGTAGATCTTTGTTTTCTGAACCCGAATTGGTTGTAGGAAATGAGCGATTGCGTTTCTAAAAATGAGAGCAGCCTCTTGTTCACTATTCGTTCTAGGATCTTGGCTATGACTGGAAGAAGGGATATTGGTCTGTAATTAGAGACTTCCATTTTGTTTCCAGATTGGGGTTACATTGGCTAGCTTCCAAGCTTCAGGAAAGGTGCTGGTCGACATGCTAAAGTTACAAAGGTTAGTCCTTTCCGCTAAACTATTGCCTATGTTTGTAAAAAAGTCGTTGGCTTTATTTAGAGCTACCACAGGATCGGGCGATATTTGAAGTAGGTCAGTGGAATGCGACTCCTTTGAACCTATGTGGCATATACTTTTTACTGACTCCCATAGATTTTTGGTGATATGTCTGTTCTGTCTAATCGTGCTTTTTTCGAAGTTTTCTTTAAGTTTCTTTTGAAGATTATTGCAGAAGTTTCGATATCTTACATATTTATCCAATAGTTCAAAATCTTTGGGATGTTTTCTAGCGGTTTTGTGAAGAGTGTCTCTTCGTCTTACACAATTTAGAAGACCAGCGGTCATCCATGGTTTCCTAATGGTTTTGGAGTTTCTTGCTGGTTGTATGATGGTATGTTTTGAGATGACATTCTTCAGCGTATAGCTGTTATAGGTTTCAACTGCGCTATTTATCTCTTTGATGTCATAGAGGTGTTTCCATTCAGTCAGCTTTAGTTCTTCTGTAGCTCCTTCATAGTTGATTCGGGTCTTGTTTCTAATGGCCTCAGGCTGTCGTGTTGCTATGGGGATGGTGTTAATTCCTAAAAAATTTTTTTTTTTTTTTTTTTTGCGGGTATCGCGGAACATTTAACATTAGCTCTGTATATTTATTTAAATTAAAAATAGAATTAGTGCATAAAAAGATAACAATAACACCACAAAATGATGACTCGTAAAGCTACAACTAAAGATATTGAAATGAGACTGAAGCAGGCTTTGCTGGAGCAGAAGAAATTGCAGGATCTCAATAATAGTTTACTGCGAGAACGTGAGGACAGTGAACTGGAAATTCAGAATATTGTTAAGAAAAACACTGAACTTAAATGTGAACTTTCTGAAATACATATTAAATATTCAGATATTGTGGATCAGTGTGTGCATTTACAGGATATTGTTGACTCTTATAAACAGTGCTATGATACTCATGAGCAGGCTTTGAATCGCATCAGTGACTTGGAATTAAGTTTGTCAGAGGCACATAAAACTATGCAAATACTTGAAAATAAGGTTGCCATAGAAGCTGATGCCTCTCAGAGCCTGTTCAGTGAGTTGAACAGCAGTGATCCAGGTATGGTAAATGATCAATGTGATAATATTGATATTGGGTGCATTAAGTCAAACCCAACTGGTTCCCTATTTATGAGTAGCAAAAGAATTAAAAAATATGTCCGGCTTAATAAATTCATTAAAAAAACTAACAAATTAATTAGAAGGAAAAATCATTTTAAATATCACTTATTACTTAGCCAACAACATGCACTTTAAAAAAGAAATGGAAATCTTGTAAAGAAAATGTATTTAAAAGTCAATGTTCATATGATAGCACAAACACACAATTAAATATTAAAATTAGTCAACTGGAGCAGTGCATAAATGATATGTGTAATAATCATCATGACATGTTTAAAAAAATTATGGAATACCAAGTATCTGCGAGGCATGACATGATTGATCTGTGTAATTATAGTACTGAGAGGTATGCATCTCTCACTAGTAAGCATTGTGCATGTGCTACTGAGCAAAGTAATGGGTTGATTTATCATGACCAAGTTCCTTCACAGCTAAATGAAGATAATTCATCACCAAAGTCCCCCATGCCAGAGTTTCCTCTTACAAGCAATGTAAACACTCAAAGAACTAATACCTACATCTTTTCAGATAGGTTGGGGCAAGGGCTGGGCCAGTTACTAGGAGATGAGTTATCTCAAAATGTTCTTAATATTTGTTTACCTGGAATATCTTACCAAGGGATTGTAGATAAAATATTAAATTATCATTGTGTAGACAGTAGCTCTAAATTAATATTATTTTGTGGTGACAGTATGGGGATAAAAAAACCCACATTACTAAAACAATAACTAAACTTTTGGAGTTTGGTAAAGAAAAAAAATGTAAAATAACACTTTGTTCTTTTCCTTATGCTAGCAATATGGATTATAAATTTAATCAACAGATTTATATTTTAAATCAATTTATGCACCATATGACATGTCGTCATAGTGACGTATTTTTATATTTTGATTGTAACAAGTTTGTTACTAAATTTACTCTGACCAAAGATACATTGTATCTCTCATATAAAATAAAAAAAGAAATTGCTAAATTATTAGCATATAATTTTAAAGAAATGCAACGCAATGATATTTTAAACAATTCTGCCAATAATTTGGCGACAATTATTAATGACATTGATTTTCATTTAAATTAGAAATTGGGACAAAAGAGGCAACCTCTTGCCAAAATGTAAGGAAGGTAAAATCAACTAAAAGTGCAAAAAATTTAAATAGTATCAACCTGGTGCATCAAAATATTCAAGGTTTTTTGAACAAAGATTTAGAAGTAGAATTATTCCTAAATTGTAACGATATAGACATTCTTTGTTTGACAGAACATTGGCTTAAAAGCCACCAGTTCATGTTCAATTTTAGCAATCACCAGGTTGGTAGTTCGTTCAGCAGAGTAAATGCTATACACGGTGGCTCATTAATTTTAGTAAATAAACAACTTAAATTTAAAGATCGTAAGGATATTGTGAGCCTATCTGTTGAGCGGACAATTGAATTAGCCTGTATAGAATTGGAGCAGTTCATTATATTAAGCGTGTACAGGCCTCCTTCAGGATTGTATGATTGTTTTGAAAGGGTTATGGATGAAGTATTGCACAAAATCTGTAATTCTTACAAGTCTATCATCACTTGTGGTGATTTTAATGTTAATTTGTTAGAAAATTCTGGGTCAAGCACAAAAATTATAAGTTTGTTTCAGTCATACAACCTTGCCAACCAATTTTTGGAGCCCACTAGAATAACTCCAACTAGTGCCACATGCCTAGATAACATTTATACAAATATTATACCAACCCACAAAGAAATTATTAATTTAATAGACTCAGATCATTGCGGACAATTGATTACTATTCCAAATCTAAACAAAAAAATACTAAAAAAGATATCACTGTTAATCCAAAAACAGCTGATCGTTTGGAATCATTTAAAACTAAACTGTTAAGTAAATTACCACTTTTGTCAACTAATGATGACCCTAATGAACAATATAATGATTTTTTTAATATGTATTGCACACAATTTGATAACACTTTCATTCCAAAGGCATTCTCGGTTAATAATAACACCTGCTTCAGTGACTGGGCCACCTTTGGTATACATAAAAGTAGAAAACGACTTGATGAGTTGTATGATGAACGGACGTGTATTAACACTGCTGAATTTAATTTATATGTTAAGAATTATTCTAAATTATTTAAAAAAGTTTGTTGTATGGCCAAGTCACGTTACTTGAGTACAAAAATTAAGAATAGTAGTAATGTAATTAAAATGACATGGAATATCATTAATAGCGAAACAGGAAGGTCGAGCAACCGAAGTAGTGACTACAGCCTTGCTATTGATGACGATATAATTAAATCAGATTCCCAAGTTGCCGCGGCCTTTGAAAAGTTCTTCGCAGAGTTTCCCGCGTCAACTACTAAATCTCTAAGGTCATCACCCACTGCTGCAGAGTCTTTACTTAAAGAAAACGTTCCATTTGTGAGTCTGAGTTTAATTTCCAATATGTTACTTGTAGAGACATAATTAAAACCGTTCACACGTTAAATATTAAAAAGACTGCTGATCTGTGGGGTAATTCTGTGGACGTTGCTAAATCAATTATAAACATTGTAGCACCTACTCTAGCTGTTATTTTTAACAACTGTATTGACCGTGGTGAGTTTCCTGATCTTATGAAATATAGTAGAATAATACCGTTATTTAAATCGGGTAGTGCATCTGACCCTACTAATTATAGACCTATTTCAGTGCTACCTACCTTTAGTAAAATTATTGAAAGGGTTATTTTAGATCAACTGCAAAGATTTTTTAATAAACATAAATTATTACATAACAAACAGTTTGGTTTTACAAGGGGTCGTTCGACCACTGATGCCGGTGTTGAACTTTTAGGCCATGTTTATAATGCATGGGAGGATAAATGCGATGTTTTGGGCATCTTTTGTGATTTGTCCAAGGCATTCGACTGCGTTCTTCATGAAACATTAATCAGGAAACTGCATCACTACGGAATCCGGAACGCCTCTCTGGATCTCCTCACTTCTTACTTAAGTGATAGGATTCAAAGAGTTGATGTTAACGGGAAAAGATCACCCGGATCCATAGTAACAATGGGTGTCCCCCAGGGCTCTATTCTGGGCCCGTTTTTGTTTCTTATTTATATTAATGACTTGCCTTACCTCATAAAGGATAATCTTGATATAGTGTTGTTTGCAGATGACACTTCACTTTTATTTAAACTCAAACGTCAGCAGCTGGTTACTGACAATATAAATAGCGCCCTCGCAAAAGTAGTTAACTGGTTTAATGTTAATAACCTACTTCTTAACGAGAAAAAAACTAAGTGTATTAAGTTTACTATACCTCTTGTTAGACAAGTAAAAACTAGTGTTCTCATAAAGGGCGAAGAGTTGATTCCTGAAGATACCACAGTGTTCTTGGGCATAACTTTGGATGCCAAACTTCAATGGGGCCCCCATATAGATAAATTGTCGAAAAAGCTTAGCGCTGCAGCATACGCCGTTAGGAAAATTCGTGATTTAACTTGTTTAGAGACAGCCCGTTTAGTTTACTTTAGTTATTTTCATAGTGTGATGTCGTACGGTATTCTGTTGTGGGGAAATGCCGCCGATATTCAGACAATTTTTGTTTTACAAAAAAGGGCTATTCGTTCAATTTACAAATTAAGTCCCAGACACTCCCTCAGAGATAAATTTAAAGAAATTAATATAATGACTGTGCCTTCTCAGTATATCTATGAAAATCTTTTGTATGCTCATAAAAATATCAATTTGTTTAAAAAATTCAGTGACGTCCATAACGTAAATTCTAGAAACAAACACAAATTTGTTGTCCCTACAACCAGGCTTAAAAAAATAAGTGGTTCGTTTAGATGCCAATGTATACGTATTTATAATAAACTACCTAGCCACATTCAAGAACTAAGCCTTAATAAATTCAAAAATAGTATAAAGCGGAAACTTTGTCAGAAAGCCTTTTATACTGTCAAAGACTATATTGAGGACAAAAAGGCTTGGGATTGAGCTGCTCCAATAAATTTGCACAATTAATGTTGATTTAAATACCTTTTTACATACTCTATGTACAATTAAATGAATATTTACTTTGTAAAGTATTATTTATACAATTTTGTATTATTGTGAATGTGAAGACTACGTGGATCATTGTTTTTTATTTATTGAATCCTTTTCTCAGTTTTAGTCATAGTCTGACAGTTTGAGTAATTTTCGCGGCCTACCCAAATGTTTTGTCTTTGGACTTGACAGGTCCACTCAATCTGTGTGGTTCTTTCCTCAAAAGACCATTTCAGACAACAATCTACATGGTCTTCACATAATCTTGTTAGTTATGTCTGGACTTTAAAAGAGACTGTGACCTCTGAGTTTGTTTCGGCGTTTCTTCTCAGAGTAGTCAGATAGGAAACGTCGATCTCATCTAGTTTTAAAAAAAATAAATGTTTGACGTGTAAAAGTGTTTGTAAAAACCTACTTACAGAAATAAATCATTTATCATTTATCATTTAAAATAACGCAAAGGTGATCTGACACTATGATGAAGGGCAAACTGCCACTTTAGTTGGGAGGCTTGAATTTACAAGAGCATGCTTTAGAAAAGTTATTAGGTTTTGGCCATTCTTTCGATTGGTATCATAAAAGTAGGGGTGTTTTTTTTTACATTTAAGCCGGTTCGATTTCCAGACGAGGCTAGTAATTTTTTCAAAATCTTTTAATGCAGAATTACTAACTTTTAAAAATAACGTAAAGTCTTCTTTCAGTAAAATACCCTATCTACGATATTAAAGCTACTTTCCCTTCATGTCCCATAAATTGGGACGCCCTGTATTATATTTTTATTTTTGTTAAAATACTTTTCCTTCTCTCTGCTCGTACGATAAGGCTGTAAATATACTTTACTTTAGGAATATTTGAAAAATCATCTAAATTTCGGAAATTTCATATATTTTGTATCATAATATTTTTATTTGTTACCATTTACAAGTACAACGGTAACATTTAGTAACATTATGTAAAAAAACAAGTTGCCATACATTATTCTCTGATCTTACAGCAGCAATAACTCGGTAAATCCTGAAATTTTGATAAATATTTATTTACACAAATATTAACTATAATTTTTGGACGGCATAATTATAAAACATTATTGTCCGTGTTAAATAATATTTTGAACATGTTGCCGTACATTTTACAATGACCTTAGGGTATATGGGTGTAGGGGTAGGGTTCCGACCCTTGGCTTTCGACCGCTCCGCTGGAAATATGTACGGCGTTTACGGGTAAAGTATCTGTATATATGTCCAAAAGGAATCACACAAATGCCGTACAGTAATAAATGACCTATATTGCTTCTGCAACTATCGTCGAATTAAAAATTTGAACCGACTTCCGGCACCATCACTTTAGTACGGCACTAGGTTTTTCGACATTTATTTTTAATCATCTATACACTTATAACAAAGCCGTACATTAATAATTAGTCGAAATTCCCCAATTGTACCTGAGAAAGTCCATTCGTCACGTACTTACATGTACCGCTCAGAAATGACGGCATAGTGCTCAGAGCTATCTTCAGATATAGTAACAGCCTTCTAAGCGTAATTCACGTTGGGTCATTTCACAGGTATTTTTTGTTCATGGGCTTGTGGTCTATAAAGAATCGAGGCGGTTAAATAGCAATTAACATTTCATTATTTCGCTTATATTATTGTACGCGAGTGGTTATTATTATTATTATTATTATTATGTATCTTAACACACTGGACGCTTTTAATAAGCTGATGCGCGTGTATTTTGTGATTTGGAGAAACTATCCAATCTATTTTTAAAGGTGTTTAAAAAATTATGTATACCATTTTTTGTAAATTATATGCATTTATGCCGGAGTATTACAAACTTCGCGCCAATAGATCCAATCTTTAATACGGCAATTGGGATGCGAACCCTTTACGCTGATACGCTTTTAACGACTGCAAATAATTTAATAAAATAGGTCTAACGGTTTCATTTGAATTAACAATGTGTATAATTATATTCCAGATAGCGAGAAATGTATATATTTATTACATGTTGAAGTATATTGAACTTCTCGACACAGTATTCTTCATACTTCGGAAGTCATTTAGACAAGTGTCGCCTCTCCACCTTCATCATCACAGTTTGATGCCAATTGTTTCTTGGATTGCCGTTAGATATGTCCCTGGTACAAATCTTTATATATTTTTAGTATTTCGGAAAACAATAGAAATTTAGTATTAACAGAATGGTAATTATTGTTCTATAATTTCTAATACTTTATACACAACCCAATACTTGTAAGTCTCTTTCCAACATTGCGAATACACACGTTGACGGAAAGAGACGAGGCGTTTTTTTTTGCTAGGAGTACAATTAGACTGATTTATTTTTTATGAATAAGGAATGTAATCTGTAGTCTTTGGAATTTAAGAGGCTTATCTTTGTCACTTAACCAAAGATATTGCCAAATGAAGTTGTTTAATTTATTTTTTCGATTTTCAATATTTATTTAATGTCATTTTCAGGTGGCCAATGTGTTATGATTGGGTTTATCAACAGCTTCGTTCACATTATAATGTATGGCTACTACTTCGTCGCTGGCTTAGGGCCGCAATATAAAAAATATCTGTGGTGGAAGAAATATGTTACTGTACTACAGTTGGTATGTTTTGATTAAGTTTTTACTAGACTGTCACTCTGCACTTAAACGTCAACCCAATATATCGCCTGTCAAATTCATTTGTCAGCTGTCAAGTATAGTGTAGTGCTTTTTATGAGCACGTTTTTGCCTATCGCCTGTCATTTTAATTCTCATTTTCACTTCATAGTATTTTTATATTATCTACATTAATTCCTTGAGTTAATGTAGATTAATGAGATAAAATAATCGTCTCTCACATTTTATTGAATTAAGTGGCGTTTTAGAACGTATTACCGCTTATTTTCACTCAGCCCTGACGGATAGGAAAGTAAGCAGGGAAATGGGCTGCGTGTGTAAATAGGCTACTTGCACTGTCACTGACTACGAACTGGCGACGATATTGCAGCAAGACGTGTATAGAATAATATTTCCGGCAGATGCAAGGGCCGAGTGAGGGGTGTTAGATTTTGACATCATATGGGTTGCCCGATTTTTTAATAAAAATTAAATGCCCCGCGCGGGACAGGCTTTTTCCCGCTTTTTGGGGTTAACTCAACCGTCACTCAAGACACCACTGCCATGCACAGAAATGGCACCAGCTCTTTCAACAGTTACCAAAAAAAGATACCAGGAATATGTTTAAACTACTATTTTTCATATTAGGTTATCGCAACATCAAACTGCTTCCCTGAATGCCCATTTATCCCACATAAATTATAGATAATATAAATATGGATGCCAGATTCAAATTGTTATTATTAATATTTAACGATAGGGTGAATCTGATTTAAAATATCACCTTTAGTTACTATGTCCCGCTTTCGACGAAAGATTCCCGCTTTTTTAACTCAAAAAGTTCAAAAATCCCGACTTGGCAATAAAAAAAATCTGGCAACGCTGTAAATGGGTGTCACAGCTCGCGCGTAGAATGCTCATAGAATGCCCGCAGAGGTTTAAAATGACACTACTACGTACTAACTTTTTGTTTTTTTTTTCAGATACAATTTACACTAGTTGGTGTCCACAGCGTTGTAAGTATGTTCTTCCCCTGCTCTTATCCAGTTATTTTCAAACTTCTAACAATTGGCTATGCGTGTATATTCATGAACATGTTCGGTCAATTTTATTATAACAGCTATGTCAAAAGGAAACCCGAAACGGCAAATGGGAGCAAACGGAAATAAAAATGTATTATCGTAAGGATTAATATTAAAAATTATTTATTGAACTATGTCTTTGTTTTCATGAGTACTACATTTCTTTAACGGATAATATAATATAATATACTCTCTCTACTATATTATATCTAAAACTCTCATGTCACAATGTTCGTTCCAATACTCCGAAACGGCTGGACTGATTGTTATGAAATTTTTTGTGCATATTCAATAAGTATGAGAATCGGCTACTATCTATATTTCAAACCCCTAAGTGATAAGGGGTGTCCACCCCAAAAATTTTTTTTTTATTTTTTTGAATTTTTACATACAAAAATACATACAACCCCTAATTCTCACCCCTCTACGATAAACCCCTATTTTTTATTAATGTAGATAGTTACATACGTATATATTGAACTAAAACAATGTTTCTTAGAAATAATATGTTGGCAAAACAACGTTTGTCGGATCAGCTAGTATAATATACGTATATAATATACGTACTATGACTTAAATTTTGAGTTTTCTACCGGGTCACAAGGATGCGAGATCAGCGGTACAGATATTGAGAGAACTCCAGTTGTTCTGGAAGTGCTGGCAGATGCTGACAGTAAGAGTGCTTACAAACGTTGAACCTTACTATAGAACATGGGGCAAACGGGCAGGAGACTCACCTGATGTTAAGTGATACCACCCCCCATGGACCCTCTCAATGCCATAGGGCGCGAATGCGTTGCCGGCATTTTAAGAATTGGTACGCTTTTTACTTGAAGGACCCTAAGTGGAATTGGTTTGGAAATACTCCAGTGTATATTCTACACCACATAGCGAGGGTGCGCGGCAAGAACTGCCTTAAAAAATGTTCAGCCCTGCGATTCTGTAACTCACTTTTCGAACTCACACAGCGGTTTTCACACCGGCGGTCGCGCTCAAATCAGTCGTAAAGCAGTCATTTTACGATTTGGCATTCTGAGTTCGAAAAGTGAGTTACAGTCGAGGTGATACGGTTGTAATTTCGTATTCTGCCCCGACGTCCGATGATGATACTTGGCGATTCAGAGTGGCGAGGAGTTTCTTGCCAGATCTCTCCCGCTCTACACCCTGGATTTGGAAACTGGTAGTCAATGTAAATTTAGTCCTTCCAATTATTTATTTGAGGTCCAAAGTGTACTTACCGACATGAATAAATTAATTTTGATTTAATTTGTAAATCAATAAAAACCTGAAAATAAGTATAAAATAGTAATAAAATTCGTTCAAATCGGTTTTATTTATTTTCAATTAAACTAATATATAACTATAGCTTAAAAATAAAAACAGGATTTAAAGATTATTGTTCATGATTGTGGCTTCTAGTTTAGGGTAGTTTTTTGCATTAAAAAATTATCAATATAAATTGATCGCTGAATAATTATTTTATATTATACTAGCGGACCCGATAGATTAGGATATTAAACTATGAAAGTACTGACTGCAGCGCCATCTGCCGGGCTGCTTTGTGAATCCAAGCCATCCACGGCGCCACCCAAACATTTACAATTTTTTTTATTAAAATCCGTCTAGCCGTTTAAGGGGAGTTCAATGACATACACACGTACAGTAGAATCATAAATATATTGAATCAAAATATTATTATAACGTATGTTTTGCATATCATCATAATAAAAGTTCCAAACAATTAATGAGCACCTTCTATATTCAAAATTAGAACACTGTTTTTCTAGATTTAGGTTGAAACGCTTTTTTCGTCTTATATCGGGAGGTAGCGTTGAAAATACAATAGTATTTAAGTAAGCCGGCGGATATTAACATCGATAGTTTATCTTGTATGACTAATAAGCGAACTGACCGTCTGCTGCTTGTTTACAACATACTGAGTTGGAAAAAAGTGAGCTGCGTCATGGAGAGGGGGCTATGCGTCAGCGCACAGCTGCTCACTTGAACTATATATAAAAAAAATCGAATAAAGTCATGCTACGGATGAAATTTAACTAGGTCATTGCTCAAATATTTGTAGGTTCCAAAATAATAGACAATTATGTGGGTAGTGGTGGAAAGACCGTCAGCTGACTCAGTAAAGACCTAAAATATTAAGGCTTTGCTACAACACTATTTTCGTTTAAACACGTATTAGAGATACCCCAACCAAATAAAATATAATACTTCGAATTAATAATATTCAAAATAATAATATAATACTTCGAATGAAATTTCGGCTCTTCAACGTTGGTGTAAAAGTCTCAGCATCTCAATTATCAGCGATATCATGCAGCATACTGGATTGAAAAAGTCTCAGGAAATTATTGCTAATTTCGAGAATAATAGAATAAAAAGAAATTCGTTACAGCTCAAAAATGTTATTGCCAGTATTAATCAATAAAATTTTGACTTTTAAAGGATAGTTTCTGGAATACTATTAATTTCATTGGAGCAAACATTAAACATCGACAATGGTTTGTCGTATCCACTAACGCCAGTTCCCTGTGTCACGCAGACGGGGTGATTTGTAAAACTGATAAATCAGTTTTAGAGAATTATCACTAAATAAATTCAAAACCCTCGTTAAACGGAAATTAATCAATAAAGCTTTTTATAAATTTGATTTAATACTAAAATGATCCTAATCCTTGGGATTGATTTGCTCCAGTTCAAACAATTTGTATGACAATACTTGGCGATTAAAAAGGGTGGCGGAAAGTTTCTTGCCAGTTCTTCTTACCCGCTCTACGCCCTTGACTTGCGAACTGGTAGTAAATATAAATTTACAATTAATTTAACTTGACAATTCATAAGTGTATTTTATTTACCTACATGAATAAAGATCTTTTGAGTTTGAGTTTGAGTTACTCAAAATGCTTGAAAAAGAAACTGATAACGACCCACCACAAACATGTGAAGGACATATTTATAATGGATTTTTTATGTTCCAAGCATTGAAAGACGTTCCCTCTGTATTTGGCAATATTTCGAACAAATTCATTCAAATGTTTACGGAAAAACCTGCGAGCATAATCACATTCGATCGTTATTTTTTGCCATCGATTTAATACAACGAACGTTAAGAGGCTGTGTCACCAGCGGTCAGAATCGTATAAAGTGAGGAAAAAGTAGAAAATAATGTTTCAAATGGTTGAACGAAAACGAGGTGAATTAAGTACACCATCAGCCACCATAGTATAACAAATTACAGCGAACATATTGGCGGTATGGATTTTTTGTCGATGCACTTTATTTAGCTGATTTATTTTTGGAAATCTTATTTTGATAATTAACGTGTCCATTCGCAGATGATGGTGAAGAGGATCGATGAGACAAAATCGAACAAGACGAAGCGAACTATTTAGCACACGACAGTTCTGATGATGATTTATCAGAGGACGGTTGCGCTAGTGATGATTTTGATAACGAATAAATCGGCCAAATTATAAATCCTACATTTCTGTTTTTTGTTTTTAATTTTACCGGTACATTAGTTCGTTGTATTATTATTGTACACTCTATGTTGTTTTTTTATTATGCATATTATTCATTTACACATGAAATGAAATACGACAAAAACAAAAAATATTCGCACTGTTCGAATAATCTGTATCTGTACAGCATCAGCTGACGGTTTTCCATTACTACACACACAGCTGATCGCTGTTTCGTACTATTAATTATTAAAACTGTCACGACTGTCACTGTCAAGTTTCAAACGGCATACTATAAATTTATTTTACGTATTTTTTCGTAAGTTCATGCGAGCGGCTGACGTATACGCTCTTCTTGCCCGCTCTACGCCCTTGACTTGCGAACTGTTAGTAAATGTAAATTTACAATTAATTTAACTTCTTTTGTGACGTTCATAAGTGTACTTGTTTACCTATATGAATAAAGTTATTTTCAGTTTAAGTTTGAGTTTATATCCATGGTGAAGCTGACGATTTTTTTTTCAGCTTAGAATGATGTTCATTTCATTCAAAAAATATTCAGCCGGCGTAGTTTAGTTTTGTTTTTACCACTTCCGTAACCTTCCACACCCACCGCGAGCTGACGCTAGGTTCACATGTTAGTCAGCCGCGATCTATTGAAAATGATGGCAATCGATCAGCGTAAAAACACTAGCCAAATTGCTACTGTACCCCCTGGACTATTAGGTTATATTTCCAAAGTATAAACAAACTGATACACAAAAAAAATGGTTTTCGTAGACAAAGACAAAGAAAATATATTTTTTTTTAATAACCAGTTACGTATGATTTTTAACATATAAATTACGATTCTGTAATAATACCAGGTGCATGTATCCAATTCCTATGTCCTTCTCGAACAATCTACCTTATAACGGGACTAAGCATGTGGAACCTATTATTGGACCCTCTCCTACATGACTTGCGAAATAGTAGCGAGTTCGTTCAGGCGTTTGCGGATGACGTCATTTTAATAGCGAAAGGAGAGACCGGCAGTGAGATACAGCAGAACCTGAACCCAACGTTGAACCAGATACATAGATGGGTAACCGAAATAAACTAAACCTAAACTAGGACAACGTCGTTACTCGCAACAACCCTACTCGCCGGGATGAGATGAGATCTGCGTTGCGATTCGGTAACTCACTTTTCGAAGTCTCACAGCGGTTTTCGTGGCTGCGGTCGCGCTCATATCAGTCGTGAAGCAGTCATTTTACGATTTGGCATTCTGATAAGGAGGGAGCTTGTAGTTTATTGTTTATCAAAATGCCAAATCGTAAAATGACTGCTTTATGACTGATTTGAGCGCAACCGCCAGTGTGAAATCCGCTGTGAGAGTTCGAAAAGTGAGTTACAAATCGCAAGGCAGAGAGACACGTTAGCAAAAGAAGTGGCGGAAAAATAAAGGCACAAAACCTTAATACGCTGCATAATATGTAAACATTAAACGCCAGATAAGGCAAAAGACGTTTGAAGTATGGGGGGGGGATACAGCTGGAACTACAAAACTACTTAAGATGAAGCGATACTCAGAGTCATTTATAAGTTTTAACTGTTTTTTAAGCCATATAAAGGTATAAAGGTAAAAACATAGATTCAGTAAGCTAATTTAACAACTGCTTGGATCGCTTTTTCTCCTTGTGAGGCCCTTTCATCTTTAACCGCTTAAAAACAAAATTATCACTAACACTACAAAACTCACATTACTAAAAATCTCAAACAATATCTAGTCAACCTGTCCTATGCTGATACCGAAAATACTCTTATTGTGCAAAAATAGTTTAAATATAAATTTGTGTTATTGTAGAAATCATAAACTTAAATACAGTCTAAATGTTAAAAGGAAGACACTGGCTGCTCACAACACAAGGAATCCTATCTCTCTTTCTTTCTTTTCGTTATACAAAGCATTACAATCACAATATATTTACAAATACAATTTTAACTAAATTTCCATTTTTGAACAGAAATTTATTCTTAAGGTATTGATCTAAAAGTCGTGTCTGAACACGGCTGTGAGCACATAAGCTGATCTGAATGTCAATGTGTTTCACACTTGGAATTACTTTTGAATTAAAAAAAAGGGTGCGTGTACTTATGTACGCGAGTAAGAAGTTATACTTCTTTGGCATAATTAAAAATAGTTTTTGATTGCATGCAAATAATTAATTACAATTAAATAATCAAAGACTGGAAAAGGAGTCATTAAAGTCAATAAAGTTCAGTTTACATTTGAAAAATTAAATAAATAAATATTTATTATTATTCTCTTACATTAAGTGTAACATAAATTCTATTATTATTCGAATGTTGTTTTTAGATTATGTCCAATGCCGAAGCATCTCCCGCGGGCAACTTCATTCTGTTAATTTTGTGTAACGGTGCGCGCGCATCGTAAAATTTCACTCTCATCAATTTTTCATAACGCGCCTAAAGAAGTATAACTTCAAAAAACAAATAATAACTCGATTGAGTAATCGTGTACAAGAGTACACAACAGAATTTCAAAAACTTTTAAAAGAACCCTTCCGTTAAATTTATTTGAAATGCAAATAAGTGATTTCCAATTTAAATAAGGTGACACGAAATGTGGATCTCACTTATAGTCCCTGATTACAATGGAATGGCTGCCAAGTTAATTATGAAAACTTTTTTCTAAAATATTAATTCAGTTTTTAAATTTAAAGCCAGTGTTAGATTGATATCTGTATATAGTCTGTTATCAATTTTGGAAGAAAATGGCAACTCTTATAAGAACTATTTGGCTCGGGTATGGTTTTATCTTCGATGAATTAGCAGGTATAATAAACTACGAAATTCTGAGTTGACTAAGTTTATTTGTAAAATAACTTGGTTTATTTTTTGTATAATACTTAATTTGTCGGTGATTAAAGTCACGTCACTTGATTATTTAATTTTTCAGATCCAAGAACAAAATCATGGTTTTTAGTGGCGAAACCGTATCAAGGATTGTGCGTACTCGGGCTATACCTGTTGTTTGTACTGAAAATCGGACCGAATTGGATGAAAAACAGACAGCCATTTAATGTCGATAAACTTATGATAATACATAATCTTATCCAAGTTGTGGCGTGCTCTTATGTCTTTTATGAGGTTAGTAAGTGAAAGTTAAATACATTTTTTTTCCTTACTATGAATAATAATCGATTGCAGTCATCTGCAGGACAAGCCATAGCCAGTGGCGCCACACCACTTTTTAGCTAAATCTCTTATAGTTGACGATATTTCTGCTTTATTCACGAGATCTTTTAGATATATTAGTAATAATTATGTTAAGCCTGCATCAATATGAGTTCAAAGCTAGGTTATATAATCTAACTAGCAGACCGGCCAAGCGTTGCTGTGGCTAAGGTTTTTGTTATATTACATAGTAGCAAACTATTCAAGGGAAACGGTAGGAGAAGACCAGTCATGGGGACCACTATGCTTTTTAGTGGTTTTGCCATTAAATTGTAGCTTATGTGAAAGGTTGGTACTTTCGACACAGCGCCATCTGTCGGAATTGTGACTATCAAATAATAAACAAATATTTTGCAATAAAATAATATTGCGGGTATAAATTGAGAAGTAAGCTATCCTATCTTTTAAGTTGGATCAAACTACACATGGTGTGCAAATTTGATTGATATCGGTTCGGTAGTTTAGGAGTCCATAGCGGACAAACAACGTGACACGTAATTTATATATATTAAGATAATCAACGTATATAATACATAGGATTACCATGTATTATTTTCAACAACATCGAATCGTATACAATGTTTTATACCTACACATTTTACGGTTATTTTAAGGACTGGCCGGGCGTGTGAACTTTTTGGCCAATCCGACATTCTGAGGTGGATAGACCTTTATGGGTAGAGTACGGCCTCCCATTCTATATACGTCTATGGTTAGCTAATAAATTGTTACGATACAATCGTTTTGAAGAAGATCAAGTAATTTTATTTGTTACATTTCAATAGATAGTCAATCATAAATCAAGTTATCTAACTTATCGCTATCTGAGAGTTAAGTTTCGACCTTTAAATCTTACATTTAATTTATCAAATCTTTAATCAATTAATTTAATAGACGATTCTGCGTAAGAAATCGGTATCGGAAAATAACCACACAATCGGTGCTATACCGTAAATGATCAAATTTTTTTGTATTTCAAAAATCCATTGCGCAGGAGCATTGTTGGCCTAGTGGCTTTACCGTGCGATTCTCATCCCTTAGGACGTTGGTTTGAACCCAGCTGTGCACCAATAGACTTTCTGTCTATGGGCGCAGTTAACTTTTTCTCGCACAGTGAAGGGAAACATCGTGAGGAAACCTGCTTGCCTTATAAATAAAAATATGTTTATTATTGAACATAAGCTACAGGTATCACTTATTCCACGTCATTATATTATTAATCCCTACTCATCGGCAAAGAAGACAGAGGGTGTAGGCCGAGAGAAAAAGCCGGCGCAAAAAACTCTCGGTACTCTTTTAAAATAGCAAATCATCAAACAACACATATTTTAAAAACGTCAAAGGCCTAGTTCAAAAAGTCGAAGGCGTGTGTCAGGCACAGGAGGCTGAACACCTACTTGCAACTGAGGCCTAGACCTAAAAAGGTTGTAACGCTGTTATATAAAAATCCAATGCCCGTTTGTCGGAGTTACGTCCCAGTTTCGCCAGACGTAGACTCTCTTCAATTGTTACATTCCATTCATTCGTTTCATAGCAATTAACATTTCATTATTAGTTTATAAGCAAATACAGTATTTACAATGTTCTTAACCTATAAAGTAATAATAAAAATAATTAAAGAAGAAAGAAGAAAATCAAAACAAATTTAAAAAGTTTGGTCCCTGTGGCAGTGTACCTTTAACGCTGGCAGCATTTCCTCGCTGTATTGCGAGACTTATTCTTTGAGCCAGGAAAGTGCCAGCTCTGTGGTCACCGGTACTATCTACCAGGCGCCAACTTAAATCTTTAATAAGCGCCTGTGCACTTGAACCCCACGGCCCAAGAGTCTCTACTCCAAAGGGAACAAAATTGAAGTTGGAGGAAAGACTCTTATATTTGTGCCGTTTGTTAATTTCTGCCTGTTCTGCGGCCGCGCCAGCTTTTTTGCTTGTCCGAAGGAGATGAGACGGGGCAAAGGTGTCTACACAGGTAGCATCCCATACTAAAGCCCGTCCCATTTTCCAAGGGATCAAAGACATTCCATCCGGCCGCTTGCCATCGTCTCTTGCGATGCCTGTTGGCTCCAAAATTGCTGGAACATTGACAGAGGCAAGAGAGCGGCGTATAATGTCGTTTAGCGCGGCATGGCGAGAAAAACGACCTGCACTCTTTTTCACTCTATTACGTGAGTGGTTACTATTGAGTTAAAATTAAATCTTCTATTATTTAAGCAACCCGATGACCCAGGAACCGTACAAATTAATTAGCGGCCTAGTATGTAAATCGATGCAAAAATTAATATACAAAACATAATGGAACTTGAACTCTGATTAGTTCAAGTAATTACAAACTCACATGTCATGCGCATAATTATAATTCCTGAATACAACGTCTTTATATTCTATATTGTGTAATTTTAGTGAAAGATTTCCATAATGGCCAGTCATCGTTACGTTTTTATTTGACAGGAAATAAATGGCCTACCCATTTATTACTCACTAAATGTTTAGTTAAATGGTCGTCTAAAGCCTCCAACATTGCTTCTTGTTTTGGTGGACCCAATCTTAAATATATAAAACAAAGTCGTGTTAGTTACTTATAACTCAAGATCGGCTGAACCGATGTTAGTTATCTCTTTTTTGGAGGATTCTTCTCAGCTCCGAATAGCAGATAAGTAATAAAATATCGGATAAGTTATCGAATAACAATAAATAAATAAATTAATTTTACGAATGCAAACACCATGTGGTGGCATCTGTTGACAAAACTACGCACTGTCACTTCAAGAAATTCCGATCTTGAGGTGAATGAGGAGATGCATAACAAGGTTTTGATCTTGATCGAAGACATGTGTTACCTCATTAATAAATGTTGTATATCAGAAAGTGCTTTAACATGCAGTATTACAATATTGGCGCTAGAGAGAAGAGGCCTAATGTGTAAAACTGCCGTTTTTCTTTCGCAATGGCAAGCAATAAATCATTTCTGTATTTGCAAAAAACGTTATGATATTTTAAACTGTTAGGCGGAACGAAGTTAGCGGGGTCAGCTAGTAATTCAATAATTCAAAAAAGGTGGTCATTTCGGTGAAACCATTCGACAACCATTTCGAGGAAACCTTTGACCTTAGACCCAAATTTCGCACAGAGAACCTACTTTTCAATTTCTACATGGGTGCTCGAGCGATCATTTTGGTGAGGGGAAACATAGTGAGGAAACCGGCATGTCAAAAGTAAAAAATCATTTATTCATACATATTAAGTTACATTTGTTATACCATATAAAATCACGCATTTCTGGACCAAACCATACAGCTGAAACCAACTCAAATTATACTTCATCATGTTTAATGTATTTATGAAATAATTCATGAAATATCGAATATACTTATCACTTGGCGTTGCGTAGAGATGTGGGGTCACTCTGCATCTTCTACCGCATTTACCATGGAGAGTGTTCAAAGGAGTTGTTCGGATTAATACCTGCAGCTGAATTTCATCATCGGATGTCGAGGCAGAATACGAAATTCCACCCGTATCACCTCGACTTCCGTCGTTCAACAACTGAGTGTTTTTAAGGCAGATTTTGCCGCGCACACCACTATGTGGAACCAGCTGCCCACTGAAGTATTTCCGAACCAATTCGACTTAGGGTCCTTCAAGAAAAGATCGTATCGATTTTTAAAAGGCCCTCTGGCATTGAGGGTAATATTAATCTTGCCCTTTATAACTGTATAATTCATAAAGTAATATTTTTTTTTAACTCTGTATTACACGTCGATCACATGTTCCGAAAAAAATATTGTGTTTTTTAATTTTTTTTTTTAATTTAAGGCCATCATATACGCGTGGGGCTGGAATTATAGATGGTTCTGCGAACCAATAGATTATAGCTATACTGAACATGCATTAAACGTGGCTGGAATGGCTCACCACTACTACATGCTCAAATATCTGGATTTACTTGACACGGTAATTATAAATTTTTTAGTACTTTTTGAGATAATCAATTTGCAATGTCCGAGAATAACTTTATAATTATAATAATAAGCCTTTATTCATCCACATCTTATTGCGATACATTTAACAAAAATCCGCATCTTGCAGCCGATACCGACTGCTCTAAGCGGTCGCCTCACGGCGATCTGCAGTTTCCATACTAAAATTCATATTCGCAATACACGGACCGCTCGAGCAGTTCCTGAGCAAACCGCATATTGCAGTCGGTCTTGACTGCAACATGCGGTCCGTCTATGGCCCGCTTAAGACGTGGTCTCTGCCCGGGAGAAGATCTCCTACAAGTATTTCCATCGTATATATGCGCCATCGTAATCCAATTATTTCCAGCTACCCTTCCGATCCCGTCGTCCCATCGCTCTATTGGCCTGCCCCTGTTCTTTTCCTTTTGGACCAGTCCATTCGGTTACTGCTTTAGACCATCTGTATATCTCCATTTGAGGTGTAGGGCATGTTAATAATAATAATAATAAACCCATTTAATTTCCAAATCATGACAAAAAAATGATATATACAGCTTAGATTTATTACATTTTATATATTATTCTAGCTATCTTCAGTACCGTCGATCGGAACCCCTTCACGGGTAAAGGCCTCCTCTAGCTTTTTCCAACTAACTCTGTCCATGGCATTCTTTCTCCATTCTTCTTCTCCTTCTTCCCCTTTGTCCTTTCGATACAGTTATCTTTAACATCCACTTTTTATCTATGTATCTTGCCACTTCTGTTTTAGAGCATAATGTAAGGCATCTATCACTTGTTTTTTGTCTTATTTTTTCACTTTTAATTTTATGTATTTTCTTATTTTTAGTACGCTTCTTTCCATTGCTTTCTGGCATGTTACGAGTTTGGTTTTTATTTTTGCGTTGTAGCGCATGTTGCTCAGCATCAATTATTTTTGGTTTTCTGCGAATACATTCACTGTTATGTTTGTCGTGTGATTGAATTTCGAGAATAATTCTATCGCACGCTGGCACGAACGACTTTGGCTTTTGTTTTGTTCTTGAAAATCCAATAAAAATTCCATATATATTATATACAAATACTCATGCATTGTACAATGATTATTATATGAAAATTACTACATAAATTAGGCTAAAAATAGTACATAAACATTTAATAGAACTGTACGGGTGAATAAGTAAAAAGAGGATATGTTATTTAGGAAGTTGGTAAGACTTACACAACATTTTATTAAAGATACCTTTTCACTTATAAGTGTAAAATTACAATATAAAATTTGAACTTTATATTATATTCAGGAATTCGTTATCCACATATGACGTGGTCAAGTCCTAAATAAAACTAAACCAGTGGAAATAAAAAAATAAAAAAAAACTTGAGATTTATAGCTAGGATTAACACACAATTTCATGTTTTCAGATATTCTTCGTTCTAAGAAAGAAGTCCAACCAAATTTCATTTCTCCATATTTACCACCACACAGGAATGGTGATGATGATTTGGGGAGCAGTAACATATTTCCCAGGTAATAATAACCACAAATCATCAAGTTATGATTGCTTATTAGAAAAAACGCAGGAGGAGCAGTGTTGGCCTAGTGGCTTCAGCGTGCAACTCTCATCCCTGAGGTTGTAGGTTCGATCCCCGGCTGTGAACAAATGGACTTTCTTTCTATGTGCGCATTTTACATTTGCTCGAACGGTGAAGGAAAACATCGTGAGGAAACCGACATGTCTTAGACCCAAAAAGTCGACGGTGTGTGTCAGGCACTGGAGGCTGATCACCTACTTGCCTATTAGATTTACAAAATGATCATGAAACAGATTCAGAAATTGGAGGCCCAGAATTAAGGGAGGGCACTAACCAAAATTACTCATCATAGATTTTGTCTAAGTATGTGATGCTTGAATTAAAACAATCAATTTGTATTGATCCTTCACGTAACGTTGTATTAATAATAGTATTTCGGTCATACAATGTGCAGAGGCGATAAGAACTTGGAGTACCACAGAAGTCAAAAGATCACGTGGCCTTTCCCAACCGGATGGACCGATCGAGTGAAAGACTCATCGTCATCAAAACTGTATAAGAGACTGCGCTGAATAGAAACCGCTGGAAACAGATAGTCCGCTCAAGATGTTTCCTCGCTTACGTCGCTGAGACATGAGCTACGGACTAAATTCTCTCGTCTGACATTGCTGTTTCTCATTTAAGGTGGTCATGGAACTCTGATAGGCATGGTGAACTCTTTCGTGCACGTAGTGATGTATGGCTACTACCTTCTCACCGTCGCGATGCCAAGTGTGAAACAGTCGTTGTGGTGGAAAAAACATATTACGCAAATACAAATTGTAAGTATCATGTAATTATTTTGTAATAATAAACGGCTCAAATATTAGAGTCGATCCTCCAACTTCAATTTTGTTCCCTTTGGAGTGGATACTCCTGGGCCGTGGGGTTCAAGTGCACAGGCACTATTTATTGGCGCCTGATAGATAGTACCGGTTACCCAGAGCTGGTGCTTTCCGCGCTCAACGAATAAGTATCGCAATACAGCGGGAAATGCTGGCAGTGTTAAAGGTACATTGCCACAGGGAACAAAACACAAACTTTAATTTTTTTTTTAATTTTCTTTGTATTAAATTTTAATTATTACTATGAAGGTTAAGAAAATTTTAAATACGGTTTATTTGATTGTTATGTTTTGGTTTTAAATACAAAATAGAAAACGTAACATAGTACAAGTAATAAAACCTAATCTTCATTAAGAGCGTAATACAGGTAAGTGGGAAGACTGATGTAAAGTGTATATTTTTTATTGAAGTGAAACTTCTTTAGACGCATGAGGGTAACATTTTTACGGAACGTCACGAAGTTGTGCAGCGTTTTTGTCTAAGAAAAGGGAGAGAGTGCGAAGGGTGAATTACCTTATAGAAATTCTATTTTTTTAAATTAAATATTTCGTAAAGAGAATTATAAAATATTAGTATTTTATGCAACATAATTTATTGAAATCTCAAATGACGAATTGTAAATTAAAATGCCACGTGTTTTTATTCTCGAAGATATAAATTTAAAAAAATATATATTATTTGTATTAATTTTCGACACTTTTATTATTTTAATGACAATTATTTCCTAAAATAAATTAAATTTATTAAATTCCTAACATATCTTTCTTTTTTTAGATTTAGATTTGTATAAATATGAACCAGATTTAAAAATTAGTTTGCCAAAGAAGTTGCACTTCTGACATGTGTACTTTGTACGCACGCACTTTTTTTAAATCTAAATTTGTTACAGATTCAGCTGGCCTGGTGCTGTATCCATATGTTTGTCTTGGTCTTCAAGCAAGACTGCGAATACCCACGCTGGGTAGCAATACTCTTCCTCCCTAATGATTTGTTTATGCTAACTTTATTCGTGGACTTTTACATAAGGACCTATATAAAGAAACCGAAGGTTACACCAGTTCAGTCTGAAAGCAAAGAAAAGATGTTTGAAGAGTCGATCGTACGGCAACGGACTGTGGTAGACAGTCAAAAGGAATTATGATTTTTAAATAATAAAAATATCTCTCTTATAGAGAGATCTCTCTTAAGAGATATTTTTAATAGATACGGACATTACTAAAAATTTATTAAGAATATACCACCTTATTATTAAAATCTGACTATACTCTGATTTTTCATACCGTAGAATTCTGACATTTCATAAGTGTTGCTACTGAAAATGTTCTCCACCGAAAAAGAGACAAATTTGACTTATTTGACGGCAATAAAAAAAATGCTACGTATTTTTTACGTTTTACCTACAAAAAGGTAAATCTAAATATTTACTTACTCAAGTGACCTAATACAAAAATAACAAATATTTCAATATCACGAACAATATATCGAATTAACTCTAATTACTTTATTTTATTCTTTAGCTGGCATCACTGCCTACTAATTCCAGGTTTAGTAAACCTTTAAAAAAAATGTTATCTTTACTTGTGCGTTTTTTACTGCTTGTAATGAAAAGGGACGTAATTATAACTCGCCGTTTAACCACTTTTAATGTAGACCACCGCACTTAATAAACTTGATACATTAACTAACAATAAAATGTATGTATAGAGTCAGATGTTCAGCCTCGTATTGAAATTGAAAAATGTGCCCGACCAAAAATGTTTGCCATCTCTGACATGTCAAAAAATGATAGCTGTCAGAATTCTATGGAATTAAGAATCAGAGTATAATTGTTTAAACTAACTACCGTAACTCATGTACTTAACGTCTCTTTTCACCACAGAGTAGACATAATTTAATAGAAACAGACGAAAGAGTACTTCAGTTAAGAGTATTTAAGTTAAAAGAGTATTTAAGGAGATATGAAAGATAAATGATTAGTAAATTTCTTGTTCTATTATATGTACAAAATAAAAATATAATATAATAATTAAAATTATTTAACCTCCTTTGTCAACCTAACCCTTATCTCATGTATATATAAAAAATAAAAATAAAAATTGTTTATTTCGGAAAACATGGCTATATAACTATGTTAGTAATTATAACTTAATAACTTAAATCTAAGGGTTAGTACGTTTACATATTAGAACACACAAAAATACAGGAATTGGAGAAATTAAAAACATTAATACTGCTTCAATTGTTCATACTCCATTCATTCCGCTTGAAATGGCGGAACAGTGATTGAGGTATGGGCAATCGACTCGGTCCGCGATCATGCGGAGGATGCTGTTACCATCTCTTGCGTATGGTGGCGTAGAAACAATCCACCCGCGCCTCAGCGACCATCCCCGATGCGCTGCAGAATCGAGGCAGCCGCAACAGCACCCTGAACGTTTTATTATATTGGATACGGAAAGCGTTGTATCACAATCGAGTATATTTCGCCCACAGGGCGCTCTTATATAATGATGTGCAGAATGCTCTAAAAAGGTTTTTTTCACATCTATTGAGCATCTCACAACGCTCTCCGTTCCCTATCTATATCAGCCTCGTCCCTGAGGTCGGGTGTCAAAATGTGTCCAAGATATTTAAATGTTTGTACAATTTTTAAGGGGACCCCGTATAGAGATATTGGGGGTATACTGCACACACTTTCCCAACCGGCCCCAAAGACCATGACTTCACTTTTATTTACATTATATTTCAAGCCATGACTAGCCGCATATGCCTCACAGAGCTTAAGGAGCCGTCTAACCCCGCAGACCTACGCGCTCAGCAGCACCATATCGTCTGCGTAGCTGATATTGTTAACGTACCTATACACCGTCCACGTGACAGCCGACACGCTGCTAAGCGTCTCAATCAACGCGTTTATATATAAAATTAAAGAGAGATGCAGTCCACCTTGTCTTACTCCACAATGCATCGTATAGGGCTCAGAAAAGCACCCATCCATTTAACATTGTTGATTTGGTTACCATACCAAAACTTAAATATGTCGCAATCTATTAACTTTCTATTAATTACTAAACAGCGCCGTTTAACTAGCGGTCTGAAAGATATTCCATTAGCGTTTGTAAGATTTAATAAACTGGCTGACTAATGCTCTATCTCTATCTGTACGAATGGTCTATCGTACTAAAGAGTGACAATATGACAGAAATAACAAAGATGGAACATCCGATATAAAATATATTTTTTTAATAATTAAATTCACATTATTGTCACTACACTCTTCCATTGTACTTGTTGTTTTCATTAAACTTTGAAAAACACCAGAAAAGTAGTATTACGACTTATGTTGAATCAATTTCTGGTTCTTAAAAGCCTAGTAAGAGTTATTTTTCAAAAGCTTACGTATATCGAAATAATCGAAGAATACCAAGGGTGGTTCTTATTTATTTATTCATTATTTTTATTAAATTGGTGCTGACAAACTTTTTGTAAAAAAAAAATACCGATTTTATTGACCGTTCTACGCCCTTGATTTGTGTTATTCATAATATACACCTTGTCTCAAAAGAAAGTTCATTGATCGATTAAAAAAAATTTAGTTGATTGATTTAAAAAAGTAAGTCGTGTATCAAAAAAGTGTTTTTTCATTATTAAAGTACACATGTTGGGAATTTATTAATTTAAAATAATACCGACCAACTGTAGACAAAAAAGTGTTTTTTCATTATTAAAGTACACATGTTGGGAATTTATTAATTTAAAATAATACCGACCAAATGTAGACCCTCGCGTTTGCGGAGAACAATAAAATTACTTGTACTGCTCGCCAAGTGGACTCAGGCTGCCATTTCGTGACTGATATTTTCTTTCAATGGCGCCAGAGAAGTTGGCTTATTGGCGTATACTTTAGATTTAAGATAGCCCCATAATAAAAAAAAGGGTGCGTGTACTTATGTACGCGCGTAAGAAGTTATACTTCTTTGGCATTATTAAAAATAGTTTTTGATTGCATGCAAATAATTAATTACAATTAAATAATCAAAGACTGGAAAAGGAGTCATTATAGTCAATAAAGTTCAGTTTACATTTGAAAAATTAAATAAATAAATATTTCTTATTATTCTCTTAGATGAAGTGTAACATAAATTCTATTATTATTCGAATGTTGTTTTTAAATTATGTCCAACGCCGTAGCATCTTCCGTAGGCAAGTTCATTCTGTTAATTTTGTGTCACGGTGCGCGCGCATCGTAAAATTTCACTCTCATCAATATTTCATAACGCGCCTAAAGAAGTATAACTTCAAAAATCCACAGGGGTCAAATTAGCACTGCGTGGAGGCCAGGCACCAAGAAGAATGCGTTGATGCGTTCACGCAGTAAGCTATTTAGCTATGTAAACTTTCTTGGAGACACCTGTTATTTTCCAGCTATTAGCGAATATGCCGTTCCTCAAAAGATGAGAAAGCAGATCTCGAAATCTATTAAATAAACCAATATTAGAGCTGGGAACCCTGACTCATGTATTTTTACTTAAAAAGGTTCTCAAATCTTACACATTGCATTATCAATCAATCAATTAAAATCATTTATTCATATAAGTAACAAAATGTACACTTATGAACGTAAAAAGAAATATACATTAAATGCTTCTAATTTTACATGTACTGCCAGTTCTCAAATCAAGGGCGTAGAACGGAAGAGAACAGCCCTGCGATTCTGTAACTCACTTTTCGAACTCACACAGCGGTTTTCGCATCGGCGGTCGCTCTCAAATCAGTCGTGAAGCAGTCATTTTATGATTTGGCATTCTGATAAACAATAAACTACAAGCTCCCACCTTTTCAGAAGTAGGGAAGGGTATGACGGGTCTGGGCGTTACTGCATACGATGTTTTGCATTTTCTGAGAAGATTAACTATGGATTTTACCATAGGAAAGTAGAGATTTCAACGAACTGAAAGCACACCAACTTTTTGAAAAAAAGCTGAAATTTTGACGTCAGAATTTTCGATTGAAAATTAGGGTGTTTTTTCGATATTAATTCAAAATAAGGTGAAAAAATAAATATTTTTAATCAAATAAATTACAGTATATTTGGGACATAATAAGGTAAGTTTTCACCAAATTTCGTTAAAAAAAAAGAAATTTGTAAAAGTTAAAAATTAAAAACAAAACCCGGTTTTTTGAATTTTTCACAAATTTTGAGGTTATGTGAAAAATGTGTAAATACAAAAGTTTTAGATCTTTTTATTACCTACAACTTTGCCATTTAACTTTCTTCGATAGGACTTTTAGTTTTGCCGGAAATCGAGATAAACCGTTTTTTACCCTTAAAACTCCCCCCTACCCCTTCCCGACCTCAGATCGACCGTAATTTATTTTTCCTTTCATTTTGATCATATTCCCCTGCTTTTCTAATGGGTTTCATCCTACTGTAATTTTTTTCACTTTTTATTTATTTTGAAGGCTATCTGCACTGGTCTATTTCTTATACTACGTTTTATATCCCACGGAAACAGGATAAAACGTCTATCAGGATATCTAATGTCCTATGGGTGCGCGAGAGGCGAGCACCATATAATAATAGTTTTTAGGCTAGGTAGTGGCCGCAGTGGGAAGACAAAGAAAACTTCTTGACTTTAAAAGTATATAATAATGATAACAGCATATACAGAAGGAACGAAGTTGAATGAAAAGAGTTGTAGTACAATTAGAAAAAAGAAATCCCAAGAAAGTACAAGAATAGATAAATTATACGTGACTAAGGGATAGTTCCTAAATCGCGCACGGGTTTCGCCTTTGACAGTTCTAAACGCACTGCTCGCTGGTCGCGCTGCCACTGGCTGCAGGCTCCACCCACCGCGCCCGTGTCGTCACACATAGCGGTAAAATCACCGACGCGGTGGAAAAGAGGAGTGATATTATTGTTCGCCACATCAGCCCCCCCGGAGACCGTTACGGTCGAAAATAATCCGGGAACCGAACACGACGCCCGCTCCGAGTACAGCGATCTTCCACCACCGCTGGCTTCGACACTGGATCTGGTGATGAAAGTATGAATGCGGGCTTGACTCTGTCCACTGAAACAGTTACAACTTTACCGTTAAATTCAATGGCAAAGGTTTTATCTCCTCGCTTTATCACTTTGCAAGGGCCCACATACGGTGCTTGCAGTGACTTTCGTACAGAGTCTTGGCGAAGAAAGACATGTGAAGCCGTCTGTAAATCTTTGCTGACGAAAACTGGAGTAGCACCATGGCGAACTACTGGTGTAGGCTTAAGTTCTAGCATTTTATTCCTGAGTCGTGACACGAAATCGGAATAGTCTACGACCTGTTTTGGAGAATGGTTGAAGAACATACCAGGCAGTCTCAATGTTTCTCCGTATACTAACTCTGCTGACGACGACCCAACGTCTTCTTTCCAAGCAGTCCGAATGCCAAGAAGAACCACCGGAAGAGCTTCAACCCAGTCGTCGTTAGCATGGCACATGATCGCTGCCTTGAGTTGCCGATGAAATCTCTCCACCATACCGTTTGCAGCCGGGTGATAAGCTGTGGTCTGTAAATGATTAAATCCCATTATACGTGACAATTCCTTAAAGAGATATGCTTCGAACTGCCTGCCTCTATCAGTTGTTATCTTCTCAGGACAACCGAACCTTGAGATCCAACCATAAACAAAAGCATTGGCCACAGTGTCTGCTTTAATGTCCTGAAGCGGCATGACCTCCGGCCACCGCGTGAAACGATCAATAGCTGTTAGGCAATATTTAAATTCGTGACGCATTGGTAATGGGCCTATGAGGTCGATGTGGACGTGGCTGAATCTATCCGATGGAGGAACAAAATCACTGACAGGAGCACGGGTATGTCGAGTAACCTTTGAGCGTTGACATGCGAGGCAGCTCCGTGTCCATAAGCTGCAGTCCTTTTTAATATTGGGCCAAACAAACCTCTCAGAGACCAGTCTAACGGTTGCTTTGATTCCTGGATGACTCAATCCGTGCAAGCAGTCGAAAGCTTGCCGTCGAAATTGAGGAGTCAAGTAAGGTCTTGGTGTTGAGCATGACATATCACAAATAACTGTCTTACCAGAGCCAGAAATGTCTATCTTCTGCAGGTCCAAAGAACAGTTATTGCTGCGTAACAAGTGTTGTAGCTCGTTGTCTACGATCTGTGCTGATGAGAGAGTATTTAAATTAATCACGCTAGTAATTGTTTCTACTCTGGATAGAGCGTCAGCTACTACGTTATTATCGCCTGAAACATGCTTTATGTTTGTAGTGAACTGCGACACAAAATCAAAATATCTAAATTGTCGAGGTGAGCAGTTCTCAGAAGCTTTTTGAAACGCAGAAACGATTGGCTTATGGTCGGTAAAAATTGTAAAATCCTTAGCTTCAACCATATGCCGAAAATATTTCACAGCTTCATAAATCGCCAAAAGCTCTCTATCAAAAGGACTATACTTCTTTTGAGCGGTATTTAATTTCCTCGAGAAGAAACAGAGTGGTTGCCATACAGAATTAATATTCTGCTGTAAGACAGCTCCGATTGCGTTGTCTGATGCATCCGTCCACAATGTCAGTTCTGCAGCTGGATCAGGATGCGCTAAAAGAGTAGCTTTAGCTAAATTAGCCTTACAAGACAAAAACGCCTTTTGCAGTTCATCAGTCCAAGTAATATTAGTACTGGGCTTAGCAGCTGGACCAGAAAGAAGCTCGTGCAACGAGGCCTGCACTTTAGCTGCACTTGGAATAAATCGTCGATAAAAGTTAATCATACCCAGAAATCTCCGAAGCTCCTTGATAGTCTTGGGTGGAGGAAAATTCTGGATAGCTTCTACCTTTTGTGGAAGTGGTCTGGTACCTGCAGAGGAAACGATGTATCCGAGGAATTCCACTTGCGACTCACCAAACACGCATTTAGATGCATTTATCATTATTCCATAGTCCTGGAGGCGCTGGAATACTTGATGCAGGTGGTCCAGATGTTGAGTTTCGTTCTGCGAAGCTACTAAAATGTCATCAATGTAGGGGTAACAGTAAGGCAAATCTCGTAGTATTTCGTCCATAAAGCGTTGAAATGTTTGAGCAGCATTGCGAAGACCAAAACTCATGAATGGAAACTCAAACATTCCAAATGGAGTTGTAATAGCTGTCTTCGGAATATCGTCCGGATGAACTGGGATTTGATTGTATGCTCTAATTAAGTCTATTTTACTAAAGACTGAACATCCAGAAAGGTTATGAGCAAAGTCAGCTATGTGACGAACCGGATATCGGTCGGGTATTGTGCGTGCATTCAATGCACGATAATCGCCACATGGTCGCCATTCGTTGTTTTTCTTCGGAACTAAGTGTAATGGCGATGACCAAGGACTGTCAGATCTGCGAGCAATACCTGATCTTACCATATCCTCGAACTCCCTCACAGCAATACGGAGTCGATCCGGTGCCAACCGACGAGGACGACTGTAGACTGGAGGTCCAGAAGTAGTACGGATATGATGCAGCGTATTGTGCTTAACCTTGAGCATAGACAGGTCTCCAGCTGGACGAGTGATGTCGGGAAACTGTGACAAAATTTCGTGGTAACGTGAGGTACCTGTAAAAGATTTGATGTGGCATAAAGCAAATGAAGCAGGTTTAGCTGAAGCACTAAGCGATGTAACATTGTCTATCAAGCGATTAAGCCTAGCATCAACAAGCAAATTGAAATGCGACAGAAAATCGATGCCTATAATAGGCTTGGTTACATCAGCTATCACAAACCGCCACGTAAAAGCTCGTCTGAGTCCAAAATCTAGTATTAAATTAAACCATCCAAAAGTGTCTATCACTGAACCATTCGCTGCAAAAAGTTTATAGTCTGTTTTATTCAAGCGTCTATTATTAAATAATTTTTTTGGATAAACACACAAATCGGAACTGGTGTCAATTAAAAATTGTATTTTAGTCTTACGATCGGTTACAAACACACGGCCACTAGTCACACTATTGCAGTCACGCGTCGCCGCCTTCACTGACTGCGCCGCTCGTTTCCCGGCGGAAACGAACAGGGTGCGCGACACTTCGTCGCCTTACTGCCAAAACGTCGATGAAACCAACAATGCCCCGGGCCAGCATTAGAGCGGCTCCGAGACCGATGTCGCCAACGTGGTGAGTGCCCTCGATATCTCGAGCGCGAACTTGATGTTGTTGACAACGCCGCTACCTGACGCGATAGGTCGTCAATGCGCCGGGTTAGCAAATCTATACTCGAAGTCGGTGTACCTGCTTGAGACGTCGCGGCAACTTGCCTATCCAGCTGCGGGGCGATCTCATAAATTTTATCAACAATTCGGGCTATAGATTCCAGAGGTAGGTCACCTTGAGCAGCCATAATTGCCTGCACATGGTCCGGTAACCTGCTCACCCAGATGGACCGTATGAATTCTTCTGGTACGTCTTCACCCGCCAGGCTTTGAAGGTGCCGTAAAAATTGGAAAGGTTTTCGGTCGCCCAATTCCTCGTGCGTTAGTAATTGACGAACCCGTTGCTGCTGCGAAATTGATAGGCGCGATATTAATTCAGTTTTAATTTTTTCATATTTCCCTTCCGACGGTGGTTTGGATACCACATCTTTCACCTCACAAATGTATTTATAATCCAAATTCGCGGTGACGTGGTAGAATTTTGTTGCATCCGCGGTAATGTTTGCCAACGCAAATTGACCCTCCAGTTGCGAAAACCAAAGTGCGGGTTCATTTGGCCAAAATGGCGGAACCTTTATGCCAACGCGGCACACTTCGTCTTTACCTGCCGTAGCCATGTTTCACAAATAAAATGTCAAATCACACAACTAATCACGTAACTGATCACGTCGGGGTCACCAATTTATAGGTGCGTGAGAGGCGAGCACCATATAATAATAGTTTTTAGGCTAGGTAGTGGCCGCAGTGGGAAGACAAAGAAAACTTCTTGACTTTAAAAGTATATAATAATGATAACAGCATATACAGAAGGAACGAAGTTGAATGAAAAGAGTTGTAGTACAATTAGAAAAAAGAAATCACAAGAAAGTACAAGAATAGATAAATTATACGTCACTAAGGGATAGTTCCTAAATCGCGCACGGGTTTCGCCTTTGACAGTTCTAAACGCACTGCTCGCTGGTCGCGCTGCCACTGGCTGCAGGCTCCACCCACCGCGCCCGTGTCGTCACACATAGCGGTAAAATCACCGACGCGGTGGAAAAGAGGAGTGATATTATTGTTCGCCACAGTCCGTTTCCTGGTTCTAAGCCGTTCTTGAGTTATAAATAGTGGACTAACGATTTATTTTATATATAGATATAACACTGGTTTAATTATAACTCTTCTTTGTCTCTTTCTGTCGTATTCTACCTAGACCAAGAAGTTTCTGAACCATTTATTTTTATGAAATTAAAAGTCCAACTCTCCAGTGTAATTAGACTTGACTGTTTTTCATTGATTATGGATTTTTCCATTAATAGAGATTGTGACTTCTTCTTAATAGAGACTGTAAGTAGTTTTATTAGAGCAGTGTTGGCATAGTGGCTTCAGCGTACGACTCTCATACCTTAAGTCGTAGGTTCGATTCCCGGCTGTGCTCTAATGGACTTTCTTTGTATGTGCGCATTTTTTTTTTTTTTATAGAACGGGGTGCAAACGGGCAGGAGGCTCACTTGATGTTAAGTGATACCGCCGCCCATGGACACTCTCAATGCCAGAGGGCTCGCGAGTGCGTTGCCGGCCTTTTAAGAATTGGTACGCTCTTTTCTTGAAGGACCCTAAGTCGAATTGGTTCGGAAATACTTCGGTGGGCAGCTGGTTCCACATAGTGGTGGTGCGCGGCAAAAACTGCCTTGAAAAACGCTCAGTTGTGGAACGGCGGATGTCGAGGTGATACGGGTGGAATTTCGTACTCTGTCTCGACGTCCGATGATGAAACTCAGCTGCAGGTATTAATCCAAACAACTCCTCTGAACACTCTCCATGGTAAATGCGGTAGAAGATGCAGAGTGACCCCACATCTCTACGCAACGCCAAAGGATCAAGCCGCTCGGAGAGGGATTGGTCGGCGACGATTCGAACCGCTCTGCGTTGTATACGGTCAAGTGGAAGGAGCTGGTACTGGGGAGCCCCCGCCCAGAGGTGAGAGCAGTACTCCATCTGGGGCCGAATTTGTGCTTTATATAGTTGCATGCGGTGGCCCGGAGTGAAGTACCGCCTCGCCTTGCTGAGCACACCAAGCTTTTTGGAGGCTAATTTAGCCTTTCCCTCCAAGTGACCGCGAAACTGAACGTCGTGCGATATGTCAACGCCAAGTATTCCAATGCTGGCTGTGGCTTTAAGAAGAGTATTTTCGAAAAGAGGAGTAGCGACAAAGGCTGTTTTTTTAGCGAAAAACCCGCAAACTTGTGTCTTCTTGGGGTTAAATTGGACTAGGTTTTGTCTGCCCCAGTCTGAGACTCCACGTAGTAGAGTTTCGACTTCAGACACAAGTTTGTTCCGGTACTCATCAACAACGGCCAGTGTAATGAATATCCCTAGTGCTGTCATCCGCATAGCAATCAATGTTGCTAAGTTGCAACATATCATTGATATGCAGAAGAAATAGGGTCGGGGATAGAACACAGCCTTGTGGGACCCCAGCATTCACGGGTTTAAGGTCGGAACATGCTCTGTCGATGACGACCTAGATGCTCCGATCGGCCAGAAAGCTGGAGATCCAATCGCATAATTTCTCGGGAAGCCCATAGGCTGGATGCTTCGAGAGCAGTGCTCTGTGCCACACCCGATCGAAGGCTTTCGCTATGTCCAAACTTACCGCCAGCGCCTCCCCCTTGGACTCAATTGCCTCTGCCCACCTATGGGTAAGGTATACAAGGAGGTCACCAGCTGAGCGACCACGACGAAAGCCGTACTGAGAATCGCTAATCAACTGGTGGCCCTCTAGATACCTCAAGAGCTGGTTATTAATAATGGTTTCCATTATTTTGGAGAACAAGGAGGTTATAGCTATTGGGCGATAGTTGGACGGATCAGAGCGATCGCCTTTTTTTGGGATCGGATGTATTCAATTTAATTTAACATTTGCTCGAACAGTGACGAAACCGACATGTCTTAGACCCAAAAAGTCAACGGCGTGTGTCAGGCACTGGAGGCTGATCACCTAATTGCTTATTAGACTTAAAAATGATCATGAAACAGATTCAGAAATCTGAGGCCAAGACCTAAAGAGGTTGTAGCGACACTGATTTATTTTTTTAAGTAGTTTTATTGGACATGTTAAATATGCTTTTTAGTAAATTAGTTTAGTTTTAAATTACTTAAGTTAGGCTAGATCGTTATGTTAAATTGTATCTTTGTAAAGAGACGATTTAAAAAAAAAACAACGGGTAGCACTCCGGGAGTGCCGGCAGAAGTGAAAACTTGAATATTATCGTTGTGCATTTTTGATATTTTGGAATGGTTAGGAAATAATTTTGCACGAATTGCTTAAATTATCAGTATAAAAGTACTATCATTTATGTGGTAGAATACAAATTTATTTATTGCGCTATCGTACACAAACATGACAATTTATATTACATTAAATACGCCGCGCCAGCTGTCCATCCATGCTCCATCCGTCTTACGAATTTTCGATCAGTTCACGTGTCCTGACGCGAGTTTAACATTTTTTACCCATTTCAAAAAAAGTGTACAACGCCGCTAAAGAAGTTTTCACATCAAAAATGATAATTTGAAGATTAACCAATTAAAGCCTCCATAAATTTACTTTCTGACACCAAGAGGTAAAAAAAACTAAAACGTTTAAAAGCACACTTTTATTTTAAATCAATAGCCGCCATTAAAACAATGATCGAATAAAAATGTAAATGAATCCAATTGATTTCATTGTATTTTTTGTTTAGACGTGATCGGTCCAATAACTGTAATTATAAAAATTTATATGAATATTAGCGATATAATAAAATGGCGACTTTAATTGGAAAATTATACAACGTGCACCATTTTTTATTTGAAGAATTAAGTGGTAAGTTATAGTTTTTTAGTAACTAAACTATTCGCTAATTTAAAGGTGTATTTTTGTGTTTAAACCTACAAATTATTTAGATTTACTTCGCTTAGATATTGATATATTATACCAGCGGCATTTACATAAATGACTTAAGACTTAAAAGTTTATATGTATGTTCCAGAATGCGCCGCGAAAGTTAATATGGCATTTTTTTTTCATTTTTTTTTTCGACAATTCACACCAATTGACCTAGTCCCATGCTAAGCTGGTGAAGCTTGTGTTATGTATACTAGGCAACGGATATACATACATATTATAGATTGATAGACATATAAATACATATTTAAACACCAAAGACCTAAGTACAACACCAAATGCTCATCACATCGATGTTTGTCTCAGCCGGGGATCGAACCCGGGACCCATGGATTCGCAGTCAGGGGTACTAACCACTAGACCAATGAGTCGTCAGATTATTTCTTCTGAGTATGATATAATTTACATTATAATAGCATTTACAAAAAATATTAAATTGGCATCTACTCTTTAAGGTATATCCAATAAGAAAGAGTTGCCAACATACGAAATTTGATTAGAAAATTAAATGATGTATCGCGTTTAAGATATCATCAATCAGGTTGATTGCCCCAACCTTTTAACTAAATATAAATTTCGTGTCGCACTGAATACCCTAGGAATCACACCATCCCATTATTCTCTCTATTTAGATGAACGCGTTTTAACTAAAACTCACCGATATCCAGATTCAGCATTCTGATAAACGAGCTAGATCTGGAAATCTATAGTTTCTCAATTCACCCTTTAAAATCTATAAATATTATCCTTATAATTTTTATAATGTATATTGTTTGTCTTTATGTACCAACATTGGTACATAAAGACAAACAATATACATGTGTACCGAGAATATTTAGCTTTTGTAAATATTAAAAAAGTATTTATTGTGTTTTGAATCTATTTAAAAAACGTCAAAATATGCACATCCTCTGGTCCCGAAAGTAGTAGGGGTACGTGGGGCTCGACCCTCACCAGAATCTCTGCTATTCAGAGACTGGGTGTATTACGTAGGCTCAAGGGCCTGTCGCTTTCTCAGCGCTTATTAAACACTATTAGAATCTTCAGTGAAGACTCTTCATCAAAGTAAGGAGATGGGCATACCTTCTCCTATTCGATTCTCGTCTTCTAACCCTTATATAAGAATGTATATTACCTACAAATTATTCGCATTAATATTTAACTTCAGATACTAGATCTAAAGCCTTGATAATTTCGAAATTATCTAAACCGCGGGAGTCAAGGTTAGTAAAAGTAAAATTGAGAAAATGGAACGTGTAATCGCGTTGTTATTTCCGAAAGTTCAGGTTTTGGATGTTAATCATTAGCAATTCATATTATTCAAATTAAGAATTCGAAATACTGAATTTATATATATGTAAATTTTATAAATATAATTTTAATTACAAAATGCGTAAATGATTTGCATTCAATTGTAATATAAACTAACAGTTGGAGGCGCTTCTACTGGTTCGAGTTTTGTGTTAAACTTGTCGATAAAAAAACGATTTACGTACCTAATGCGACCCTATTGACAACCTACAACTGAGATGCATTTAAAAAAAAAAACAAACAAATTATTCATATGACCTCGAAAAAATCAGCCCTTTTATGTATCCACGTGACCTTAGCAATAATCAGATTTCGTTTAATCAATTTTTATATAAATTCGTACCATGAACGCTCGGCTGAAGTAAAATATGACTGGTCCGCCTTCAAACCATGACAGAATAACAGTCTGGCCACGGGACATTCGCCGATGCGAATATTCGCGCGGTGCGAACGGCAAAGCGTCTAGCGACTGAAATAAACTCATAGCAATGTACTAATCAAGCCACGCGCAACGGCAAACGGCGATGCGACCGAAAAAATGAACAAGCGAACCGCGCGGGCGACTGGCGTCGCGGCGAGCGAGCGAAACAAAGGCATGAATCAGTACGGCGCAAGCCACGGAGTCGAGCGGCAGCCGCAGTGAATAGAGCAGGGATTAAATAAGTTTAATTGTTTTCGCGGCGAAAAATGAATACATAGTTTTTTATTACTGAAATAATGACAAGACCAGCTATTTGGAAGTCTGGCCATCCACAGCATAAATTTAATATACCTTAATGTCAAAAACAATTTTTCAGCGGCACTTAAAATTCTATTTGCATTAACTTTTTTCTCCAATTCTGGTTGAATATTCATAAGAATATAATCAAGGAATATATAAAGGTTTCATTACTCATTCTGGTATACTCAAAAAAAAAATTCTGGATATATTCTGTATTTCTCGTACTTCTTGTGGAATTCTCCATCTATACCTCGATTCTTATTTAAATCATGTACTCCACAATCTCTTCCAAATATTAAGGGCGCCGCGTGAATGGTCGCCTCGCCTCCGGCTTCGCCGTTCGCACCGCCGATCCCCGTGGCCAGGCCGTATGCGACTCTAAAAAAGTTACTATTTTTGTTCAACTTTTTTGTATCGAAATATCCAAATTATATAATAGTTTAGAACATATAAAATTCAATATTTTAATTAAAACTAGTTCTATAACTGGTTCAATACTTACTCCATCATATTTATAGGATAAATATATAAAAATAATAGTTTAATATTAAATAACTATATATATATATATATATATATTAAGATATAATAGCTTATTGTGATTGATGAATTATAAAAAATAATTTTATAGATGCATCTTTCGAAGCAAGTTTATCTAATAAAATTAAATCTAACGCGAGGTGGTAAAAATGTTGTAAATATCATAGGCCGGGAGATAGTGACACAAAATAGTTGGTCATTTGTACGTGTCCAAATGGCCGCCATACCGCCGAAAATCTGCAAAATTCTTATTTTTCGCCACCTCCTCAGGTATTGCATTACCAGACTTCTATTTATGATCATACAGGGACTATTGCAAAAAAATTTTTAGGCTGGTACAAATCGTTTGCCAAAAATAAAAAAATGCTGATTTTTGGCGGTATGGCATGGTGATTTTCGTAAATGGCTGCACGACGATATTTAACTGTGCAAGAATTATCCTGGTACAAATGGTTGAATTTTTTTTAAATCATCGCATTCGCGGCGGTATGGCGGGCTGTAAGTCACACCGGAGAAGTATGGCATGACACTGCCGCCTCTTATTTTTTTATGGACTATCGGAAAATACTAGAATTTTGGTGGACGAGTTCGACTAACGCCCACGCGCTTGGCCCGTCGGTACCAGCGCTATGACCATCAACATTATTTTTTTCATTTCGTAATAACCCATGTAGAACCGCCAACTGGTACAAATGACCAACTTTTTTGTGTCACTATCTCCCGGCCTATCAGGAAAAGAAAGTAAAGCAAAAGACAACCCGATAAAACGTTTCCTTTTATTCTGATTGGTCAACAGCGTGTCTTGACAATACACAGACACCCATGTTTGACCTTAGTCCTTGCTATACACATAAAGCATAAAAAAGAATTATCAATTAACAAGATCTCCTTGCCAAAATTGGGAGACAATTTTCCCTATAGAATTTTTTTTAAATGTAATGTGAGGCAAACGGGCAGTAGGTTTACCTGATGTTAAGTGATACCGCCCATGGACACTCACACCACCAGAAGACTCGGAAGTGCGTTGCCGGCCTTCAAGAATTGGTACGCTTTTTTCTTGAAGGACCCTAAGTCGAATTGGTTCGGAAATACTTCAGTGGGCAGCTGGTTCCACATAGTGGTGGTGCACGGCAAAAACTGCCTTAGACAACGCTCAGTTGTGAAACGACGGACGTCGAGGTGATACGGTTGGTATTTCGTATTTCGCCTTGACGTCCGATAAATAAACTCAGCTGCAGGTATTAGACCAAACAACTCCTCTGAACACCCCATGCTAAATGCGGTAAAAGATGCAGAGAGACCTCACATCTCTACGCAACGCCAAGGGATCAATATATGACATCTAGACAGTTGTATCCTTGAAAACCTGGAATAAATCGCTTGTTAGTGATAAGGCCGCCCGTTGCCTTATAACTTTTGTAACCTGCTTTTTTATTTTTGTTATGTGTATGTTTTTGAATAAGGTAATAAAGTATAAATAAATAAAACTCTTAACATTGGATTGGAATGCGGTCAAACGTCTGCAAAGTTTCCAATTGAATAAAAGACAAAAAAAATATTATTTTTTTCAGATCCTAGAACCGCAAATTGGCCGCTGATTGGAACTCCTTACTCAACATTTGGATTATTGGCATTATATCTCCTATTTGTAATGAAATGGGGACCAAAATGGATGGAGGAAAGAAAACCCTTCAATTTAGAACGAATCCTTATTGCTTATAACGCTATACAAGTGATACTATGTTTATATGTTTTAGTGACCGTAAGTATGACATGAATAACATAAAATTAAACCACTATGTACAGCAAAATCCCTGTGACAGGACATGAAGGCTGAATGTCTTTGGTGTCTTAAAAAAACTTAAAAACGTATCCAAAGGTGCGCATTTACCATTCGCTCGAACGGCGAAGGAAAACATCGTGAGGTAACCGACTTGCCTTAGACTCAAACAATCGTCGGCGTGTGTCAGGCATATGAGGCTGATCACCTACTTGCCTATTAGATTGACAAATGATCATTAAACAGATACAGCAATCTGAGGCCCAGACCTAAAAAGGTTCCAGCACCACTGATTTATTGTTTTAGTTTATATTTGCTTTTTGGTTTACTGGGGGCCCTACTATAAGCTCTTACTGCGACCCGATTAACAACCTACTACTGGGATGTACTGGAAATATAATTTTTTTTTTACTATTTATAGATTATCCTATTTTATGAACTAGTTGTAAATAAATTATTAAATTTTATATTAATAATTTATTTACGGTCACATTTTGGTTCATCCGAGCGGTCATGGTGCGAATTTTCATACAAATTGAATGAACGAAATCTGCTAAGGTCACGTGGGAACATAAACTGTCTCGTTTATTCGGTGTCATGGTATGAATAAGCGATGCATCTCAATTGTAAGTTGTCAATGGGCTCCCATAAGAGCTCATGGTAGGCCCCCAAGAACCTAAAGTCATGAGCATCTCAACTGTATTTATTTAAAGAAAGCTCATTGTAGGGATTTCATAACAAACTTTTTGTATTTCTATTAAACTTAATTATATGACAGATTTGGCAATTCAAAAAATATAATATGATAAAATAGGAAAATAAAATGAACGTCATAAAACTAAAGTGTAACTGGAATTCTATACTTCTTGCATATTCATAAGACGATATTGACCTTTAGTTTAATTTAATTAATTATAGTTATACTCTATAACTAAAAGTTTTCAGTATACTAATATTATATAGATACTAGTGGACCCCACAGACGTTGTCCTGCATGATATTTAAAGCGATTAGGATATTAAGCAAAGTATGAAAGTACTGACTGCAGTGCCATCTGCCGGGCTGATTTGTGAATCTAAATTATTCCCAGATCCCCTTGAACACACACAAAAAATTTCATCAAAATCGGTCCAGTCGTTTAGGAGGAGTTCAGTCACATACATACGCACAGAAGAAATATATATATTAAGATTAAAACGCCAAATCATCGATCAAGTGCACAGGTGTTAAAAAAATTAAAGATTAAAGTTGGCGCCTGGTAGCTAGTACAGGTGATCCCAGAGCAGCCCTGCGATTCTGTAACTCACTTTTCGAACTCACACAGCGGTTTTCGCATCGGCGGTCGCTCTCAAATCAGTCCTGAAGCAGTCATTTTATGATTTGGCATTCTGATAAACAATAAACTACAAGCTCCCACCTTTTCAGAATGCCAAATCATAAAATGACTGCTTCAGGACTGATTTGAGAGCGACCGCCGATGCGAAAACCGCTGTGTGAGTTCGAAAAGTGAGTTACAGAATCGCAGGGCTGGGGCTTATAAGTAATAAGTATCGCAATACAGCGAGGTAATACTGCTAGCGTTACAGATCCAAACACAGGGACCAACCTTTTTAGATTTGTTTTAATTTGATATATATATTTTTTTTATTATTATTATTATTACTATGTCGGTTAAGAATATTGTTTGTTTTCTAAAATAGATAAGCTAATAAACATGTTATGTTTTAGGGGCTAAAAGTTTGGTATAACTATAAATTGATATGCGAACCAACAGATTTTTCAGAATCTGGATTGCACACAGCTAAAATAGTATATTGCTATTTTTTACTAAAAGTCCTTGATCTATTTGATACGGTATGTATTTTTCTTATATATTTTTGTTTTTTATAGTACAGGGGGCAAAGGGGCAGGAGGCTCACCAGTTGTTAAGTGATATCGCCGCCCATATGTCCATTGACACTGCCAGAAGGCTCTTTGTTCTATAGGAATTGGTACTCTTTTATTTTGAAGGCAGAAAGTGCCTTAAAAAGCGCTCAGTTTAACCGACGGACGTCGAGTTAATAAAATATATATATAGATAATGTACTGAGGATGATGAGTTGGCGATTGTTTTATAGGAAAATATATTTTTATATACATATATATTGTTCATTTCGAAGCAGAATAATAATTATTGAAATTCTGCAGAAAGTGCTAGTGGCTTTAAGGCTGATTCACACTACACCGTGTCTCGAACGGGCCGTGCCCCGGCCGGGACACGGTCTAACATTAATGATATACTTTTGTATGAAGTAATTCATGCCTGACCGTGGCTCGGCCGTGCCCGTACCGTGCGCCGCCGGGACTCGGCCGGGGCACGGCGTTGTAATGTCGGTGGGTATTGTTTCCCGGCTCCGGCACGGTCCGGCCCCGACACGTCGTAACATGAACGTAGGCGCCCGGGCACCCGCAGAGCAGTCAACGTCAAATCTTAGTGAGGTCTGCAGCTCAACAGCAAAATGGACGATAAAAAATTATTAGAATGTGTACGCAAGTACCCTGTGATTTACGACATGAGCCATCCTAAGTATTTAGATAACAAATACAAAAATATTATGTGGAAAACCATTTCGGACGAAATAAAACAATCTGGTAAGTAAAGACTTTAATTTCAAATTATATTTATAATAGATATTAATTACTTAACGACAATATTTGAGTGCAATGTGAGTGGGATTATCGGTTTTAGTAGGTATTTTAGAATATGTTAGGTAATTGATAAGAAGTATATTTTAGTCTAAGTAGGTATTTATGCCTGATACTATTGCCTTATTAAATTACGTCCCGCTGTTGACGCTAAATATTCTTTAAACGTTTCTCTTACCGCAAATGCATCATTAGCTGGCCTTCCTGGTTGAACGTTCAATGAATTTAATAAATGCGGTTGCGCATTTTGTGCACTATGATTGACAAGCCCTGTGTTATCTTTTTGTTCACATAAATAATTATGCAGTACGCATGTAGATAGAATAATATAATCAACATTTTTTGGAGCAAGTTTTATTCTTCTTTGAAATATTCTAAATCTTTGTGTCAAAATACCAAATGCATTTTCAACTAGTCGTCGGGCTAATGACAGTCTATGATTGAAATTCGTTTTATTAGCATCATCTGTTGTTTGGTGTCCTGGATACGGACGCATTAGGTATGTTTTCAAAGGAAAAGCTTCATCACCAACTATTACATATGGTGCAAATGTAGAGGAACCGGGTAAATTTTTACCCATAGGTACACGAAGCGTCCCATTTTCTAAACGTTTTCCAAGATTACATTGTGCGAGAATGCCACCATCACTGTTTCGTCCGTAAGCGCCAATATCAACTGCAATAAATTTGTAACATGCGTCCACTAACGCCAATAAAACAATTGAGAATGTGTGTTTATAATTAAAATATATAGAACCACTATTGGCTGGGGCTTCAATAACAAAATGTTTTCCATCCAATGCGCCGATACAATTTGGAAATCCTCTAAGCTTTTCAAAATCTTCAGCAGTTTTACGCCACATTTCTTCTGTTGGTTGTGGCATAACGTCTTTCTTAAGTCTTTTAACGATAGAGCGACATGTGCTATGCACGATTTCGGCCACAGTTGAATGGCCCAATCGAAAACTGAACGAAATAGTTTTAAACGAATCCCCAGTAGCCAGGAACCTGAAAAAATAATAATGGTTTGATTTCGGGGTATCTTTGTACCACAGTGAGCTATTGCGTATTAACCGTACCATTTATACAGGGTGTAAAGAAAATTATTTAACGTGTTCATTCTATTCTATCTTTTTGCAGATGATGTATGTAAAAAAAGGTGGGCAAACATACGGGACCAGTTCAAAAAACACAGAAACAAACGTAAAACCAAGAGTGGACAGAGTGCTGTTGCTATAAAAAAATATAAATACGAAGAGAGCCTGAATTTTTTACTGCCACATATACAGGATCGAAATACAATAACAAGTATCGAATCTGAGAACGAAGAGACGCAACACGAAACGGTTACTTCGCCAGTTACTACGCCCGACGAAACAATTAACACCGATGAACAGCAGCGGCAGGAAGATCGCTCACCAGCTATTAATGAACCAAATTTTACGCCACCGAATCCAAATACAAATCCCCAATCAACTGCACAATTCACTGGTTCCGGCAAGCGCAATCGCAATCAAACCATTGCACCTGCACACAATCGCCGTCGTATAGTGCCACAATCCCAGTCCTCTGCGTCAAGCGCATTAATGGAGTACATTTTAAAAAATAAAGAAAAGTCCAACACACATGACATTCATCCTATTGATGCTTTTTTCAATGGTTTGGCACCCACTATTAAATCTTTTTCCCCGTATTCACCAACGCCAACACCGGAATCAACGCCTGCGGAGCCTACACCTTCAGAACTTACGCCTTTGGAACCTAATAATTTGTCTACCTTGTTTTCAAATATTATGTGAATTATTTAGCAATTTTCTTTTCTACATTCACAATCCAATTTTGATTATAGAAAAATTGTAAATGAAGTATTTAGAAAAAAATTAGGTAAATTTTTTCTATGTACGATAAATACTATGTGATTTGTGATTTTTACATATCAATTTATTATTTACCTGAGGCAGACTGCTAATCGTTCGATGGGAGATATAGGCTTTTGAAATCTTGTAATTTTTTTGGTTAGATCTGGTTTTAATTTTTCAAGTAAATAAGTGAAGCATTCTTTAGACATTCTAAAATAACCATAAAACTTGCTCTCGTCGTCTATTAATTCTTTGTAGAGTAAAGAAAATTCCCCTTCTGCTTCTCGCTTTCTCCAGGTTGGATGTACACCCCATCTTCTTTTAGTACTTTCGCTTCGTTTTTCTAATACTTCGTCATCGATGGCAATTGCAATAGCTGCCAATTCAAATTGTGAAAATTGCATAATTACTTAAGCGTCAAGTCTATCGACAGATGAAATCACAATCACGCGCGCGGCGATCCCGTATACATAGAGCGCGGCCGCCGCGCGCGCCAATGTTCGATGGTTTGCCGCGCTTAATTTATACGCACCTTTACCCGCTCTACGCCCTTGACTTGCGAACTGGTAGTAAATGTAAATTTACAATTAATTTAACTTGACAATTCAAAAGTGTACTTGGTTACCCACTAGAATAAAGATATTTTGAGTTTGAGTTTGAAGGATGAAAAAGAGTATTTAAATTTATTTATTATGTAGAACCTGAAGCTGTTTAATGCTGTACTTGGGTACAGAAAAACGTTACGGCGCGTTACATAAGGGGGGGCTGAACGCTCCCTTAGGCTGGGTTCACACGGCATTGTCCTGCACGTTTTCTTTGTATTCGTTTTTTTTAACGTACTTTCACCCGGGTGTTCACATGGTAGATTTTCGTTCGTGTAAAATACGAATAGCCGCAGCCTTCACACAGTTGTCACAGTGAGCGAGAACGAGACAGAGCTATATTATATGTCACTTTAAACCGAATAATAATATGTTAAGGTTTATTCGATATAAACGGTGTACGATATTTTGCAGTACAAACGCCGTGTGAATGGGTCTATGTAATATACATGAGCCACTATTTATTCGTTAAGACGTATACTGCAAAAAAACGTGAAGGACAATGCCGTGTGAACCCAGTCTTACTAGCGCTACCCCAGACTACTATTAATTATAATAAATGTGATTTTATTAAGGATCGTATATTGGCATTCGCACTGTTTAATCCTTTTATCCACTAAATTATTACAGGTATTTTTTGTTTTACGCAAGAAGTTCAATCATGTATCTTTTCTTCACGTCTATCACCACACAGGAATGGTGATCCTTGTATGGGGTTGCACAACGTACTATCCAGGTATGTTCTTTTGTTTCTTATGAAACGGACACAAATGATTATTTTACAAAGCTGAACTTTATAAGTGTTATTTGGCGTCGGGAAGTGACGACCCCATCGCTTCCTGGTGGGCGTGCCATGCTGTTCATGCTGTTCATTCTTCAACTTTGGTGAAGGGTGAAAACCAAGGGTTGTATGTTTTTTTAAGGCAAAAAAATGACGTCTTGTCTTGGCACCCTTATTATTTAGGGGTTTAAAAAAAACTGATGGCAGACCGATTACCGACATCCGAAAATCGGCCAAGCCTTTAAAGCAGTGTTTCACAACGTGGGGCAATTTGATTGTTAAAAGCGGCTATTTGAAAATTTATTAAAATTATTTGGACATGGAATTTCAGTTTTTCGTCCTGAAATCTATAATTTTCTTAAGTGAAGTTAAATCTCTTAATATTAAAAATTATGTACATTGGGGGCACAATAATTTTACAAAGGCTAATGTGGGGCATGCACCACAAAGGTTGGAAAACACAGCTTTAGAGGCTTGGGGCTAATACATGTAAAATAAACAACTTACAATTTTCAGGTGGCCACGGTACGATGGTTGGATTGCTCAATTCATTTGTACACGCCGTAATGTACTCATATTACCTGCTCACAGTGGCCGTCCCGAGTTTGAAGGGCTCGCTGTGGTGGAAGAAGTACGTCACTCAGCTACAAATTGTAAGGCTAAGTTTATAATGTTGGTGTCAAACCGTATATGGTAGGGCTTTCTACGTTTTGTTTATAAGTTGCCAGTCTTTTAAGAATTGGTACGCTCATTTTATTAAGGACATGGCTAGGTTACGTCGAAAACACGCACGTGTTCGATTCCCGGAGTTAAGAAATTTGTAGTTTGCTTTTTTTTATAGAACAGGGGGCAAACGGGCAGGAGGCTCACCTGATGTTAAGTGATACCACCACCCATGGACACTCAATGCCAGAGGGCTCGCAAGTGCGTTGCCGGCCTTTTAATTCTTTTTTTTTTGTTCTCCGCACAAGGAAGTTGTGTCAGATTAATCAATCCACATAATAAGACAAACACTGATCATACTTATTGATTTGGATATTTTGATATACTTTAAATATTGTCATGTTTTTAATAACAAATCAAAGTTATTTTAATTTTTTTAACAATACAATCTAAATATATAAAGGTATGTTTTCTCATTCAACGTAGTAAAACTATAATAATTAAGGTAATTCAGAAGCAAGAAACATTAATAGAAAGGCATTTTCAATCCAGTTCTTTTCAAATCCAAAAAGATTGTCATTTATACATCAATACTAAGCGCCTAGTTTATTCGTAAAATTCTTGTCTGTTCGAGAAAAATTTCTGAACGTTGGCATTAGAACAAAAATATCTGTCGGAGTGTGTACTGTAAGCTGCCAATGTCACAGGGCTTACAAATATATGTCAAAATCAGTTCGGTTCAAAACCTTTAATACGTGTGGCTTAGAGTCTGGCTAATGAAAGAAGATAATTGAATTATTTGAAAACTTTCGGATGGCAACACAGAATGTCATTGAATTTCTTAGGTTAGTATGATTTATTGTCTTGATACTTCATGCAATTACTCATTTTTAATTCTCTTATATTTTTTTTCGATTAGTTAACAGGTATAATAGCCTAAACTTTGTTTTATTTGATAGAATATTTCGTTTCTTTCGCAGGATTTGATTATTCCGAATAAAGTTGTGTTTTATAATAAATATAGTTTTAGTTTTCTATGCAATGCTAGTCAGTTTAAGTATCAATAGTAAAAGGCCAAATACGTATAGTATTTAATTTCACAGAAATACAGTTACTATCAAAGTAAAAAATAATAAAATAAAATCAAGTATCAAGTAAGTTTAATCCACAAAATATATCAAACTTTTAGGGATACCATACTAATTTTTTTTGAATTTGCCGCGCTTTTTCGTTATCTTCTTTTATTAGCTGACTCTATTCGATTTTGCTGTCTGAGCTGACAGTTGACATTAACGCTCCGACATAAACAAAAAATATACTAAGCCTACACTGTACAGTCTATATCTGTCTCTTTGATAGAGCCTAAAACACAATTTGGTAGAGAGAGATGTAAAATTGTAATGGCGTAACAAGACTGATTTAATTTGTATAAAAACAGAAAAGCCTTGTACATTTATCAGGTCTATCACCGAAAAAATCGTTTGATATGCGATAATCGAGATGGCCAGTATCTTATAGAAAGTGAATAAAAGCGTATTTTCTTTGCCCATGACAGAGTGACTTTATCAAAAAGCTAAATTAATTATTTTTATTTCAGCTTCAATTCCTAATCATGGTCCTACACATGGGTTGTATCGTGTTCATACCAGATTGTGGATATCCTCGCTGGATCTCAGCTTTTTTCCTGCCGCAGAACCTTTTCATGCTCATTCTATTCGTAGACTTTTATATCAAAACCTATATAAAGAAACCTAAAACAGAAACCAAGGAAGAGAAAGTTGAGAAGAAAATTGAAAATACTGAAATGCGACGCTTGATCGAATCGCAGCATCTTAAAGAAAATCTAAACTCTCGTTCTTAACTATAAATACATGTATATTATAAAAATAAATAAAAAAATAAAAGTGTGTATCTTTAGCATGAAAACTTGACCAACTCTCCGTGGCCGTATTTGGAACTAAACGGATTGACATATTCTGTACTGACTTTATGATACGTTTGTTTTAAAGGTTGTTTTATTCCTTTACTATAAGCATGCTGACCATCTAATATTTAGTAATAATAATAAAGCCAAATTTATACCTTCAAACATACAATTTACAAGAGATACACACAAAATAAATCAGTCGCACTACAACCTTCTTTTCAGGTTTGGGCCTCAGATTTATGTAACGGTTTCATGATTATTTGTCAATCTAATAGGCAAGTAGGTGATCAGCCTCCTGTGCCTGACACACGCCGTCGACTTTTTGGATATAAGGCAAGCCGGTTTTCTCACGTTTTCCTTCACCGTTCAAGCGAATGTTAAATGCGCACATAGACAGAAAGTCCATTGGTGCACAGCCGGGTATAGAATCTACGAACTCAAGAATGAGAGACGCACGCTGAAGCCACTAGGCCAACACTGCTACACACATACGTACATTTATACAAAAATATCATTTTTCAATGACCTCTTATAGAGTAAAGCCTACTTAAACGGTAAACCTTCACTCAATCTTGAGCATTTTTCGATCAATCATCCCCACCAACTTTTTTGAATTGGTCATCACACCATGCAAAAAAGTGACCTGTCTTTCTTTTCCCTGTTGGGCCTCGCCACCTTGTTACCCTGTTTTTCCATCAGTCATTGTTCAGGCGAGAGGTGGTACGCCCATTTCCACTTACGTTTTTTGGAATGGGATGCAGAAATTAGTTTTGTATTTTCTTGCCTTCTTTATCTTTATGGAACAGGAGTAAAACGAGCAAGCGGGTGTTGAAAAAGTGATAACTGGCGCGGGGTGGCGGGCATTTTGCCAACCTTCCATGAAATGGTACGCTCTTTTATTGTAATCGTTGAAATTGAAACTGGCAACTGGTTCCACAAAGGTGGTGCGAGGCAGAAAAAGCCTTAAAAGGCGCTGTGAAACGCCAGGCGTTGAGATGGAATTTTGCATTCTGCCTCTACGTATGTTAATGGAATTCATCCGCAGGTATTAGTCCGAACAATTCTTCGAAGCACTCCCCATACATTCCATAGAAGATGCTGAGGAAACCAACATCTCTACTCTCTCTCTCTCTACTCTACGCAAAGCCAAAGGGTTAAGCCAATCGGAAAGAGCAGGGTTGTCGTCGATTCGTTGTTATATTTGTTGGGTTCAACTCGACTAAATTCGTCCCCAGTCCCAGACAGACCATGTCTTTTGCAAATTTGTTTCGACACTTCTCGACATCAACCCGAGAAATATTAATTAGCACGGCCGGTATAGAAGGAGCCCCCAGTGCTGTCATCCACATAGCAATGATCGTTGCAAACAACAACGACTGCACCATATCATTGATATGCAGGAAGAACAGTGATGGAAAAAATACACAGCGTTGTGGAAATCCAGAATTTATGGGTCGGAACACCACCGTCGAAAACGACTCTGATGTTCCGTTCGGCCTAAAAAGTAGAGATCTATTTGCACAAGTAGTATATTCAGGGGTAGTCCATTAGTTGGAAGTTTTAAGAAAAGCGCCTTGTGCCAAACCTGAACAAAGGCTTTCGCAGTGCCTTCCCTTTGGCCCCTGCCCATAGGTGTGTGAGGTAAGCTAAAATATCACCAACTGAGCAACCTACTCTAACATCTACTAATCAGCTGGTGCTTCTCTATGTACCAAAGGAACCGGCTGATTATAATAGACTCCATTATTTTAGAGAACACAGAAATCAATAATTGGACGGATCAGAGCGGTTACCTTTTTTAGGGATAGAAAGTATTAAGGTCATCTTCCAAGCGTTGGACAATGCGAGACCAGGAGTGAAGGAAAAGTCGCGTTAGAACCGGAGTCAGCTTTGGAGCACCCGTACACATTACATTGAAAACCATCTGGCCCGTTCAATTTATCTAGGAGTAAGGACTATGTTAACAGCACGCCATTATCACACCACATCAAGTGTCGAGTTGGACCCAAAAATAGAGCCGATCGTCTTTCTCTTTTGAGTTGGCATCAAGTTAACATAAACGTATACGATTTCTTTTAATACACTTGGTACCGAATGAACAGTGAGACAAGTGAAATAAAGCCTGCCACACCTTTCCATACTATGACCATCCTGTGCATCTGGCACGGCCATAATAGTCATCCACTGTATTTGATGTATTATAAAATGTGTATTAAATATTTTTATTACCATGGTCTTAATAATATAAATATATAAAACAAAGTCGTGTTAGTTACACCACTTATAACTCAAGATCGACTGGACCGATGTTAGTTATCTCTTTTTTGGTGGATTCTCCGCTCCGAATAGCAGAATAAGTAATAAAATATCGGAAAAGTTATCGAATAACAATAAATAAGTAAATTATTTTTATTAAAACTACGCATCATTTTACGTCGAATTCTTGTCAGTTCAAGAAATTCCGATCTTGAGGTGAATGAGGAGATGCATAACCAGGCTTCGATCTTGATCGAAAATATGAATACCTCATCAAAAAATTTTGTATATCAGAAAGTGCTATAGCATGCAGTATCGCAATATTGGCGCTAGAGAGAAGAGGCCTAATGTGTGAAACTGCCATTCTTCTATCGCAATGGCAAGCAATTTTGTATTTGCAAAAAAAGTTGTATTAATGTTACTACCTATATGAAATCCTAAAATAAGTTTAAATAAATTAACAAGTAATTATTAGACTGTTAGGCGGAACGAAGTTAGCCGGGTAAGCAAATGTTTCATATAGAATAAATGGTAACCATGGTAACAGACTATTTTATTAAATATTCCATTTGCGATAAAATCTGTCTGAAAATAAGGTTATTTAAATATTATTTCCCTTAATCGGAATGAGCTAATACTGTCTTTTGAGATAGACCGATCAATTTTTTAGTCCAATATGTATACCTACATATTTAAAAATTGCTAATGCTTCTAATTTTACATTTACTGCCAGTTCTCAAATTTAGCGTAGAACGGAAGAAAAGAACTGGCAATAAACTCTCCACCACTCTTTTTTTAATCGCCAAGTTTTTAATTTTTCACAATAATGGAGCTGCAACCATTACACCATTATCCACATGACATCTTAAGTAATTAATAATAATAAAATAATTTCGAAATAACTAACATCACCATCACCATCATACATGAATTCAAGTCCGACCAGTCACAAGTAGCACCCGTTCACGAGTATGACGCATGGCCAGCCATCAGCCCCCTCGCCATATTTTAGGGAGAGAGACAACGCGACGCATGGACGCCCGATTGCACATATATACACAATGCTTTAATAACCTTGAAAGAAGGGTTAGAAGGGTGGAGTTGTTTAAAGCTGGGCTCGCCCCTCGCCAAAAATCTATTCACGCATAATTGAAGAAAAAAAAAATAGATATAATTGATTTACTACACGCCTTACCGCTTGCGGTGATCTTTTTTTACATTGAAAAGAAAAGTTATCGCGTATATAGAAAATTAATATTTCAATGCTCTTTCTCTGTTTATTTTTTATTATTCTTAAAATAATTGTCATCCTTCGTCGTCAGCTTAAAATAGAACCTTAAGTCAATCATATAAAATTGAATTTTCAACGAATTTTCAACGTTACTATACCCGTGATAGTTTAATGAACATTGTCCAAGCAATTAATCAGTTCGAATGTACCACTTTCTTTGCAAATAAACGATTTATTATTTGTTAATAAAGCTCATCAGGAATAAACGCTCAAATTCTTATTTATTTTAATTCTAATCAAATGAATATTATAAATTACTAGCTGACCCGGCAAACGTTGTTTTGCCGTGTATACACGTATTATTTCCAGGAAACATTTTTTTAGTTCAATAAAATAACTATCTACTACATATAATAAAAAATAGGGGTTGATCGTAGAAGGGTGAAAAATTTGTGTGTTGTATGTATTTTTGTATGCTGTATTATAAAAAAATAAAAACATTTTTTGGGGTGGACACTATCACTTAGGGTTTTGAACGATAGATAGACCGATTCTCAGACTTACTAAATATGCATAAAAATTTCGGAAGAATCGAGCCGTTTCGGAGGAGTATGGGAACGAACATTATGACACGAGAATTTTATGTAAAAGATTAAACTGTAAAGTATTCACTTCTGTTTCATTTTATTTCTGTAAAAAAGACGAAGGAAATTGTGTTCGATTTACTTTATTTATTAGTAAACAAAAACTTTCAAAAGCTTAATATAATGTTCAAATAATACATGTGCTTGGGAACCGCCAGCTTATATGGGGTAAAATGTTTCGTTTGATTTCTCTCAAATCTACAAATACGTTTGAAAAGCAAATCAGCCTTAAATACGTCTGATTAGTTATTAACAAACATTAATGTGTAAGAAAATAGATTACAAGCGATCCTTACAGTAATTATATTAAAGAATTGGGTTGACTCGAAAACAAACTCAATATCGCGTGCGGTAATTTTACAGGCAGGCTGGTCGATACTGGCGCAGTGCACACCTCTATGTCTGACTGTGCGGTCCTAAGTAGGATTTATAGGGTAAGTTAAATTATATCTTGTAAAGCGCCTTGTAAGGAGTGAATAGTGAACAGTGTGCTTTTTGGAAATCGACGGCGATAAGGTTAGTAAATTACATAATCATTTAATTTACTGTTTGACGTTGTTACATAAGGAGTTTCGAATAACTCAAAATAGTGAGCTTTTTAAATGTAAATCTTTTAAAATAGGCAGAATGTTTTTATAAAGTTTATTTATTTTATATTATAGTTAGTTGGATATTTTTGTAACAAAATTATTCTTCAATGTTTTATTAAAGCAATTAAAATTAGACTACTGCATTGACCGTCAGACTATCTCGAGCTTAGTATAAATTAAAATTATTGTAAAAAAAGTATTATGACGGGTTCAAATACGCCTAAAAAAATCAACTTTGTTTGATGACTATAAACAAAATATAATATTAGTTACGCCATTTTTTACTTGGAAGTAGAATTTTTATGAAATCTCAATTTTTTTAAACAAATTTCAGTTGAGCTTTGAAAATGGAATTTCAAAAGCAATTACTTTAATATTTTTAACTAATATAAAATTCTTAAACAAAACGCAGTCATACATTAATTACATAACTCGATTTTTCGAGTTTCAGCAGTTGTAATCAGCGATGGGGAAATTCTTTATGTTTATTCACTAATTTAATACATAACTCTTTAATACATAAATCTTGTTGAAAAAATGGTTTAAAAACCCTTCTAGTTCACTGAAGCTTAAACACATTTTCTAAGTTTGACTGGGATTTCTACCAGTTTGATTGGGACTTTACTTTCTACCATTAAAAAATGAACTCTGAGTCATTTCATGACGTAGATATAAACATAACATTTATTACCAACCAAAACACACACACACACATAATAATAATCAAAGAAAAAATTATATAATGAGAGATAACAATTTTTTTTCCCTTTCGTTTCGTTTCAAGTGTGTAATGCGTGTATGCTGTCGCTGTAATTGGCCCTGGCCCAGCATTATGCTGAGGAGCAGAATGTTCAACAGCGCTGATCATTCTGCCAGAGACCACAGCAGCTACTTTGCGCCTCAGTCGCAAAAACAGAAAAATAATGTAATAATACTAATACTTACTAGAAAAAAAAAATTAGTAAAAGTTAGCAGCGTAAGCAATCAAGTCTTGTGTAAAAGTGTATTTTAAATAAAATTAAATTAAAAGTTAAAATAATAATAATTGTTAAGCAGTAGATAGATTTTTGGGCGGATTTAAAACTAAATAAATGAAGGTGTTTTTAAATCCATTCGTAACAATTACGAGTCCTTTTAATAATACGATAATTTCGATTCGGTGTTCACAGAGGAATTTTAATATTCGTATTTTGCCCCATGGACTGGGCGTGGGACTTCTATTTGTAAAATTAAATTAAATAAAAGATAGACCTTGTAACGTTTTAAATTATGTATTTCCGAACATTTGTATTCTATGTATTTGCGTTTCAATTACATTTAAATGAAGATGAACAATTAAGTATCAGGTCAACAAAATCATCGAAACATTTTGGTGGCTTTTATAACCCTAGCGTATAAATAATGTATGACAATTGTAATCCAATACAATTCTACTGTACGTGTGTATGTCACTGAACTCCTCTTGACCGGCTCTTTGGCTGGACCGATTGGAATAATTTTTTTTGTATTCATTTGGGTGGCGTGGTGGTTTAGCTTCACAAATGCCCGGCAGGTGGCGCTGGAGTCGGTATTTAGGTTACTTATCAATACAGTAAATAAACATCTGGTATATATCTTCTGTGCATGTGTTCGTAATTAAACTCCTGAACGGCTGGACAGATTTTGATGAAATTTGTGTGTGTGGAGTTGAGAATGATTTACATTATTCGTTTTTTTTTGTATGTAAGACGTAAGTACAGCCTTGCGATTCTGTAACTCACTTTTCAAACTCTCACAGCGGCTTTCGCAGCGGCGGTCGCGCTCAAATCAGTCGTGAAGCAGTCATTTTAC